CCCGACGCCCCCCTGGCGAGACAAATCGCTCTGAGTGCCCCAGGCCATCATCTTCCGCGTCACGTCCTTGATCTTTGATTGGAACATGTTCACCTGGCGAGAGACAAAAGGCGCGCCTCAAAGCTCGAATCGGACCCCCTCAAATGCTAAGGTGTACTTGTTCCTTTGGTGTCCCTTTAAAGCAACCCGGGAAAAAAGAACTGTTGTGCAGCAAGTCGCCTGTATTGGCATATCCGATGTTCCAAAATCTAAAAAAAAAAAAAACTAGAAAGGGGGGCGCTTTCGTAACCCAAGCTAAGGATTCAGGATTGCCCTTTGAACAGACCAGCCAGTGAACCAACAGGAAGCAAAAAGACCGCTCCTTTTCTGTTGGGGGAGGGGGGCACAAGACGTGCGGCACTGAACTGGGCAAACCTCGAAAGTCATAACAAAAGACTTTCCACCCGCCGCACCCCCCCCCCCAAGCGAGCCCAAGCGAGGTTTTAGGTGCCCTGTGGCCTTTGGCAACAAGGGATCCAACTTGGAGGCACGTATTGTGGACGAAACCTGGAGTCTCCTTCTGACCCTAAAAATGGGTCCATGCCCCCATTGTTTTGGGTAATCAACCCATTTTTTAAGGGTCATGGAGAGTCCAGGAATGCATTGTCGCACCAGTTGGGATGGACGAAAACCCATGAACACCCGAAAACTATACATTGGTGCAGGATTTCGTCCATCCACCGTATTCTGTGCTGAACTTCTTTTAGGCGACAAAATCCCAAATGGCTTTTGGTTTCCCTGGCAAACAAATGCAAAAGGCTGCACCAACTCGTCCAATAAGCACGAGCCACACATAATCAGCCAACCTCGTAGTAACAAACACATGTTGTGAGGAAACCCCCAGATTTGGATCAACACATGGGATCGTATGAATTTTCAAGACCTCAAACAGGTCTTCGGGACATCCTAAACTCGGCAAACAAACAACGCAAACGACGTAAACATTGGCTTCTATGGATTCCCCGCCCACAATCGGTGGGTTTTCTTCGGCCTTCTTGATGACACAACCTTTCGCCATTGGAGACTCGTAAGGGCTCTGTCAAGAGAATGGCAACCCATTTGGCATTGGATGGCAATGACATCGGCAACTTATGTCTGAACAGATCCCCTGCCAAAAGGATTCAACTTCAGTGGGTCAAATGGAAACCCAGCGAAACCGACTTGAAATTTAAAAGAAACTCAGGAACCCAACGGCTGGAAACCGCCGCCTGGCCCTAAGGCTTGATTGAGCCCGGGGGTCTTTGAAATAGAGTCGCTGAGTATTCCTGGCTCAAAAGTACATGCGTGATTCAAAGGCGCCAGAGATTTCAACCCAGAAAGTCACACGGCAAAGCTCAATCTGAGAAAGGCCAAGCTCTGCAAAGCTCTGCAGATCGGTACCTGAAAACCTCTCACAGAAAACAGACTACGATTCACCTCTGAAAAAACAAGCATCAGATTGTGCCCACCTCTGCGCAGTGTCAAGCAACTCTGAGCCCTGCCCCAGGCTTAGGACCATGGGGTATGACCTGTTCGGCCGAAAGAACGTCCCAAACGCACCCCCACTCAATCAACTCTCCGGGAACATGGATGATGAAAACTCGTAATACATGTGACAATTTCCCCACGAACAGGAACGCCTCCTATACAAATCTGCTAACCTCCCACTAACTAAGATGGAAGTGCAAAAAGGCCCTTTCCAAGAGGAAAGTAGTCTTTCTACAGGGCTCTGTGCACTTCCATGTTAGCTGGTGGGAGGGTACAAATCCGCTGCGCAGGCAAAGATGCGACGCATCTTTTCAGGCTAGCAGGCACGCTCTCAGCTTGAACTGGGGCGGATTCGGTGTGAGACAGTCTCTGGGCTGGAGACAGATGGCTCGAGAATGTCAATCTCTAAAGAAAGTTAAAAACGCATCACGACCGGCTGCAATGGTGGACATCATTTCCGGGTGCTGCAACGACTGCTCTGCAAAAAGTAAATCACTGTTTGTGGGTACCCAAAGATCCAACCAAATAGCCAGAAATCATTTGGGCGCGGATTGTGTCCACTAGCATGCTGCTCCTGTGATCACTCCCGGATGGCTTCAAAGCACCCCACAACGGGACACCCCTTCTAATGATTTAGGTGGAAATAATAGGTTTACCCTTTGGAACCTTGAGAAAGTATGGACCAAATCAGGGAAACCAAAGGGTACAAGGTCAATTTGCTTTGGTGGCAAGTGAGTTAGACATGCACATTGACATGCTCGCTGTGTTTCCGACCTTAAGTATGATGCTTGGTCCACCCCTTTGCTTGACTATGTTAAATCGCCTGCCCTGGGTGGGCCAAAACGAAATCTTGCACCACTTGGGATACATAACTCCCTTCAACAATGGGATAACCAACCTACCAACTGGTGTGTGCCGTGGGTTTTGTCCTTCCACAGCTGTAGGGTCTGAAGCGTTTGAAGGTAGGAGTCTGGAATCGACCTCTGAAGCGAGCATGAATTCAGAGGAGCACATGAAACCCCAGAAGCCCTCAAATACCAAGCCGTCCCAATGAAAAGGATCTTAATCAACCATCCGGTCTCCTTAAAAAAAACTCAGATAGGATCTGCTTCGCGTGTTCTTAAATTGATGAAGCGGCATGGCAGCGCAGAAATCCGCTCCAATGCCGTTAACTTTGGGTACCACATATTTTAGCACTTCCCAGAAACCCTGCTAAACCAATTAAAAAGTCAACAACCCAAGGGGATGGCCGGGAACCACCTTTTTCAATCTGTCAGATCGACAACTTGCCCCGATGGGTCCTTTCCACCTTTTCATGTGTCCATTTGGGCCCGAGGAAAGCAAACGTGGTTCTTCTCGGTTTCTCCTAAGATCCAGCCCAGACATTTTGCTCGAGTATTATAAGCACCCCAAGCAGAACTCCCCATTCCCCCGAAAAACCAATGGTATGGTTTCTCTCAATTGGGCTGTCAGATCCCCTGCCAAAAGTTTAACTTGTGGGTTAAACGGATCCCCCGCCAAACCAACTAAAAACCTCAATCTAACAAAATGGACAGCTGAGAACTGCAAGTGGCTGGGGTCCCTTTTGAGCTTGCCCGAAGGCAATCTGATTCATTTAATGATTTGGCTGTGGCTCAAAAAAACGGAATTCCAAAATGGGTTGCCCTGGCAAGTGGACACATGGACCAAACCTGCGTAACCCCTGCTTTTTTAATTTTGAGCCACAACCAAATTTGTCGGGGGGTTCTGCTGAAGGGCTCTTCCTTGAGCGCTACACTCGGAGTTCGGAGTCCAGTTCCCAGCACCACGCACTCCTAACGCCCGAAGCGGATACCATGGCGGTGAGAGCATGGGGAGAGAAAAGGGAAAGAGACCCTAGGCTTCCAAAGGCCTGGCTAAGCGAGGTCGTTCCAGGAGGTCCTAGCCTTCTGGGGTCCTCGGTTGTCAAGGGAAAGGGAGAAACATGGCGATCGCTTGGTGCCAATCGAGGCCGATACAATATAATTTGTCCTCCTTAAGGTGGCCCCAACAAAAATCAAACGGATGCGTACAAGCTGCCTAGGAGTCGGTTTTCTCGCATGTACTTGCTGGAGCCAAACAATTTGTTGCCTTTCTTATTTGGTCTTTGATCTCCAAAACAAGCAAACATGCCTTTTTTGTGAGAATACCCTTTTTGGGGTGGTATCCCTTTGATTTCCCTTTCAAACAGCTGCAAAGAGACCCTGAAAAGCCCCACATTGGACCCTCGGGAGGTCCGACCCCTCGGAACAGGCCTGAAGAGGCATGAGCGCAAGGGCTGCGTCGCCGGGAAATCCTGACATTGGGACACATATGTGTTTTTGTTTTTGTTTTTGGGGGGGTATTATATATATTTTTCCCCGAGGCCTGAAAGGACAAGTATGGGGGAACAAACACGTGGATCCAGCCTCTTGTATCCTCCAAAATGTCCCCTTGCGCCAGATCCTCAAACCACCCCGAACATGTACGGGAGACAAACAAACTATGTGTGATATCCCTCTCCAAGGCTATGCGCTGGCGCTGGCAGGAGTGCGCAGCAGGGAAGGTGCCGGAGCTCAAGATCTGGACAAATGAGCATCCGGCGGAAGGACGTCAGCCCCGTGACCCGAAAAGTTGCACAAGGCATCATTCTCTTCAAAGCATGGGACAAAACCCTGGAGCAGGGGTGGCTTCCAAAGAGAACGATGGGTGAAGAGAATGGGGAATCAAACCTTCGGTGCTCAAGCTTGATTTGAAGCAAACTTCTCTGGACAGGAAAAGGGGAACCCTTGGGAGAAGTAGAAAACCTTCGAGAGATCCAGGGAGAAGTAGAAAAGGGGAAAACACCAAACCGAAAGGAACCAGAATCGGAACGGAACCATGTCCGTTTCATTGGTGCATGCGGTTTGCGGGTCTTGAACCCAAAGGGCAAACGGGTGGGCTCCGAAGAATTTGCTTGGCCCGATCTGACTTGATCGGCCGCGACAAAACCATCATACAAAACCTCATTTGTCTTTGGGTCAAGGGGCTTCTAGGGCTTAGGGTTGGGTGCCATGAATTGACAAACTCCGTCTGTCCATTCAGCTTTATTTTCGATACCCCTTGTAAAAGAAAGGCACTGGAAGTGTCGAGCCAAGCTCTCGTTCTTTGCAGCACAACACAACAAAAGCCAAAGAAGATGACACGAATACATGCGAGGAGCAATGAACTCCCCTTCGTTGTATATAATATCCAAAAGTTGGCAAGTTCCTGTCTTGCAACTCCCTGTGAACACCCTCCTTTCACTTGCCCTCCCTCCCACTGCTTACCTCCTGAGTGGATCAGCCCAAATTTCCAAACTTTTTGTGTGCTACAAAAAAACAGTTCTCCCCAACAGTAGCAAGTCCAAGAACTCAGGGAGTGCCGGCGAATCCCATTTGGGTCGTTGTCACGTTTGTTTTCAACAGGGGCCACCGGGCAATGCTATGCGATGCCTCAGGCAGTCGGATCGAGTCGCTTCAGGAGAGCTGAGGCCGCCTCTCCTGGCTTCGAAAACAACAAACTCACAAACCGAATCAAACAACCTAGATCGCCAAGTTGCTGTTTCTTTTTCTTTTCTTTTTTTTCAGTCACTGTTGCTGTTACTATTATTATCATTATTACTATTATTTTTATTATCATTTTTTTTTTTTTATGGGGTAAAGTTCATGGAAAAAAAGCAGCAACTGGCGATCCAGGAAGCAAAACAAACAAGCAACAAAAACAACAAAAACAACAACAAGCAAACGTGAACAAACCAACCAAACAAAAAACCAACCGACCGACCGACCCAAAAACACGCACGCAGGCAGGCAGGCAGGCAGGCAAGCAAGCAAGCAAGCAAGCAAGCAAGCGGGCAGGCTGTCAGTCAGGCAAGCAACCAACCAACCGAGCACGCAGGCAGGCAGGCAGGCAGGCAGGCAGGCAGGCAAGCAGGCAGGCAGGCAGGCAGGCAGGCAAGCAAGCAAGCAAGCAAGCGGGTAGGCAGCCAGGCAGGCAAGCAGGCAAGCAAGCAACAAACAAGCCAAGCTAGAGACCCACGCTAGCTGCCTCCTGGTTGGTATCTTTGAAGGACCGCGCCCACCCTGCCCTGGACGCTCAAGAGGCGCCCATGGATTCCACAGCATGGCTTGGGCCATTTGAAACAGGTCACGTGGGTGTGTCTTTTAGGGAACCCTCAAACTGACGTCGGTTTGCCTCGATGGTTTGCCTTTAAAACCAGCAAACAAAAGTATCTTTCCTCCTTGGCTTGCCTATGAGACTCTGAGACCGTCAAAAAAAGGTACCGAGCCTGAAAGCTTTGGAGACGGAACATGTAAGTTGGCCGACAGGGATCGGGTGTCAGTCAGGTTGGTTCGGTCCAGTGGGATGGCAAGTGTGAATGAAACTGGTTGCTACCCTATCCGAAGACCTCTTTTCTCGTCCGGTTGCAAGTTACGATCCTTCACCCCACCAAGCCCAAAAACTGCGACCCCTGTCCAACAAAAAGACACTTCATCATGGGCGTTACACTGAAGCCCAAGTCCCATGACGTCGCTTTGTGGCCGGGCCATGAGATGCAAACGGAGAGAAATGCCAAGTGTAGACCAGGGGACCCAAATAGCGAAGAAAGCACAAACACACACACACACAAACACACACACACAAACACAAACACAAACACAAACACAAACACAAACACAAGCACAAGCACAAGCACAAGCACAAGCACAAGCACAAGCACAAGCACAAACACAAGCACAAGCACAAGCACAAGCACAAGCACAAGCACAAACACAAACACAAGCACAAACACACAAACACACAACACACAAACACACACACACACACACACACACACACACAACACACACACACACACACACACACACACACACACACACACAACACACACACACACACACACACACACACACACACACACACACACACACACACACACACACACACACACACACACACACACACACACACACACACACACACACACACACACACACACACACACACACACACACACACACACACACACCTAGACACACACACACACACCTAGACACACACACACACACCTAGACACACACACACACACACACACACGCGCACTTGCGCAAATATGCGAGTTTGCCGGAAGAACGCCGGAAGAAATGTGTACAGTGAAGTACTTGACGCCAAAATAGGAAAACTGCCATAGCATTCATATAGTTTCATCCATTGTCCACAGTAGGCATGTTTCGACAACACAAACGCCCCACTGCCCGTGTCTTGCCCCCCCCCCCCCGAGCCCGGCAAGGCACCTTCTCTACTTGCAGTGGGGGCAAAAAGCGGCCAGACCCCGAAGACCTCAGCGATTTCGCGACGCGTGGCCAGCATTGCGACACCCATGTTGCACCACCGATACTCAGATGCCCGGTGGATTTCCATGGGGAAAAAGGGCGTCCTTTCTTGGTTGGTTGAGCATAAAGGGGAACCCTTCCCGAAAAGAAGGAAAACAGGGCGCCACTGGGCAACAAAGGATAAGAACGCCTCGTTTTTGATTCGATCTCCCAACGTAAATACCAACAAGCCATGGGTTTCAACGTTTGCCAGCTGGAGGTGGATTCCCGACATCTCAAGGCGACAGCGAAACGCGGTAGGTGATGTCCCTTCTTGTGACCACAAGTTTCAGGAAACCCCACAAACCAAAGGGCTAGTCATGACAAAGGCACAAGAATTGGCTTAGCTTGCGGAATAATAACTTACTTGCAATATTAAGGATTCCAGGATGGAACAACTCCAGCACCTGTTGGTAGGTAGTTTATCTCACTAGGGTAGGGTTTCATCCATCCCAACTGGCGCCCACAGTAGATGTTGGTATCAAACGCCCATGACGTCCACAAATGTGGGATGTGCTCAAAGTGGGGGAAAAACCCAAATGGGCTTTCTTTTCGGTTTCTTTTTCAATACTTGAAAAGGATACCTGGACCCTAAAATTACACATAAACAACGGGGAGTTCACACCATACTTCTTGAGGCAAGAAGCAAATCACCCATTCTTTATAGTTGATTCTTGGAGGGTCCGGGTAGCCACAAACAAAACACACGCCTCTGAGTCGCCGAGCTTTAGTGGCACGTAGTGGCCATCCACCACCTTCCAGCGAGGAAGGTTCGCCGCCTGCGAAATGTTCGACCCGAATGCGTCCAGAGGGGAAGCCCAAAATCCGCACCGTAGGATGCCTTAAGCATTGCAAGCTGCAATGGAACAAGGACACCCTCCGGTGAATACCTAGAGTCTCCATGACCCCTTAAAAATGGGGTCATTGCCAAAAATAACGGGCTCATGACCAACCACTTTTAAAGGGTCACGGATATATATATATATATGTATATATATATATATTTGCCACGGTTGTGTGGTTGAGTGTGGTTGGTTTACTTGCAATATGGCAGGGGCACCCTCCAGTACATCGTAACCACGGCTTTGGGATGGCAAACGGGGAATCCACCGTACCCCAAGGAGCCTCAAGGGACCTTCTGATCAAAAGGGGTTCTCATCGAAGTCTTCATTTGAGGTCTGAAGTTTACCCTCCCACCTAACATGGAAATGCACAGACTTTAGAAAGACTGCTTTCCTCTTGGGAAGTGCCTTTTTGCACTTCCATGTTAGTTGGTTGGAGGGTAATTGTTTGGACCGGAAAAATGGTGGACATCAGAACTGGGGTGCTTATGTCACCAGCCACGCCGAGGCGGTTCCCTATCCTCCAGTTGCTTAATTAAGTCCCCTGAAAACAACAAAAATTCCAGTAGTGATAAATTCCCTTTAAAACCAACAGGGGAAAACTAAAATATTCTTCACCAAATGGAAGCTATCGAAATTCATTGCAAGGGACACATGAGAAAAAACAACCCGAACATGAGATTTGGGTGTGTCGTGTTTAGTGGACCCCCCATAATGGTGGGTTTCCTTTTGGTACCCCCTTAAAACCACCAGAAAAAGGTATACCTCAAAAACAAACACCCCCATTTGTGGGCCCATGGCTTTTTCCTCAATGGAATCTGTGGACTGGTTGGATGTGTTTGCTGTACTTGCCATAGGTGACGCAGTTTGAATCTTGTGACCCGGTTTCTGCCGTGACTATCCAGGTGGAGATTCTAACCTCAAGTATGAAACTCAGTTGTTCAGTGACCCTGGAAAAACGGGGAACCCTGTTTTGGGAAGACCATTTTAGTGGGGCAGCCACCCAAAAAAAAAGGGAAAAATAATTGGTGCCACTGAACAGCTGAGAATATGAAAGAACCCGAAAAATCTAAACTGGCGGTTTGGATGTGAGTGGTGGTCAATGAGGGGATCAAACCATTTGCCCTCAAGAAGGGGTAACCCGAATCCAAGCCACCAATCCAACTTTTTCGGGGGTTGCTAAACATAAGGCTCCTGACCACCAAAAAAAAGAGAGACACGAACGCACATCGGGGAGGAAAAAAAGAAAGAGAAAAACAAAAACGCACATCAAGGGTATCTACCTGGAGTCTCCATGACCCGTTAACGATGGGTCAATGACCTCATTATTTTGGGTAATGACCAACCATTTTTTAAGGGTCATGGAGACTCCAGGTACCCCATTTCCCCTGGATCTCGGTTGCTTCGGTCGTGGGGGCAGTGATACCCGTCTTAGAATCGACAGGGCTCTAGGGGTCTGGAGAGAGTTGTCCCATTTTCAGGAGCCATGGCAGCTCGGGGAGGATCAAGCCTTTACGGTTCAACTGCACCCCTGAGATCGAAACATCAGCCATGGACAATTTGTTCTCTTCGTGACTCGGTGCTGGATTCCTTGAGGTTTCTCAGCGACTGTGGCTCCCCTCTCTATCAGCTGAGCAGCTAGCAACCTAACGGGCACCACTCATTCAATTTTCGGGGTCTGAGACTCAGATTGAGGCAAATTTCGGGAACATTTATCGTTTTTTGTTGAGTCTGGGGTCTAGTTTGAGGACTCAGATTGAAGCCAAGTTCTGGAACACTTCTCGATTTTTGTTGGGTCTGATCCGACTTCTTGCATCTCCTTTTTGGGGGACTCAGAGCTGAGTATATCCTGAGCCGAGAAAGGCAGCTCACTTCCGTATCCGAGGTCCTGCGCTCACTTTTTACGTCTCACTTGCAACGAAAAGACAAATCGACCTTTTCGCCGGCGAGAAGGTTTCTCTCCAATTTGGTCCGCAGGTTCCAAAAGGTGATCTTGATAAATCCAGGTCCGAAATGGGCAAGTGAAACGTGTTAAGGCGGGCCCTTCTTTCCGATCCACGGATGGAATTCAACATGCTTGTGGGAAGCTTGTTTTTCTAAACCAAGGTCCCTCACACCGCTTTTGGGAGAGACGCCAGCTTGTATACCCCATTGTAGGCCCCGTTGGGTTAAGGTAGTGGTTTGGTGGTGGACACCATTCATCGATCAAAGGGAATTTGGCGAAACACCACAAACATGGAACATGGTCAAGTGGGCAGTCCAAGTGTTGCCTATAGGGTCCGTATCATCTGCACATGCCAAAACGGGTCTGCAGCTTGAAATATATGGGGACCCCCCAACAAATGTAAGAGTCGCCTTACAACAACACACACATGTGCTAGTTGCCAATTGTGGCCTCCCAAAACAGACACAAACAACGAGTGGGTACCCTCAGAGCTTGGAATCAGAGACTAAGAAAACCTCATCCAGCGGATTCGGAAAATTTGCCCTACTCACTTGGGGGACTCAATCATACCGCGGCTTTTACCCTTCAATTGAAATGGTTGCAGACATGTATTTTTGGATGTCCAACCCAACCCAGGGGATTTACCCCGAACTCCCTTAGGTTGGACCTAGGAGTATCAGTCCCAGTTCTGGAACCCGCAGGGCCACCCCAACCCAAAAAAAAAAAGGTTTCCCTTCCTAGGACCTCCAGTGGTTTGAGGTTAGAATAAGTTGGTACATGTTGGTACCCACTTTTTTCTTTTTCGGTTTTGCCTATTTTAGGGGAACCCTCCCAACCAAAAAAGAAAGGGTAAAAGGGCACCTAGCTGGGGGACCTAGCTTCCAAATCAAAAACAACATAAAGATCATCACTACTTTCGGCCTTCATTACTATAGCCCTCATAAGACCAAGCAGTCGAACACCACACCCTGCCAAAATTTTGCCCATTGGGCTGAGGGGTACTCTGTGCCCCGAGCCGCAGTGGGTTGGACCATTCCCTCGCCTCCGCATCGTCGCACACGGTGGAAGGCGTGTCCGGCCGTGTCCAGGAGGCCTCTGGAATTTCGGCATTTTTGGGGGTGTGTGGTAAGAGTCAGGCCCTGGTGGGTGTTCAAGTGGAACCATCTGGGTGTCTGCTGAGTCTTGGGTTGGTGGGGGCCCGGAAATTTGGTGGTTTGTGGCGAGAGTAAGGCCCTGAATACGTGTTCTGCCCAGGTAAGAAACAAAAGTCCATGGGTAGAACGTGCAATTCTCACCCGGGCTTTTGGGCTTTTGAGAGTTGGTTGAAACAAACGGACCATGGCCCTTTAACGGGACGGGAACCAACAGGAAGTTGTCGAGCACCCAACGACGGTGTTTTGGACTTGTGGTTTTGAACACAGTCGCTGACTGGGTGTCAACAGTTGGTTCGAGGCCGCTAATGACTTTCTGTGCATTTGTTTCGGCCTGGAATGCACTGGTGGATGTGTGCTAAATTAGGGGTAACTCCGAAAATCAGTGGTTTCCGCCGCCGATCGTATGTTCCCGCCTGGAAATCCGCCGGTGAGCAGGTGTTAAAGTGAAACCATCTGGGTGTCTGCTTTTGACAGTCCCCCCGATGTGTGCTGGGTAAAGGAAAACCAAAAGGATCCCCTGAAATCTATGTTGGGGGTCCCGATTCCTAGTTTGAGACAAGCCCATCTGCTATAGCCCCTCTGTTTCTTTTGACCTTTGTTTTTGGGTGTTTAAAGGGGGGAACAGGCGCTGCTCAATGTTGCACAGCTGACGTGCGTCACCTGGCGCAGCCCAAACAAAAGACTACCTGGGGTTCAAGCCAGCTGCAACATGGCTTGTTTGACGTTGGAAGGGGAGCAAACAAAAAACACAGTTAAGTGGGGATTTCCCACTATACCAAAACAAGCAAAAAAGGAAAAAGTATGATGGGGTTGTATAGCCACCATTATTTACCTAATGTTGATCCCGGATCCCCTCCAGTCTGAATTGTTACCTCTATAAACTCGGGTTGAGGACAATTTGGGGTTCATCTAAATTGGCTCCTTGCCATTCTTTAGATCCCCTGCAAAACTTGACTTTTAGTTTCTCAGATGGAAACTACCGCTCAACCAACTACAAAGCTAAAAAGGTACCTTCCATTTGCTTAATCCCCCCGAAACCAAGAAAAACGGCAGTGATAGATTCCCTTCAAAACCAGCAGGGGAAAATACAACATATTCTTAAACAATTGGAAGTTTAGGAACCGGGAGCCAGCAAGTTTTACTGGATCAACCCAGCCCCGAGGGCCCCGCGGCCAGGGAGTCGCTGCGCTGCCAGGGTGGCCGCAGCCACGAGGGCGTGCCCGGACGCCTCGCTCGGCGCGGCAGGAAATCAGCGGCACTCGAAGGTCCACTGTGCCCTGGGATGGAAACCACCATTGAAACATTGTTTACCTAAGGATTGTTTAAATGGGAAACATTGTTTACCTAAGGATTGTCCTTAAGCCCAGAAAATAAAAGTGACATTGACAGTAACCTGGGCTTATATAACCACCAGTGTTTATTACTAAGGATTGTCATCCAAATTGGGTCAACCTTTCTTTTAATGGGAGTTGAACCCTAGGGTGTGTGTGTGTGTGACCTCCGTTGCTTTCTGCTCCCCTGCTAAAAGTTTTCAATTTGTATTGGTTTAATGGGAACAACCCATTAGTTGGCAAAAGGTTAAAGTCCTAGCATCCAAGCAAAATGCACCAAAGTCTGGCACTCCTGATGGCAAAGCTGCTTGGTTTCCTTTCGAAGCAAAAATATGAGACATGCATTGGATCTTCCCCGGAAATGCAGCAAATCAAGTGTGTCAAATATCCGTGCCTCTCAAAGATCCACTTGCGGCACCCAATCCCTTCAAGACCCTACGAAAAAGGCAACCCTCAATGAAACTCACACCAAGCGAGTATTTTGAGGCTACCCTTTTCAGAAGCTGGCAGAGAAAGAAAACTACGTTAAGAAGAAAAAAACAAAACCTTTGAGGTTCTATTTTGATTACTCACTTGGGTGTCTCGCTTCCGAAAAGTGCCTTGGCCAAAAACAGTCTCTCAACTTGTTTCAACCACTTTGCACCACAAAAGGGGGCCGAACCCGAAAAGTGACGAAAGTGACATAGAACTCGTGGAGTGAGACAGGAAGTATCCGGAAAGCAATAGGTCAGCTTCCCTCTAATTGGTGGTTTGGTGGTTAAGGACCGGGGGTTCAAAGAGCGAAAGATGATGGCCTTAGACATGCTTCCGGGCCCCGACAAACAAGCAAAAATATCAAGATCAAGCCAAGGCTCGTCAAGAACTGGTCTAAGATTGGTCTCCGCAGGCCCAGATTTACCAACCCTGGTGAAAAAACAACAAACCAAGTAAACCACTACAACCAGGTGATGGTGTATCCTTTGAATACCGAATCTTGATCCTTTGCACCCTCTCGGAAACAAATAGGATCGATGCGGCGGCGAGATGATGCGACTGCGAGCCTTGCGATTGAAGCGCCCTCCAAACTTGGCTCAAGGACAAGGGGTACACCAAAACCAATAGAATGCGACTTCGTATATATTAGTCTATCCAGAACCAACCAACCAACCTACCAACCAAGAAAAAACAAACTAACAAACTAACAAACCAACAAACCAACAAACCAACCACCAACCAACCAACCAACCAACCAACCAACCAACCAACCAACCAACCAACCAACCAACCAACCAACCAACCAACCAACCAACCAACCAACCAACCAACCAACCAACCAACCAACCAACCAACCAACCAACCAACCAACCAACCAACCAACCAACCAACCAACCAACCAACCAACCAACCAACCAACCAACCAACCAACCAACCAACCAACCAACCAACCAACCAACCAAACGAACAAGCACACAAACAATCACACAAGCAAACAAACAAACCAACAAACCAACAAACCAACCAACCAACAAACCAAAAAACAAACAAACAAACCAACAAGCAAACCAACCAACCAACAAAAAACAAACAATCCAACACAACTAACCAACCAACCAACCAATCAACCAAGCAACCAACAATCAATCAAACAAACAAACAAACAAGCAAGCAAGCAAACAAACACACACGCACACACACGAAGAAACAAAGAAACAAATTAACACATTTTGGAGGAGATCCCGAAGAAAAAGACAAAGTCGGCAGCCCACCGGAGCGAGGCAAAAAGTGCCGAGGCCCGCGCGTGCTGGGCCGACTCTTGAAGGAGCCGCGGCTGCTCTCCAGGATCTGGCGAACGGAAAGCAAACAACTTCCCTTGCGGCAGAACTCAAACAAATATTTCTCCTACCCAGAGGCTCCTTGCTTCGGCTTTCAATATGACCCGACCCGAAGCAATAGACACCCGGAAATATGTGGGGTGCTGCTTGAGAGCCAAAAAAAATCGAATTGGAGGGTTGTGGGTAAGAATCAAAGTTTCAACCTTTTGGGCCAAATGTTCCCATTCCCTCAAAGTCTTAAAAGCTTGGATTTTGAGAGGCTAGGCTAAGGGAGGGTAAGATTGCTTCTCCTCTGGTCTTCAAAAAGTGATGCACGAAAATGTCACCCCGGGTCCATGAAGACCTGTGAAGTGCGACCACACCCAAAAAGCACAAAGAAATTTCAGGACACCCCAGTCGACAGGGACCCTTTGGGATGTTGCGTGGCATGACTGCCTCAGTCTTTACCCCACGCATCCGCACACCAAAACCAAATTGGACCTCTTGTGCTTCTATGTTTGGGACGAAATATGTTGAATGGGTTTGTGGGGTACTGCAAAACAAGCTTAAATCGTGATTATAAGATAGTATTGCGTGCAAGCGGTTAGCCCCTTATATCTTTGGTGAGCCTTAGCATGTTCTACAATGAGAGATCCCAGTTGTAGAAACGGGTATGTGTCACAAAAGGTTTCCTGCACAAAATGTGACTTTCCTGTTGATTCCGATTCCGCTTTAAACCAACCTGACACCCAAATGGCTATGAAACTGATTTGAGTAGGGGACCATCTCCGAAGTGGCTGGTGTGCAAGAATCCCAACCTAAATGTCCACGAAAGGGTCCTTTCGGACCCATCAAAATCACAGCCCGAAAAGACCATCCCCTGACATGAAGCTAGGACGGAGCGTGTGACCCTTGGAAGGGTGCAGAGCCTCATATTATCAGATGTCCAATAGATTTTCATGGGGCAAAAAGGGCATCCGTTTTGTTGGCTGAGTTTCAAGGAATTGAAACCCTGCCCCTGTAAAACGGCTGAGCCTGGAATCTATAGATTCGAGGGTTTCCGGTTTGGGGCCCAAAAGGAAACAACAAACCGTCCAAGTGCGCTACTCGCACATTTTCACGCTTGAACAGCCACGCAACTGATGTTAAACCCCCAAACTGACCGATTGAATTCTTCAGAATCTCCTTCTGACCCTTTGAAAATGGGTCCATGACCCCATTTTGGATAATGACCAACCATTTTTGAAGGGTCAGAAGGAGACTCTATAGGTGAAGGTATAGTGATAGATTCCCTTGGTGGCCAAGGAGGGGGTTCCTATTTACGCTCTACAAGAACCATGGGTTCGCATCCAAATCCCAAACCACCAATCCACCAATTCAGGATAACCCAAATTCTGAAAAGGGGAAATGAGCCACCTTCCTCCCCCCGCCCTTCGGGCCCCTACAGACTTCAGCCCGCAAGCAACGGTCAGCAGCAGGGCTTTGGGGAATGACCACTTCTGTGATACAACAGAAAGGGCTTCCCAAAGACTATTTTCTTCAAAAAAAGGGGGATTCCCTTGTATCACAGAAGCGGGGAGAAACCCCTTGATCCCACAACCCTGGTCAGAAGGGTCAGAAGGAGACTCCGGGAAGAAAGGGCTCGGACTGCCACATGCCCCAAGGGCACCTCTCTGGGCAGCGCTGGCACCGCGGGCGCCACCGCCTGCGCCGCCTGCGACGAGCCAACCGTTGCTCTGCACTTCCCAAGTGGATGGCCGAAACAAAGGAATCTTTTTTTGGGCCTAAGCCCCTAAAATGGCCCAAACCAAAAAAAATAGAAAGTCCATGAACTATGGGTGTTTGGGAGCAACTCCAATCCCCCTTTTGGTTTCCTGCCGGGGAAATCACAAAAATATGCGTCGGAATCAATTCCTGCGAGCCGAATGATTGCCAGGTCTGAGGGTCCGTCACCCGGGTCACCGGACCGGCTCTCCAAAAACACATGAAACCCGGAGCATTCTCTTCAGGATGGATGGGGGAAAAAAAGGAAGAGCACTCCAACTTCTTTCCTCTGGGATAAAAAGATCTTGCCTTTGCAGGAATACCCGCCTGCCAACAACAAAAGCAAAGGGTCCATGCGTTGCCAGCGAGGAAACACATGGCGCACCGAATCGCGAGCTCCACGAGGCCCCGTTTTCTAGGGGCACCTTCCCCATTCTTTTCAGGGATCCTTCTTTTCAGGAAGCCATTCATAATAAAAAGAAAGGAAACAGCCGGTTGTTGAAAAGAACAATGGTTGGAAACAAATGGTTGGAATCAACCCCTAGACGTTCGGATGTTCCACGTTTGGATCATCTCCCCACCTCCTGCGCTTCCATTCCCGGCGCTGCCGGGGCGTCGGCCGCATAGCCCGCTTCCGCCTGCGGCGAGGCAGGCGAGCTCTGAAGGCGAGGAAATGCGAGGAGATATGAGGCCTCCATTTGCTTTGAAGCAGGGCTGTGGTTGAAATGGAATCCACTTCTGTGACGCAGAAAGGCTTCCCAAAGCATCCCCCTGAAAGAAGATCGGAGATTCCCTTGCACAGAACTGGGGATAAACCCCTTGATCCCACGACCCTGCTTTTGAGCGGCCTAGAAAAACAGGGGGCAATACTTCCAGCAGTGACAGATTCCCTTGAGTGCCAGGAGAAAATGCAAAACCTTTCTACAAGCAAATGGAAACGGGAAACCAGGTGGTTATTCACCTCACCGCATCTACAAACAGATTCGCACACCTCGGCCTTGAGTTTGGGCGCCCTGGAATCCAAAGAACCATAAGTCTTCACCCTAAATTCCGGTTTGGTCCCAAAGGATACGAAAGGCTGTGCCCCGCTTTCTCTTGGTGTACCCGAATAGTATGTGTATACTAATAAGAATCGGCCGGCGCTGGCTTGATTTGGACAAAAACCGCTTTTGCAGGATAGATGTGCCAGCTAGTCCAAAGGATCCCCTTGTGCAACAGGTGACATTGCGATAAATATGTTAAACGACTGTTTGGAGACCCCTGAGGAAACCATGGGGGACGGGGACGGTGATCCCTTTTCGTATGGCCGGAAGCAGTTTCAGCTCTTGCCCAACCCCCGAAGAACAAACTACGCTACGGCTTCTTTTCTATGTGCGAGTAATTCCCAGAGGGTCCCTTGGTACCTGAGAAATGTTCGGGGTTGTTTTCGGAATCTGTTGACGAGTCCCCAAACCCCAAAACGCAAATATGGGGTACTACTGTGGATGGACGAAATCCTGCACTACCTAAGCAACCATGTATGAGAAACCATTGTTTGTTGGTATTGACAAGGGAATCAACATTCCAGGGGTTCGTAGGTGGTGCAGAATTTCGTCCATCCACAGTATGGGTACCGAGCAAGGGACCCCAAAGCGCTGTTGCGTGACATGGTGCCAAAAGACCATGTTCATTGGTGGGAATTACCCACTTGTGTGGATTTGAATGGAAGACCTTCCAAATGACGATTTGGCCGTGGGTCAAAAAACGGTACCCAAAACGGAACCCTGGTAAATAGAACCAATGACTAAAACCTGCGGTCCCCTGGTCGTTTAATTTTGATCCATACCCATTTTCTCCAGTTCCCTGCTCGCACAGAAGTGGAACCAATGCGTCATTCCCACAACCCTGGTTGAAAGCGAGATCAAAACGAAAATCACCCACTCCTCTGGCTTCCTTTCCGGCAAACTGGCCATGGGTCAAAATCCCGCCCACTAAAATAGACTAAAAAGGGTGGTGCACCTACCTCAAAATGGTACCGTTGGTTTTGACAACCACAGCCAACTCGATCTAGAAAAATCTGGTCGAGACGCACAAGATGCCGCTGCGCAGCAGAACCACCACCATTTTCTTGACCGGTTCAGGTTGCGGCAATTTAATACCTCTGCTTCATATGTCCGGCACACATCCAAAAAGCCACAAAAAGAAACTCGACTTTTCAAGGCAACCCGGAGAAGAAAACAAAGGACAATGAGGGGGCAAGTACCTTTTACAGGGTCAGGGGCCAAGGTGCTTCTTTGAAAGTACCTGGCCAAATTTTGCGGGTGATCTCGCTTTACCCCCACCAACCGCAGACCCGGTGGAGTACGCCACCTGGCTCCGGGAATGGAGCCCCAGCAACGGGAAGCATGTCATGCGGACGGTGGCGAGATCCATTTCGTGAAGTCCTAAAAAACCATCGTCTCTAGGAACTTTTACATGCCAGATTTGTCTGACTTTCCGCTGCGAAACGGATTTCGTTTCCATAGGCTCCGAGGTAACATTATGTGAAATTATGTGTGACGAAATCGACAGGCACACCACCTCTTGGCTGGCTCCTTCAACTCTCCTCAGGCCTGGGAATAGACCCCAGCACCCCAGGAATCATGCCAGGGGGTTCTGAACGCTAAAAAAAACATGGTTGACATCTTGAAACCACTGTTTCTTGGCCTCCATTTGCTTAAGTCCCCTGGAAAACATTTTAAAAAAAATGTCCGGTAATGATAGATTCCTTTAAAAACCCAACAGGGGAACATAAAGCATATTCATTTCAGCACATGGAAGTTGGTATTTACCTTGGGGACTCATCCACAGGTTCCCTTCGGCGCGTGCCCCTCCGCCTTCGCGGCGCGCTGCTTCCGGGGCGCGTAGCCCGAGTCTCGCCTTCGAGACACGCCCACACGGCTTGGTGGACGATGGAAGGGGAGCATGTTTTATCAGATTTTGGCAGTTGAGTGGGTGGATTTCAACCACTAAACCACAATGAGCCAAAGATGTATATAAAATGTTTCCCAACAACAACCATCAATGGGCGGCCCTTTTGGTTCAACTCGATGGGATTTCCCTGGGGAATTGAATGAAGCTCATCTGAACCAGTGGCTTGCCCATCTATTTCTAACCGATCAGCAGGACACCTATGGTTTATGGTTTGAACCCCCAGCCCGAAAAATTGGAGAACGCCTAAAAAAAGGAGGGGCCTCACGTGTCCCAAAAATTTCGCCTCGCGCAATGCCAGTTGCGCAATGAAAGACGGCGCCATTTTTCTCAGGACCCGGGCTGAAGGACCCCAATGGTGTGTTTCTGATTGCCCAGAGGCCCAGAGGCTCCGATTCGATGGTTTTTTGGGGCCCTCAAACAGCCAGCGCTTGAGAACCAAAGAAACACCGAAGCGGGGTGTCTGATGGAGGGCTCGGGTCTTCCTTTGAAAGCCGAAGCAAGGAGCCTCTGATTGTTGGACTTAACTTACCACCAAATGCTACGGTTTGGTTTGGTGGTTTGGACGCTAGGGCGGTGGGTTCAAACATCTCCAAGACACTAATCATTAATCTGGGCTGTCCTCAGATCCGCTGCTAAGAGTGACTAACTTTTAGTGTGTTAAATGGAAACTACCACTAAACACTAAAAGCCTAAAAAGCTAAGGGGACGGCTGGGGGCCACCAAGTAATCCAAACACCCAATGGCTGCACCAGTTTCCGTCGTTTTCTGGTCTGATACGTTGCTGTCTTTGTCCGAAAGATGGATGCCACGGTAACCCCGGACCCAGATTCGACTTGACCCACTGTCAGAGGAACTTCAGGTACCCCATGTGGCTGGACAAACAAAACGCGAATCGATCGACGCAAGCGGAAGGATGAAACCCAGTTCGAATACTGGTTTGTCAAGACCGGAGCGAATATTTTTTCCGGAACGAGCGCCCATAGGCTCTTATCAGCAGCTCACACAAAACCATGGGAACACACTGAAATTTAGGGGGTTTCCTAGATCCACTATGAATTGCACTGTTGAGGTCCACCACAGAGAAAGAAACGATAGGCTAGTGTGGGATTCATGTGCACGACCACTTTGTCAGGTGGTTTCCTATTCAAATTCCCCCTCCCAAAAAAAAATCAAATACATTGTGCAGCCAGGAAAACTAATTCAAAATTTTGCCAGCTCTTCAAACTCCTTTGGCCTCCTGGCTCCACCATACAGCCAAAAAAAAAACAAACAAAAACGTGGGGACCCTCACAGCCCAGACTCACAGACTGACTCCCTGGGGCCGGGGCGGCGAGTGGGCGGTCGGTGAGGGGCTGGGCGGATGGCACACTTCCCGCACCTCGCCCTGGGCGGAAGGCGAGAAAATCTGACGGACAACTTCTGGGCATCTGACGGTGGAATGAGTCCTTCCCCATCTCTTCTCAAAAAACCTCTCCCCATGTTTTGCCCAGGACCATCCCTGCTCTTCAAAAACTTGCTTCGCAGGTCTTTCTCTGGGCTTCCGGCGGTTGGACAGATTCGGATCCCTAAAGAATGGACATGGAAGGTGGCCCAGAGAAACGGGGTACCGTGTCGACTGGGGGGACTTCTCTGGGTCCAGGTCCGGATGCCTTTCGGGCTCCCTTTAAAAAGGGCTACCTGGCTCTTGAAAATGGGTCCATGACCAACCATTATCTTAAAACATGACCCACCATTTCTTAAGGGTCATGAGACGCTCCAAGGGAAGTCTTTGAGGGGTTTTGGATCAGCACTCCCAGGGATCCCAGGGACGGACAACTCAAACCCGTCCAGTGGTCCATTTTTTAGGAGCCCCTAGCAGCAAAACCTTCGACCTCAGGCCTCAAATGAGGTCTTGGGCTGCTAGGGATTGGGGCTTCTGAACTGTCGGAGGCTTGGCGGAGAAACGAAAATGGGGGCGCTTGATTGCTCTCCGGGGTTGTGGGAATGAACTGAACCCTGGATCCCCCGATTCAGTTCACATTCCAACTCGAGCCTTCCCAGCTCCAGCCAATTGGACACTCAAATATCTGCTTCCCCCAGACTTTTGGGCTCGAATCATTGAAGCCTGGGGCGAAAAAAGGGGTGGCGTCCCGTTTGACATCCCTTTACAAGAACTAGAGATGCAGGTCACAGGGATGTCAAAAAAGTAATGTCACAGGCCACCGAGAAAGGTAAATGTGGTTTGGGAAAAGGGTGACCTGGGAACTAGGGGTGCAAATCCCAAACCACGTGACCAAGTAAGGTCACAGGTCACCGAAAGGCCAATCCGTGGCACCGAAATGGGGGACGGCTGGCCGGCCGACTCGACTTGATACTCACCAAGCTGAAGCGAAGATTAATGCAACAACATCTGTTCGCCCGAACCAGTGGCCATGACAAAAAAACAGAAAAATGGAAAAACACGCCTTGAATCGTTGTTTGGAGTGGATATCGGGTGCCTTCTTTGTGGAGTTGGGGCCCCCTTTTTTGTTTTGCGGTTTTAGAGGGAACCAAAAGGACGCCCGAAATCCATTTGGGGGTTCCAACCTGCAACCAAAGACCCAGATCAAATTGGAAGGGTTACCACACAGGAACCAGGACCTGCTCAGTTCACTGACCGGCACTGAGGTGCCTTTGCTTGAAGCTCCCCTTCTCAGGTTGGCCGAAACGGAGACCAAAGAGACATCCGCCCCATTTTCTTGGTTGGGAAGGGGAGCAAAAACATATTTTTAGCAGTTAAGTGGATTTGGATTTCAACCACTAAACCACAATAAGCAAAAATGAAAAAAATGTTTCCCAACAACAACCATGTTTTGGCCCCCCCAACAAAAAGCCAACGGTGGTATTTCTGCCGGTGCCCGCTGGCAAGAAGCTTCAAACTTGGACATCCGCTCCGTTTGCGCTTCCGCGTGGATGGAATGAAACCCTAAGGCCCTACTGGGACAAACCGCCGAGTCCATCCACTGGTTCCATTTAGGCATTTATTTTTGGCATTTGACCTCCCAAATGCTCCAAGGCCCACAGCCAGGTTGCAGCCAAATCCTTTGTCGAATTCAACAATCCGCAGAAGAAATCCGGCGTAGACCTCGATCCGGCCTGAGCCTGCGTCTCTGAGCTCTCATAGCCATCCTGAGCCGGGGGACAAAACAACACAACATCGCCCTCCCCCCGACCCTCTGTTTTGAGGGGGATGATCCCCCATCCTCCCCGATCATCCCCCCCCCACACCCTTTTCAAAGTTGCGAGTTACTCGCGGCTTCCATTGAACCTGCTACTTCTGGAGGTCCCAAAAGAGGGAAAGTGAGGGACCCCCTGTCAGGTCTTCGGAACTTCCGGGCCAGTTGGCTCATTCACGTCTCCGGATGTTGCTCCTTGGAAAAGGGAAGGGAGGCCGGGGGTGTGTCCAAAGGAAACCAAAAGGAGACGGCTTTGTTTTGGGTTTCAACACCCCCCTATTCTGCACCCAGCGGGGTCTCATCCAAAACGATTTGGTATTTGAGGCTCCAATTCGATTGATTTAGGGCCCTCAAAACACCGAAGCAACTGATTTTGAGACCAACCCCTTCCGGGGTGTCCAATGGAGGGGACGGGTTTTCCATTGTATTCCATTGCAAGCCCCAGAAGCCTCTGGCTACCCAAACTACTGTCACTCGTACTTTACAAAGACCTCTAGTGCACGGTTTGCAGTAGCAAAGACGGAAGACCCCTGCTTTTGGTTAAAAGAGTGGTCTCCTCGTTTCCCATTTAAACAAAATAAAACACAATAAAAAATATGCCCAGTAGTGATAAATCGATTCCCTTTAAAACCAACAAGGGAAAATCAAACATATTCTTAAGCAAACACAACCAAGAGGTCCCAGACTTTGCTCACGCGAAGTCCCGGGCGCCAGGCCCCTATGAGGTGGCTGCGCAGCTCGGAGCGCTGGAGCAACACGTGGAGCCCTGCCCAAGGTGGCTTGACGGGGGTGGCTCGTGGTTTTATTTGGTTTCAGGGAACGCTTTTGGGGTAGCCACAAAAACTCGGTGGCGAAATCTGCTCCCCTGCTAAAAGTGAATAACTTTTAGTGGTTTAATGGAAAACCCATTAGTGGGCAAAAAGTTAAAGTCCTAACATCCAAGCAAAATGCAAAGAAAAGGGGTATGTGTCTTGTTTCTACAAATTGGACCCCCCAAAGATGGGTGTTCTTTTGGAGAGCACCTGTGAAACCAGCCCTAAAAAGGGTACTTGAGTGGTTGATTCGCCAGGCGAGACAAAAATGATACTAAGGTTGTAACCGATACAAGCTCCCGTTCGGACATCACCCTAATGGGTTACAACCAAGGTAGCTAACCACTTACCTGGCGAATTAAGCACCCAAATACCCTTTTTAGGGGAAGGAAAACCAAAAGGCCACACTCATGGGGGCTTGAGGCTTGGGGGGGAGGGAGGGGAGGGAGGGCGCCCTAAATAAGCCCCTATTCAGCCCTGAAAAAGGCCTTGTTTAGGGCTCCCTCCCCCTCCTTTCCCTCTTCCCCAGCCCCGATGACAAACACTTTTGGGGCAGGCTGAAGGAAACCAAGAGGAAACCCCCACCATTTGGAGACAAACTCCAGGGTGTTGCTCGAATGGTCCCATTCAAAAACTGAAACCCTATAGAATTGTACAGGGTTGTGGGAAATGACCACTTCTGTGATACAACAAAAAGGGCTTCCCAAAGACTAACACCCCATATAAAGGGGGAGATTCCCTTGTATCACAGAAGTGGGAATAAACCCCTTGATCTCACAACCCTGGAATTGTAGGTTTGAGGGCAGATTTTTGTTCGGATTGCTTTGAAGGGAAACCAAAGGGACAACATCCTACTCGCGGATTCTCTACTAAGACAAACACACACACACACACATTTGGGGATGCAATAGTAATTCTCTGTTGACTTCACCAGTCCAAGCCGGATGCCTGAAATGCGAGGCTTGGTTCGGTCCTCTGGGTGTGTGAGGTTGTACGTTTGTTTGAGAATTTTTGGGGGTTGGCCCTCTGGTTTCACTGGCCTGTCTGGTTCACCTAAGGCGGTGCTAGCCCGTGCTCTGCTTCCACTTGCCTAAGTCCAAAGTAGAACAGAGTGAAATCGATTCCCGTTAAAACGGGAAGACAGCACATAGAACCTGATTTTCGCACAATCCGAATGCCATCCTCAGGTATCCCAGAGAAAAGAAGAAAACAAAAAAAAAACACTTCAGTTTTCTGGCACCTTGGATCCCACCAACATCCGCCACCGGCCTCGCAGCAGCGCGAGCGGCTGGCGCAGGGAGGCGTCCTTCCGCACGTTCGCGGCCTTGGCGTCCGCATGGCCGAGAGGGCTTCCATTTGGACAAGGCCGAAAACTCATCTAGCTTGATTCTCTCATATCCGGGCTGTCCTTTTTCTGATCCCCCGCGAAAAGTTACCAACTCTTGGTGGGTTCAATGGAAACTCCCGCTAAACACTAAACAGCTAAACTCGCCAAAAGGGGATGGCTGGCTTCGCCACCAAGATGTGTGGTTGTCAAGTTGTCATCTTTTGGGGTCCTCGAAAGGGAATCCAAACCAAAACCAAAGCCACTTTGAACATTGGAGGCCCTCAAGAAAAACGGACCCCCCTATGTCGCCTGCCAAAGAAAGCTTTGAAGGGGACCCCAATTACAGTCCAAAACAAGGGTAGTCACAGTATCCATCTCAACCCCTTCCCCCGCAAAGGTAATGTGTACCGTTCGAGGAGCCCTACTTGAGGTTGGCTTTGATTGTCCCGCCTGGGACATCGGCTGCTTGTCATAGAGAGGGAACCGAATGCTTTGGAAGTTCAAGGGGGCTCCCCATATATATATATATATATATCCCCTTCAAACATCACCCCCACCAAGGGATACTCACCTTTCATGGGCCAAAAAGGTGATGTTTAAAACAGCCAAAAAGGGAAATATAGGGACTGTTCAAGGGGCTAGGTGTGTCAACAGGGCCCAGTCTGTTGGTCCGCTGCCAGGGATTTGCCATGTCCTCCGCTGCTTGCCTGCGGTTTACGCCGAAAGCGCTGGAAGCGCTGGCTGTGGGTGCAGCCGCTTTTTTTTTTTCTCAGGGTGCAGCCGCCACTGCCGCCTCCAGGCGGCCTGCGGCTCCACAGGCCTGGAGCCGAGCTGGTGATGAGGTGTTGCAACTGCGCATGGCACGGAAGGCACAGGGGGTACCTGGACCCTCGAACTACACACATAAAAAGGGAACTCACCCACCAACTTCTGAGGCAACACATTTTAAGAAGAAATTTGAGGGTCCAAGCAGCCTTTTCTGGGTTGCCAACGGAAACCAACTGGGTCAGGGCCGGCGTCCAGGGACGCGTCGGTTCAACAACCCCATGACCATATGGGATGACCCCATACTGTGGATGGACGAAATGTTGCACCGCCTAAGCAACCATGAGACACCATTGTTTGTTGGTATTGACAGGGGAATCAACATTCCAGGATTTCGTCCATCCACAGTATGAATCAACACCCGACCACTGCTGGAGGGGCCCCCACCCCCAAGAGCATAAACAGGGGTTTTACTTCATCCGGGTCAACATCACATGATGCTCCGTTTCCTTTCGCTCTGCCCGGCCCAAATGACTTAATGGGCAACCCAGAAAGACAAAGGACGTAAGCCCCCGACGGCCCCCGAAACCCCAGAGGAAATTTGGCAGTTGTTGGGACCCGGGTGCTGGAGGTCCGAGATGCATAGTTTGGGGCCTTGAAAAGCCCGGCTGCGCGCCTCTCCCAGAGCCTGCCACTCGCGCACCTGGGTCACAGGCTAGGCGCGCTATGTTTGGGCTCGGTGTCTTTGTGGGCTTCCTTTGTGCGCAGCACATTGACCTACATCTCGGTTGCATCCGAGATCCGGGCCCAAACGCAAAACTCGATCCCTTCAAGTCATCAGTCAGCTAATTAAACACAACAAGCGCCAAGTGCCACAAGCAAACTAGCAACAAGCAAAGCAAACAAGCAGCAAGCAAAAATCAAGAACGAAAGCAACAAGGAAAACAATGCAACAAGCAAGCAGAATTCCCGTTTTAAGGCAACGCGCCAAAGGCAAAAGGCAAGCCAATAAATGTTTAATAGTTGGACCCCAGACATGGAGAACGGGTCCCGCAGCTTACTCCAATCTCCGAAGTCCCTCACAAGACCTGGCAAGTGAAAACCCACCGGACAAATCAACCCCGGTTGATAAATAGGCTGCGACCCCTGCTGGGTGGAGCCATAAGCAAGGCAACTTGAGACTCAATGGCTCAAAATACCTATCCTCCAGCATGAGCCTGAGAAGACTGGTTGGCGGGCTTCGGGATTTGAGGTCAGTTGAGAGCAAACGAAAAAAACAACCACCTAGAGAGCCCAGTTGCTGCTTTTTCAGTCACTGTTGCTGGTTGTGGAGGTACAGTGCATGGCAAGAAAAACAGCAACTGGCGATCCAGGCACCCGTGCTGAACATTCCCCTGTGACACATACCTGGAGTCTCCATGACCCTTAAAAAATGGGTCCATGACCCCATTATTTTAAGTAATGACCCCATTGTTTACATGGAGACTCCAGGTACCACTTTCTTCAGAATGTCGAGGAATCTGAGTTCTGCGCGCAGTCGTCCAAGCCCTCCGGGCTATCGGAGACGCTCAGGTCCTGGAAAGCAGACAAAAAACGTCAGGGAAACCGAGCTGGAACCATAGGGGTCCTTTTGGTTGAGAATACCTGGAGTCTCCATGACCCTTCAAAAATAGGGGCATCACCCAAAAGAATCGCGTCATGGACCCCATTTTTAAAGAGTCATGGAGACTCCAGGTACATGGATTTTCCTGGATAATAAAACCGATGGGTCAAGCAGGAACCGTCATCGATGTTCTACCAAAAAGGGCAGAAAACCAAATCTGTTCCCAGAAGCTGCACCCTTCGGACGGATTCTAAAGGGCCGGGTGCTCAAATGACCCCTTCTTGAAGGCCCGGGCCCGGGCCAGTTCGTCGTGAGCCGTTGGGTGGCAAATAATGGGAGCCGCTTTTTCGGGGACCCCCCAACATTTTGCAAAATGGGCTTCTTGTTGGTTTTCCTTTACAACACACCCAAAAAGGGGGGGGGGCATACCACCCAAAAAGGGCCCACCCAAAAAGTGGCACACCCAAACCATGATACGAATCAGATGCCCGAATCTTGGGACCGGACCCGAATCTGGAGCTCCAAAAGCTTAGGTTCTCATCTCGCAGGGTCCTTTCTGATGCCTCAGGTGAAGCATTTTTTGAGAATGATTCGCCAAAAATCGTGGATCCCGAAGCACTGCAGCAAGCACAAGGGTGGCAAGGCTTGCAACCTAGGGACCTCAAATGTTGTCACCTTTTGATCATGGATTGACCATTGTCCACTCAGTTTTTCAGTGACCCTGGAAAAAAAGGAAACCCTTTTTTGGGAAGACCATTTTAGTGGGGCAGCCACCAAAAAAAAGGAAAAAGGGGGCCACTGAACAACTGAGTCCAAATGAAAAGGGCCAGGTTGCAGGTCGGCTGAGTGGTATTGGCAATAGCTCTTAGCGAAAGCCAACCCCCAAAAAGCAAGAAACTAAGACCTGCCGAAAGAGGCTGGAGCTGAAAAAAAGAATGGCACGCGCGCTAGCTCCACCGAAGCGCCCGGAGAATCGGAAGCGTTCCCCCCAATGGCCTCTCTCAGGGAGACTACGGCTCGAAGCAGGTCGTCCAGCACCCGCGCTAAGTCATCCTGGGAAAATGGCACAGTTTGAGCACACTCCCTTGTCTGTCCTATAGCTTTCTATGCCTGTTACAGGTACCGCTCCGGTTTTTTTTTCGGGTCTGGAGTCGTACCATCCGATTGCGGTGTTCGTAGCCCCAAAAAAGGAAATCCCCGGCGCCAGACTTTAACTCCATTCTGCACCACGAAATCAAACCATGACTGAAACGATTGGGTTCGTTGGTATTTGCAGATCATTCGAGGGTTTCTTAGGTGGTTTACCAGGTACGACCATTTGCCTCAAACAGCTGGCCATTGACTAGTGACACCAATCTTGGGTGATGTAGTTCCCCCGGCAAAAAGTTTAACTTTTTGCTGGGGGAAAGGAAATATGCAGGGAATCCAAAAAGTTAAAGTCTAAAGATCCAACCCAATAGCGGTAGAGCAATATGGTCGTAGTTTTTGCCTGGTTCGAATCCGATTTGGGTTGCCTCCCCCCGTTGAAAGACAAAACCATCCCGGGAACGTGAACATCTCCCAAACGTTGTCCGGCAACCATAATTGAGTAATATATGTTCAGCAAGCAAAAGAGATCCCAAACATCTGAAACCGTTCTAACACCCTAGCCTCATATTTTGTTTGCAAGGGGTAAACTCCTTGATTCCCCTTGGCTTTCTAAAACTTCAAGGGCATCATTTTGGGGAGTGCCTGAAAGGAAACCAAAAGGGAATCCACCCATTTAGATGGCTTCTGAAAAAACCATCAGACTCCCAACAAAGCTTCGGGCTTCAAAGGCGCCCCTATTGGGATTGGGGAGTCCTTTTAATGACCGGCATTGCAAGATTTCCATGACTTCCTGGACCTTCCATTGTTACATAAGTTTGTGTCAAGAAAGGAAAATGCTCGGGGCAACTATTTTCGCCCAATGATCCAAAAAGTGCGCAATCCCCCAAAAAACGCTCGTTTCATGAACACGGGCTTCTTACAAAATACCAATTGTTATACATGTTTTGGAGTTGCGCTTGTTTTGCGGGTATTTGCGCTCGTTTTGCGGGTATTTGTGCTCGTTTTGCGGGTATTTGCGCCCGTTCTGCGGGTATGTTTCCACATGCTTCCACGCAACAGACAATATGAGAAGAGAGAAGCCGCCGCAATCGCCCAAAATGCTCGAATCCCAATTTGTGCTCGCTATCCCGAAAAATGCCCGACTGCCAAATGTCTGCTACAAAAACACCCACGGGACAATTTTATGTAAGGAATGAAGGTCCAGGTCCATGACTTTGAGTTAGGATTCGTCCCACTCGCAAGTGCCAAGCAAAATCGAATCCCAGCCCGGCTAGACCACATCTTCTGGATGCACCAATCGAACTCCTTACAGGGCTCTTCTCCAGGCGTCAGAATAAGGCCTTTTTTACGGGGTCAACAAGAGAAATAACCCCGCACCCCCCGAGGCACACACTGACAAAGATATATGGCTGTGGGTCAAAACCAATGGTTCTATTTTGGTTGGTAGGTGAATTCACCACCCATTTTTAGAACCTATTTTAGTAGTTGGATTGAATTGGATGCTCACTGGGGTAACCGATTTGGCTTTTTGAAAACCCATGGCCATGTCGCATCCCCTCCCCCACCCCTAGGCCGCGATCCACAAACTGACAAAGATATGGCCATGGGTCAAAATCCAAATCGTGCCCCCAGTGAGCATCCAATTCAATCCAACCACTAAAATAGGTTCTAAAATGGGTGGTGAATTCACCTACCAACCAAAATGGGATCCCAAAACGGTTTTGACCCATGGACCCCATTTGCCTCTCATATTCTGTGGTCTTCCCATGGCTTCTTCAAACTTCGAATACCTTTCCTAGGTCCAGTAGTTTGAGCTTAAAATAAGTTGGCACCAACTCTCTTTTTTCTGTACATCCGACATACGGTGGATGGACGAAATCCTGCACCACCGTGGTTTCTTAGGGGTGCAGGATTTCGTCCATCCACGGTATCTTTCCATCGCATCCGACACATCGCCTTGCCGAAGGTCTCCCTGAGATCGCTGAGGAGCTTCATCAGCTTCTCCGAGCGCTCCGCTAGGAGCTGCTCCTCAGGGCAAACCGCGCGTCATCTGACGGGGCTCGCGCGTGTCGCGTCGCTCCTCTCTGGGGATGGGAAGTCCAGATCCTTTTTCCAGGGCTTGGCATTCACCTTGAAAAATTGGTGTTTGACCAGTTCCTTTGGAGAAATCCTGTAGCTGGACCCGCAACTGCCTGGAGTCTCCTTCTGACCCGAACCAAAAAATAGGTCCGTCTGACCCCCATTCTTTTAGGTAATGACCAACCATTCTTGAGGGGTCATGGAGACTCTAGGCAGAAAGCTCGTGTTTTTCTTCGTTATTTTTGTTTTGCATTTGTTTGGTGCCCTGGTTAAACATGAGACAACATATGCGGGGTGAAATCGATTCCTTTTGAACCAACAGTGGGAAATACAAAACACATGCTCATGCCCGCAAATGGACGCAACATGGTAGGTGGATGACCATCCGTTCGTTTACCCCAGGTAAAGGAACCGGTCTTTTGACCTTAGCCTGGTTGACGATGGAAGGGGAGCAACAATTTTCGGATTTTGGCAGGTAGGTGGGGAGTTCAACCACTAAACCACAATAAGCAAAAATGCAAAATGTTTGCCAACAACAAGCATGTTAGCTAGAGGAACCGGTCTTTTGACCTTAGCACATGTGGTTGTTGTTGTTTGAGGAGCCGTGCCTTATTCATGTTCGTAGGGGCGTGGTGGATGGATCAACTCCACTCGAATCGATCGGCACCAGCTAGGATGGATAAAAGAAACCGATCCCGGCTGCTGACCCATTCGTTTGAATCTGGACACCACATATGGTTCCTTCATCATTTTGGAGGGCAAACATGTCTAGAATAGTTTGGATGGATGAAATCCCTTTGCACACCTAAGAAAACCAGGAATGATACGATTCCCCTGTAAATACAATGGTTTCAATCCTGTTTTCACTTCGTGGTGTGAACAGATTTTGCTATTTCATCCGCAGTAATAAGCAAACAGCGACCCAGGTCTGATATTCCCTGGCACGGTAAGAGCTTCCTCTGCCATCCAAGAGAGTCAGTCACTCTGAGCTGCCAACGACGGAGTCTCCTGCAAAGCGGCTTCCGCTGTGACGTTTCCAAAGGTGACTCTCAGGACTGAAAGTCAAATGGCCAAGTCAAATCAACCCTTCGGCGGATATGATGTACACAGAGATGTCCATGTCTCCCTGGCTGAGTGGATGGCCCAAAAAAAGTCTAAACTTTACATTTACCACTAAAATGGTCTTCCCAAAAAGTTTAAAGTTCATGAACTCAGGAAGTCAGATGTTCGACGGTGTTTTCCATGAGAGAGAGCCACAAAAATCATCGAAAAATCAACCAACCCTCAGTGGAGTGGGCCGACTGAGGGTTGGTAGGTCCCTGCAATTTCCGGAGTGCTGCGTGCAATACCAGTGGACCCACGATTCGGCTGCGCTGTTGGGACCTCTACCCCTTGCTGCAAATACCCGCTTTTCCTAGGGTGTTTTTTGAATAACCTGGTTTTCCACGGCAAATACCTCCTTTCTTAGTAGAGGCTCCACATGATACCCTAAAACAGGTGGGTATTTGGAGCATGGGGTTTTCGTAAGGAACGTGATCGCAGAACTCTTTGGCAGCCCAAAGGTTTCGAAGACGGATCACCTAAGGCTACGATGCTACAAAGCCATTGGATGCTGTGCAACCCCCAAAATGCTAAGGCGTCCGTTTTCCGGGTGGTTTCCCTTTAAAACCACAACTCAGTTTTCTGGGAAGACCATTTGAGTGGGGCAGCCACCAAAAAAATGGAAAAATAATTGGTGCCACTGAACAACTGAGACAAACATAAGGGCACCGACTCCAAAACAAGCGAGCCACGTTTGCATCCATGGTGCGGTAGTTAGCATATCGCCGAGCTAGGCGCTGACGACATATTTGTGTAGAGCGTCAAACAAACGAATCCACCGGTTTCAACTTGCGGGAAAGCTGAACTGGGAGAAATACGCAGCCCAACGCATAACTACAGTAAATGTGTGAGGCCGTAGAACCAATTCCCATCTTGTTGACCCCACGCCCATTCTATTATCTGTCCTATTAATAGGGGGTCCACAAGTGGTCTGAACCCCCCTTATCAGGGGGACATCCCCTAGTATTTTTCAACAAGGGGTTCTGCTTAGTCCGGAGATCCCAATTCATCCTGCAAGTCAGGACGGTTAATCGCGTGCTTGGATTAAACTGCTGCGGTTTTCGGGCTGTAAATAGGCAGCTCGTCTTTCTTTTGGATTTGGGAACGCCTTTTGGTAGCTGCTAAGGGGAAACCCACAGGAAAACCACCCAGTTTGGGGGTGCGGTCCAACCTTCAAAAGATTCACCCAAATAGTGTTCGACCATGATTGACTTGGTGGTGATTGGAAAAGGCATCCAGGTACAGCCTGAAGTGTAGGTAACCAAGGGAACCACGCGATATTAAAACCAAAAGGAGATTGCCTACCATGCTGGTAACTGGTTAGTTGGGGATTGAACCCTTGCTGAGGGTAGTGAACTAGGAAATCTTCCTCAGAACCCAGACCAATCCGGTCCAGGCTGCACGTTACACAAATGGCTGCCTTGGTCAAACCCACAAACGAGTCGAAAGAAAAAAGAAAGCCTGGCATCAATGCGATCTGCTCAAACCATGGTAAAGGATCCAAAGGCCAAAAGGCCTTCATTTCATACCCCACAAATTTATTTGTCTGGCAAGTTTCTCAGGACCTCACTTGCCCCAAAGGGGGGACCTGGTTTGATCAAAGGCGACCTTTTGGCACCAAGTGGATGGAAAGGCTCCATGCGCAAGCTTCGGCACCTGGATTGCGGATTCTCAACGACCCAAACCTCCAAGACCCCCAAACCGAAAAAAGGCTTGGCCAAAACAAGGCCAAGACCTTCCTCTCCTAAATGGCGGGGCCTGAAAGATCTCTGATGGTTGCCCTATCTCGGCTGCCAGCCCAAAATGGCAATGTTTGATTCTGGCAATCATGTGGCTGGGTCTTGTTTGTATCTTTTTTAAGATTGGACACCCCCCCCCCCACGCAAATCGGTGTTCTTGTTGTGCGCAGCTTCCCTTTAAACCAACCTGACGGGCACAATCTTTCAAAACTAAAAAGGCGGCAGACCCCCTACTCGGGGAAGTTGGGGAGGGGGCGCATGGAATCCAACTGCCCGGGCTCCTTCAGCCTTCCGTCCACCCAGAGCCTGGCTGAGATCGACATGGTTCAAATTTCGGGTTTGGGTAGATCCACGTTGTGGCAACCACAAAACAACTTGGGGGAGCTGGCAGCAAATCCGAGTTTTTGGAGTAGGTTGTATAGATTTCTGACTCAAAACTGTACACTGCAGCTTTAGAACCACCTGGAGTATCCATGACCCTTTGAAAATATGGCCGTGACCCCATTATTTAGGGTCATGACCCCATTTTTGAAGGGTCATGGAGACTCTAGGCACGTTGCGGCAACCACCGAACCAAAACTTAGGGGGGTGCTGGCAGAAAATCCGAATTGCGGATTAGGTTTTATATATTTCTGACTCAGAACTACACACAGCTATAGAACAGGAGCTCACTAACTTGCATTCCGTTGTTTCCCTTACCAGCAAAAGATGGGGCCTTAGTTCTCGGGGTTCTCCAGGCACTTGCCTGATGCAAACTGTGAGCTGACTTGGGCCCAGCAAGTTGGCCCAAACGGCGAAACATGAACACATCTCTTTCCGAGTTCAGTTTCAGTTCACTTCGTTTGCCAACCGGTGCAGTTTGCAGTATGTACCTGCACCCTGCGCCAGACTTGGGCTGCAAGAAGTAGTTCTAATCACCTTTTGCTGGTAAGGGCAGTTTACTTCGAATACCAACCTGTAATAATACTAAAATGGTCCGCCTCTTGTCTGGCGATGTGTCTGTGCAACTGCCATGTTTCAATGGCAAGTTATGGTAAATTCCAGACTATTCCAGGGTTTTCTCGTTCCCTGCCTTGCGATGTTTAGGGAACCCACCGTATCGCTTGCCCATAGGACCTGAAAATAGAAGGCCTCAACCTCTTGGTACCTTTACTACAAGCTGCCAAGAAGGGAAATCCAAAGGTTACCCTCCCAGCCACTAACATGGAAGTGCAAAAAGGCCCTTTCCAAGAGGAAAGTCGTCTTACAGGGGTCTGTGCACAAACCCATGGAATCGCTCGCTGGTAGGTTAGATCCAGTCGGGCCTTCAAAGGGTGGGAATTAGCCGCTGATCTTGGAGGCCTTCCAAATGCCTTGTCCACGGAGGATTCCTGGTATCACAGCGGGAGAACAAACAAAATCCCGCAACCCTGGTAAATCAAGCCAGCACTCAGGTCCCAACAGCCGCGTTTGCAACCATGGCCTAAAAAGTTCCCTTATCCAAAAAGCTGTGGTATGGACCCGGCTGGAATGCTTGGATCATATCGAAGCCAATCTAAGCCGATCTAAGCCTCAGTTGTTCAGTGACCCTGGAAAAACAGGGAACCCTTTTCGTTTTTAGTGAGGCAGCCACCAACAAAAAAGGGGGAAAAAGGTGCCACTGAATAACTGAGAAGCCGATCTAAGCCGCAAATCCACAAGCCACACCTTCACGATGACCTGCAAGGCTTCTCGCTCGCCTGAGCCCGCACCCGTGGCGTGAGAAATGGCCCAGGTGGACGAATCAAAGGAACGTCCAACAATGATCATTTCACTACCTAGAGTCTCCATGACCGTTTAAAACTGGGGGTCATTATGTAAGATAATGGGGTCATGGACCTATTTTTAAAGGGTCATGGAGACTCCATGCAGTTACTAACAGGGAGCCACCCTTGATTATCCGGATCAATCCGAAGTCAATATTGACAAAGACTCGTGGAAACTCCGTCCGAACCTCATGTCCCGCATTTTGAAATCGATCCAAAGAAAAACTCAGAAAATTAGGGCGGGTCCGACTGGTTTGTTCGCTGCTAAATGGAGTTGCCATGTTTCACGAGAGTCACGCCTACCTGGAGATTCATTCTCCGGCCTTTTCCTAGGCGTTTTAGTTTTCTGGTAGTTTTGGGCATGTTGGGCGTTCTAAGTGGTTTCTAGGAGTTTTGCGCGACCCCCGAGCCCAAAAGCGTCTTTTTCTGATTTGCGGGCGTTTGCGGGGTTTTGCGGGCGTTTGCGGGCTTTTTGCGGGCGTTTTGCGGGTATTTCTGGGCGGGGAAGACGTGAAACCGTACCAATTCTGAAATCTCACAAAAATATAGGAGCTTTAGTAGTTTTAGGCGACTTCACGAAAAAACCATCGAGATTTACGAAAAGCAAGTCAAAGCCGAGAACTACCAGGAAATTCATTGAAAATGAATCTCCAGGTAGGGAAATATTTAGTCATTTGCCGGACGTTTCAAGCACACCACACAGCTGCCAGCTTACTAACTTGGCCATGGTCATGGACATCACCCTTTCCTGGGCTGCCCTCAAATCCCCCGCTAAAAGTGACTAACTTTTAGTGGGTTAAATGGAAACGACCACTAAACACCAAAAGCTAAAAGGCTAAGGAACCGGATGGCTGGGAGCCACCAAGTTGCTGCAATACCAAACTGGGACACCGAATGGCTACTTTGCTTTCCAGTCGGAATTCCCGTGTTGCCACCTACAACTGGACATTTGAAGCACGAACACCTCTTGTAAGCCTCGAGCCAACGAGCGACCGCACAGCCTTCAGTGAACAAGGTGGCCCGAAGCATCACAATACCGGACCCCCAAATTGGTTTTGATTGGACTTCCATGGCTGGAGTGTCTTTCTGAGGACCCGCGACCGAACTTGCAACTGGTTGGGCAAAAAGACCAGCGACACGTGACTCAGGAGGTCGAAACCGGATCCATGCGTCTTCGGTTGCCTTCTGTTCGGGAAACCGGCCGCTCACTAGGTACCCAATCGATCTCCCCTGAAGTAGAAACCGGGCGATCCCCTACCAAGTCCCAACAAAAACTGGATATATTTCGTTCTTCCTCTTGGTTTCCCCTTTTTTTTGGCCCACCCCAAACCGGGCGCCGGCAAATCAAGTACAGAAAACCACACAGTACCGGGCTCGGAAGACGGCGAAGTCCTGCGAATTCGAATCGAGGCGCTGATGCTCCAGGTCTCTGCCACCTTCTCCTGGCTGAGCCTCGTTCGCTCGGTTCCAGAAGCGAACGAAGTCGTCTGTTCGACTTGCGGATGGGACCCGCCCATGCCCCAGTCACAACTAGGTCCTCCAGATCTGAGAGCTTAGAATAAGTTGGTACCCGAGTTGTTTTTTCTTCTGCAGTCCATGTTAGTACCTGGAGTCTCCATGACCCTGTAAAAATGGATCCATGACCCCATTATTTTAGGTAATGACCCCGCATTTTTAACGGGTCATGGAGACTGTTTTCTGTCCATTTTAGTAGGGGAACCATCCCCCCAAAAAACATGCCCCACCCCGGAGGCTCCCGATTCCCGATTTTGGGGCCCTCAAACCTGGCGGGTTCTGAGAACCTCAAACACCGATTCCCGGGGTGTCGAATGGAGGTGGGACCACAAAAGTCCATGCACCTGCAAACTCGCCTGGCAAAGACACAAAGAAAAGAAACGCACCACTTGGCATGGACGAGACCCCATGAATTCGTCCATCGTAGGAAGCACACAACGAACAGCATCGCCAAAAACAGCACACATACGCGAACAAACAAGCACTACATACAACACACACGCACACAAACAAGCATGCAACACACCCCACAAAACACGACCAATGCAGACAAAAACCGGCAAAACAAGAAGAAACAAAAAAGGAAAAACAAACAACAACAGGAAACAGAAAGAAAACAAAATTCGCTTTGCAGACGAAACTGCACCATCCAGAGGCTCATGGGGCTTTCAATGGAAGACCCCTCCATGAGACACCCCGCTTCGCTGGTTGGGGGTCTCAAAACCTGGCGCCAGGATTGAGGGCCCAAATCAACCGAATTGGAGCCTCTGGGCACTGTACCAAGTTACTATCCCAATTGACCCCAACTGGTGTAGTGAACCCAAATATACCTCGCCCACAGGACCCAAATGTTGGGTTGTACCCAGAAAATATTTTGGTTGCTTCCATGTTCCCAGTTGTTGTTTCCCATTTTTTGGGGCGGTTTGAGGGACATTTCCAATTTTTGGGGGCGGTTTGGGGGGTGGTTGCTGCCTGGAATCTGCGGCTCCGGGCTCTTTCTCTATCGCCTTCGCGGCATCCACCACCCGCCAGGCCGCCGAGTCTCTGACAGGCCTCCGGATCGGATCGGGACCGAGGGGAAAATCAGCGGGCGCTCGTCTTGTTTCTTCTTTTCTTTCCATTTGTTTTCTTTGTTTACTTTTTTTTCTGGTGTTGTCATTGTGTGTTTTTTGGTTTGAGTTTGTTTTTGTCTGGTTGGTGTTTTCAAAGGGCTGGACCTCAAACGAAGGAATGCCCTGCCACAGGCTTGAGCGTAGATCCCTGTGCTTTGTGACAGGTTTTCTCGGGCAAGAATAAAATGATGTCCAAACCATCCTTGTAGTTCCATCGTAGCTCCTCAAAGTGCGTAGGGCGAAGCGATCCGGGGGCCCCAGAACTAAGTTCAATTATTTCAGGCTTCAATCGAATGCGTCAGAGGTCCCAGCCTCCGTCCCTTTCATGTAAACCCCCCTTGCTTTTTGTTTTGTGTTTTTTTCTTAATATACGGGGTATCGAAGCTCAAGAGCGAAACAAAAACACACCCAACCGCAAGCGGGTTTTCTCGTCTTTTGGGAGTTGGACACCCAAAATGGCTTTGGCTTTGTCGTTTGGTTTCCCTTTTGAGCCACAAGACAGGGGTATCCTCAAACACCCAAGTCCCACAACCAGCAAAAGCTACCCGCATGAATTTCACATCTATCGGCAGCAATCATGCCCCAAGACCAAGTCCTTACTTGACATGGGCTTCCCGACCCTTCCCACGTTTATGGGTCGGGGTACCTGATGTTTGCTCGGTGGAAACAAGGACTTGCCGCAACCTTTGCATTTGTTTGTCCCCTGGAACAAATCAACATAGTTCCAGTGGTCATTGACTTTGAGACCCACAGGGGCAAATAACACAAACTCTTGAGACCAGTTTGACAAGATTGAACAAATAGTCAAGACTAGCAGGGTAAAAACAGAGCAAATGGAAGCCTTTCTTGAGACAAGCTTGACAGGTTCTTCGCACCCGGCTCCATTGATGCACAGTTCAACAACTGCTGTCCCCTGGCTGTTGTCCTCCCCCCTTTTCCCTCCCCTCAAATGGAAAATAATTAAAGGGCCCTTTAGGGTTCAATCTCAAAAGAAAGGTTGACCCAACTTGGATGATATCTCTCAGGTAAACAATGGTGGTGAAACCCCCAAACCACCCCTCCCCGAAACCACCCTTGTTTTCATGTTTTGTTGCACGCAGCCACTGCCTGGACCCCACAAATAGCCTCGCTCCAAACCTCACCTCCCTTCCGGCGCCTCAAGCGGGAGCTCATCTCCGCGGCGGCCTCTGCCAGCAGCGGCAGTGCCTCCGGCCTCGACACGTCGCGTCCGTTGCGCGGCGGAAGAAGCGCCAACAAGGTCCTATGGCCATCTCACTTGGATTGGCCAAAGTAGCTAGGTCCTCCTGCAGTTTGAGGTTAGAATAAGTTGGTACCCATTTTTGTCTGTCTTTTTTAGTAGGGGAAAACTCCCAACCACTGGGGGGGCTGGCCAAGGTATCCCCAAGTCTGGTGAGCAACTGGACTTCGGGCCTTGGAACATGTTGGTGGTTTTTGGTGTTTTAACTGTTGAGCCCCGATGGATTTGGGGATTTGGGTGAGTAATTCTCCAGCGGAAGGCTTAGGGGTCGATACTCCCCAGATATGCGTTGGAGTGGTGAAGGCAGTACCTGCCGGGGGGTTCGGGTTCCACAAGGGCCCTCCTTTTTGGGCTGATAGACTTTGGTCACTTCAATTGAGTCATTGGACTCTGAGCAAACTCAATGTCCTAATACTCATTCCCTGAGATGGTCAACCGGTTTGAGTTCCATGTACAACCGGAAATTCGACCGAACCTCGACATGAGGCACGGTAAATATGCGACACTGGAGGTCTACCCGCAAATATCTGCTTCTTCTAGTGGGAATAGAGGGGTTGATCAACATTCCTGGCCCCAAAATGATTTTGGGGAACTTATTACATTTAGTAGGGAATATAATGCTCGTAGTTTCCATCTCAGCGGTAATGTAAAGGACCTTCTGATCAACCCCCATATGTGTTCAGGATGCCAACAAAAATACGTCAGGGATGGACATCAAACTCTATCAATGGGTAGTTGGACGCAAAGGCAACCATATCCGTATGTGCCGTGGTCACAACGGAAATGGCGGGCTATGTTTTTGTCTTCTTTTTAATGTTCCCAGAAGTTGACCATCCCTGCCAACCCCTTGAGACTCTGTTCATGGCATATACAAGGCCAAGCACATTGGAATTTCACACCTGGCCAAAACGTACCGCAATTTGCAATCGTCGGCTTGGGGGACTGGGCTGGGCGCTTGGGGGACTGGGCTTGGTTCACTTGACTGATCATATTTGAGCCATCCAGAGTCATGCACATTTCTGGGACCTTCCCAATCTTTCTCGTCATCCTTTCTAGAAAACCTCCAGAATCCCAACAAAAAACCGCTCCCTTCCCTAAGGACCCCAAACAAATCGATACGTACCCTAGACCAAGCGTGCATTCGGAGTTGGTATAAAGCTAGTGTCCAAGCTACTCGCCTTGAACAATCACCCTTTTCCTTTCAATCCCTTAATACCGTTCAATTCTAAACTATTTGATTTGGTGGGGGGATCATTTGTTTTTTGTGTGGGGGTCCATTGTTGGGGGGGGGGGGTCCAACAAAGGTTGCCATTGATTTAACCTTATTAACTTTAAAATGGTACCTGGACCCTCAAACCAGCCTATACATGGCAATTCACATGTTTGGGGCAAGTCCCATTTGGAGGGTCCAGCAACCGCAGAAAATGTAAGGCTCTGGCCAGCCGTGACAGGTGTCCAAGGAAGTGCCGAAGTTGACGTGCGTCAAGTAGAGCGCCCTGGCCGGAGGTGACGAATTGACTCTCAGCCCAGTGGACCTCCCGTAAAGAGCATCCTTGCTTGGTTGCCCCTAGGGTTGGCTCATGCCCCCAGTTAAAGAAAGGCCTTGTTGGGATCAATCTGGATGATGACACTTTATTAGGTACACTGTGGTGGTTGTATGAACCCCCACTGTTTTAATGGTGGTTTGAATCCTTGTTTGGTTGGTTAAAGGTATATCCTGGGGTTGTCCAAACTGGGAATTGCAATCAGTGACTGGTTGCAACATGTTGCAACATAACAAATCCTTCCAGCCAACGGGTCCCGGTACTAAGGAGACAACAACATGTTTGGAAAAGAGCTGTTCAAAGTATCTTGACATCTTGATAGCCATCCCAGCCAAAACGCTGCCCCACGGTTCTTAACACACATCATGTTCCTGAGTTTCCCGCGACATCGGCGTATCTGATCGCCCCCCCCCTCACACACTCGTCAATCCAAACAGTGCTTTCATTCGCTTCAAACACTTCAACTGCACAGGCTGGACGTGAGTGGCGCAAAGCTCCTTCCAAAGCGAGCCCAATTTTTGGTCGCTCGCGTTCCCCGCGATCGAGAAAGCCCCTCCCTGGAGTTTATCGCATCTGACCTCCAGCCACAAATAAGGCCGAGAACACATCAGGGGAGCCACAATCAAAACCCGGTACTGAAATGGTCTACCCAGAACCATGTAAAGCAGGAAATCCGAAGCTATTTATGGCAAGGGGATCGTCCTTTACTGAGCTTCATCAATCCCTCAGGAGGTGTTGGAGAGGCGGGGTCTGGGGATCCCATGCATGCGCCATGCGCGCCTGGCCGCCTTGAGCGCTTCCACGCCTGAGAGGGGCGGCTTGCAAGCGAGCCATGCCATGGTCGAAACTCTGGGAGGTGGTTGCCTTGGGCACCTGTGCTTAGGTCGCCTAGATTGATGACCAAAGCCAAGCAACTAGGTCCTCCAGTAGAGAGGTTAGAATGAGGGCACCCTTTTTCTGTAGTCTATTTTAGTAGAGGAACCCGCCCCCAAAAAAGGGCAAAAGGGCACTGCTGGGGCACCTTGGGTTGGCCGTTTTACCATGGCACACATTGAGATCTATTCACCTGGCCAGCGAAGCCGCAGCTGAGAAAAACTGAAGGTGCATCATGAGCCACGGACAAGTGCCTGTACATTGCTGAAGTGGACATTGGACGCAGGATGTTTCAGGCCTCCGAATTTCGTGGTCAGATTTGTCGCTCTCCCGAAATTCATCAAGGGGGGTGGGGGAAAAGGGGGTGTCTAAATATGGCGAGTGAACCAAACAAGCTAACATCCCCTGTAAAGGTGCAATCCAGGATGGTCGACTCGTTCCCTTGCAAGTTTCATCGGGAAACGCCGCTCGGACATGGTCAAATCGGCGTCACGCTTTCCCGCCTCGATCGATGCGGCGCAAAAAGATGCCCTCCTCCTGCGCTGCGAGAAAGGTTTCAAGGACACAACAGCCTCGAGTCCTTCCAAGAACGAGCTGGGGGTTGAGACTCAGATACCTAAGACCCGAGTCGCAAAAGTGGCCTCCTTTCATGAAAGCAACCCTCCAAGTGGCACGTCCCAGGGAGACAACCAATTCCATCTGGTGTTGATTCCTCGCAGAAACGGGTCCAGAAATTGAGAACTCCTCAAAACCACCGGGTCTGTTTTCTGCAAACATTTGCCCCCCGAAACCAGCCATAAGTGGGATCAGATGCCATCGGATGCGTCCAGGGAAGCACATGGCTAGGGCTAAAAGAGCGTTCTTTTCAAGCACCAGCTGTTTCCCCTGGGGTTCTGCTGGTTTTTCTGAAAAGAAGGATCCCTGAAAAGAATGGAAATGGACGTGTCCCCTAGAAAAGGGTCCCTGCGACATGCGCTGCAAGGTGTGGCCTTTTCGAGGACCCGTGACCGCTGCTTAGGGCAAAAATGAAAAGACATCGGAGCCATTCAGCTGGCCGAGACTCTTAAAATATCAAAGTCACCCCAACAGATCCCCCAAAAAATGGTCCAAAAGAGAGAGTTCCACCCCCCAAAAAAAGGAAAGCCACCCCCCAAAAAAAGGAAAGCCACCCCCAAAAACAGAAAAGTCACCCCAAAAAAACGGAAGTCGCCCCAAAAACGGTCCAAATTCATGCGCCCCCAGTTGAGCCCTCGCTTTTTGCTTCGCAGCTCCTGCACCAGGCGATCCCAGAGCTCTTGGCGGCCCTCCAGCGCCACACGAGCACCTTCCCACCTGGCGAAGGCGAAGCTTCCAGGCAGCTTCCTTCCCTACGCCAAAACTTGGTTGCTGATGACCTCTGCAAAAAGTGAATCACTTTTTGGGGGTGTGGATGATTTCCAAAAGTTAAAGGTGGTTTACGGTACTTTTGTGAACACAACTGAAGTTTTGCGTGGTACATACTCTCCTTTTTTTGTAGAGGGTTGGCATATGATACCATAAAATTAAGGCGGGGAGTTGAAATTTGGAGTATGGGGTCGGTTACTCTACTTCGTGGCTTGGATTGGTCGGGCATCCCTGTTTCCCCATTTAAACATCACCTTATCCAAAACGAAACTCACTTCAAGAGGCCAACAGAGGATGTTTAAAACCACAACAAGTGGACATATAGAGAACCCTGTTGGGGGTTTGGATTGGTGTTCGAGGGGAGGTTCCCGCTCAAGAACCAGAAACTCAACTCCAAATCCACGCCAATGCAAACCACCGAGGGGAGACTGCGCAAAGCCTCAAACAATTGTGGACCGGGACATCTCAAAAAAGCACCCCCAGTTATAGTCACCCTTCGCCATGTGTGTTTGCATGGGAACCTTTGGATGGTTCCCCTTCGTTACCTGTACAAATAAGCCCGGAGCAGCGCTTGGCACCGCATATTTGTGGATTAGTTCGGAATGTGTTGACGAACCCCAACTTGACCCAAACCAAAACCAAAAACCGTGTCCTATGAAACTCGAGTACCAAGAACCCTCGGGGCGACGGGAAAATCAATGCATATCATTCGGCTTGGCCGAGCCCGAGGGCAGGGATCGGGTGTTGCACATCAACCGCAGGGAAGCTGACGGCTTCCTCTCATGTGCAGCGTAAAGGAACCCATTTGTTAAGACCCATTGAGACGGGATGAAACGGGTCACCCAACAGTCTTTGAGGGGACACAAGTGATTTTGGTGGGACCTGGTGCTCCTTAGTTCCAAAGTTTGATACAGATTTACTTCATCTCTGGCTCCCCCCAGTCGTTGGATCCCCGAAACAAAACGATTCCAAGGTTGCTTCTCGACGGGCAGATACAACCCCGACTAAAACGCTAGATTTGGGTACTTTGGAGGACTTGGGATGGCTTGGGGAAGGTCTGGAAGGACCTGGGAGTGTGCTTCGGAGTGCTTGGGAAGACTTGGGAGCCTGTAACCCACCCTCCAGGACCACATACCTGGAGTCTCCATGACCCTGTGAAAAAGAAAGGGGGGTCGTGGCAACCCATCTTCACTCCGGGTGGGTGTGTCTGTTTTTTTGGGCCCCCCCTAAACAAAAAATGTATTTGTTCTTGTTGTGTCTTCTTTTTTTTCTCTTTTTTTCTAGGTTTTTCGAAGGAAACAAAAAGGTACCTGCACCCTCAAAACACCCTTAAGAAAGGGAGTTCACTCCATCATTTTGGGGCAATAACCCAGTTTTGCGGGTATTTTGAGGGTCCAGGTCCCCTAAAAACGACGCAGCCAGGCACCAGGACCCCCCTCCGGAGAACCAACAAAAACCACTCGGGCGCGCCAGTCTTCGAGCTGCTGCAACTCTGCCAGCGGGCCTGCGGAGTTGCAAGACTCGGCGCTTCTGGGCGTGGCTCCCAGTTCGTTTGATTGCTTTCTCTATACCAGAGGCTCGGCAAATGGGACACCACCCTCTAACCACCAAACCTCCAAACCAAACCACTTAGGGGGAAGCTGAGGCACGTGGATGCGTTTATTTTTTCTGCAAAAGTTCGGATATGTTCGGACGCTCCAGTTCGATTGATTTAGGGCCTTACAACCTGGTTTTGAGACCAACCACCTCTGGCGGGTGTCTACTGGACTCGTGCCTTCCAGAAGCCAAAGACAAGAGCCGGGCCCAAAGCATCGAATGTCAGGTCCAAAACCTTCCAGAGATCTTGACTCCTTCACTCAGCCCTCCAATGATGCCTTGGGGAGGACACCTCCTTCTAACTTTAAAGGGATCCATCAAAGCTCGTGACATCTCGGGGTGTGTGGCTCGTGTTTCTCCAACTACTCATCTGGTTACCCAGAGGCTCCAATTCGATTAATTGAGGGCCTTCAAACAACCTGGTTTTGAGACCAACCACCGATTCCCGGGGTGAATCGAATGCTTCGGGCTCGGGTCTTCCACAAGCCAAACTACCTCCTCCAGTAGTTTGAGGTTCGAATAAGTTGGTACCAACTTTTTTATGCAGTCTATTTTAGTAGGGGAACCCTCCCAACCAAAAAGGGGTGAGGAAGGGCACCAATTGCTGGGGGACCTAGCAAAGCCATCACACCCCAGGTGCCTCGGAAGTGCCAGTCTAGAACCTTGGCGCGAAAAAACGGGAGGTGGGAGGCTGCAACCACAGTGAACTTAAGGGGAGCTTCCAGGGTCTCACAGTGGGATGACATGTGGATCGTCGCCTGGCAGAACGAGAGCATGAGCCACCCTGAATTCAGCAACAAAGGCAGGGGCCCGGACGATCTTCCCATATTTTGTCAGCTCTCACATGGGACCTCGAGAGAGAAACACAGCAGGTCCCGGTCCCTTTTTGAGTGTTTTTGTTAAAGCGATTTGCTTAAGTCCCCTGCACTAAAACAAACTATATTTCCAGCAGAGATCGATTCCTTTTGAAACCAACAACAGGAAATAAAACATATTCTTAAGCAAATGGAAGCAAAAAGGTAAGGCACCACCCACGGGTTCCAGATTATTGGACACATCCAGCTGCTTCTTCTCCGGGAATCGAAGTCAGGCGGCAACTTTCGACACGTCTAAGTGGTTGGGATCATCTCCCTCTACGTTTTGCTCTTCCCGATGTTTCTCAAGGCCAACTGCGGCCGGGGAAGCTGCCCACGGAGTTTGACGTGCCTGTTCTCCTGACCTCCATTCTGGCGAAAGGCTTCCCGGCTTCCCCGTGCTGTGGGTTGTCGGGTAAACCTACCTCAAGTTCGAGGCTCTATACTCTATATCATTGTTTCGGCTCTCTCAAATATTTGTTGACCATGGGTCTACAGTGATTGATAGCCCTGATGAACAAGCCACCATTCTGTGGGGCGGATAGGCCAAATCCAACTTAGGGCACACAAACCTACCAACCACTTACCTGTGGGACCGGGTGAAGAACCAGGCGTTTCATCCATGCATCGCCAGTGTCCAATCAAACCCCCAGTGGCTTCGGCTTAAAGACCGCCGGGAAGCCACGGAACCATGTTAACGGACGTTGGCCTATGGGATCCGGGATTGATGAAATATTATGTCGTGAGGTGAGACAAAACAACGCAAGAATGACTGTGAAGAATAGAAGCATCAGGAAGAAAATAAACTACACTGACAGGGCCGTGAATTCTAGTTAGGGACCCGAAATGGTGGACAAGTTCGGTGGAGATGAATTTGTCCACCAGCCACTTGTAGATCGATGGAACTACTTTAAAATTCACGGCGCCACCAGGTCTTTTTTTTTTCTTTTTTTTTCCGCAGCAAGTTCATTGGAGACCAGCGACATTCAAGAAATTCGCTGAAATTTGCTGAGTTTCTGGCATCTTTACTGTAAAAACTCCTGTAGGTGTCTTGGATGGGTATGTGTCAAAGTAGGGAGCCAAAATGGAGATGTTCCTTTTGGTGTCCCTTGGAACTGGCAAATGGTCTCAAAAAATACATGGCAACTCACAGAACCAACGGGTTTCTCTTGAAACCCACCTGGACCCTCAAGCTACTCATAAAACGGGAATTCGCCACATATGTTTAGGGCAATGACAGACACCAAACTACTCATAAGAAAGGGACCTCACCAACCAGACTTTTTTGGGGGCAACACATTCTTGACTAACTTAAGTTGGTGGTTTGGGGGTCCACCCCCCAAAAGACAACGCCCATCGCTTCGCACCGCTCCCGGCACTCGTCCGGGGTCCGAACCGCGCGTGCGATCACCGAGGGCACTGCGGCAGCCTGCGTGCTACGGGATGCGGGATGCGGCCAGCCATCCCGTTGGTTTGGGGTACGGTGGATACCAAAACAGGAGGGTGCTACGGTATTTACAATGGAAAACCAGGGTTTGTCAAAACATACCCAGAGATATTACTGCATTTGCCATGGAAAACCATGGTTTTCAAGACATACCCTAAGAAAAGAGGGTATTTGGGAGCCGGGGGTTAGGGGTTGAATGTGTCCCAGTGCTTCCTGGCAAGCCATCATAGCAGGCAACCAAGGGAAACCATGATGTAGACCTAGAGGTACAACATCCTGGTTGCCTACCATCGTGGCTTGGAAGCAGGCTTGTGTTTTATGTTTCTTTTGTGGTTGTTTAAACAACCTCCTTGTGGTTTTCCTAGGACCAAGGTCCGGGCGATACTAATCCCCCTCCCCCCCAGCTTCCAAGGCCAATGGATCCTCATGAGTATTGTGATTTCACGAGTTTCTTGAAGGGGGTACGGGCCGGGTCTGTGCGGAAGCAGATTTTTGGGGGTTGTTTCACAGGAAACCACCCCGTGTTGAAACCTACCACGAACGAATACCTGCCTAACAAGTGCTCCAAACAAACATCTACCAAGACTAGTGTCCCCACAGAAGAAAAAAAGAACTCGGCAACCCTTTCCAAAACAAAAATGAAAAAACGTGCCAATGGGCAACTTGGGGGAAAACCGACAGCTTTGATGCTCAACCTGGGAAAACAGGTTCGAACCGGGTGGGATGCCCTTGAAAGGCGATGGCAACCCATGATCCCCAAGTCCAAAAGCCTCCTGCAAGGTTCTGGGGAAAGCTCTAAAAAACAAAACAAAAAAAAACAAGTTGCATTGCCTGAATTCCCCAAACCCGATTCTACGTGGGGGTGAAAGGCCATGATATTTGGGGTCCAAGCGTATCCCCACAATTGGATATGTGCAAGGGCTCCCTTCCAAGCAGAGTGCAACCCTTTCCAGGCTTGCTGGGTTGCTCTGCCAAAAGTTTTCAACTTTTCGTGGCTCAAATGGGAAAACCCATTATAGTCGGCAAAAAAACAATTTTCAGTCCTAACATCCGTTGGCAAAATGCAAAGGTTGGACTCCGGTTTCGGAGCGAGCGCCGAGCCACCCGGCCAGTCGATCCGCAGGCAAGTCCGCCATGAAGGCCGACAATCTCCGCAGCGGCTCCTCGATGGCCTGCTGCGTTTTTTCAGGAGCCAAAAAAGGCGAGGGAAGCGGACCCGGAAAATTCGCATCGGGGCCATAGACCAATAAACATACGAGCTCTTTGTGTGCGTTGGTTGAGTGATTCCCGTGTTGCTTCTTTGGGTTTTCTCATGTTTTCTGTGTCTTTGTTTAACCCGAGCTCTAAATGATATGGTGTTCAACAAAACAGATCAACTGGATCCGCTATCATTGAGCTATCCCACAAAAAAAAACGAGCTCTAAATATTGATGTAAGAGAGCCACCACCGCTGCGCGCGCGAAGAGAACTTCAGCCTGGTGGAACACTCGCCTGGCTTCAAACCGGCCACTCGTTGGCTCTTTTGAGCCCAAGTAAAAGGGAGGGGGGGGGGGGGGTAAGAACATATTCCTCCATTTGCTTTAGTCCCCTGGAAAACATAAAAATAGGGGAAAACAAGCAACAGGGGAAAACAACAATTATTCTTAGCAAAATGGAAGTAATTGACTGTTTCTGTTTCTCTTTGGGTCAGAACAAAAAGAGGCCCGTTGCTCTCTGGGCCCTTGAGGGGCTTTTAAGTGGAAGGAAGCTCATCCCATTTGAGATGGAAGCTTTTTGAGAGAACGTTCCTTCTGATCTGGGAATCAGCCCCATGCTCCCCACACGTCCAGGGGTCCAAAGGTGCCCTGCTAACAGCTTCTCTCCAACTAGGATGCGGTCTCATCGCAGGGTCAAATCCTGGCCGCACGGGTTTCCTCGAAAACCGATTTTTTGTTTCGACGAATTCCAACTTGAACCCAACAGCCTTTGAGAGACTTGGCCCGGGTGAATGGAGGTGTCCTTTTGGCGCGCTTGAAGCACCCTGGAGCAATCGGATGGGCAAGTGTCAAACTAGGGACTGGTGTGGTTCTTTCCGTTTTCCTGCAACACCTGAAGCATTCTTGTGACTGTTTCTGGGGGGTTTCCCTTTAAGCTATTACTTGAGAAATGACTTTGATAGTTCTGAAATAATGCGGCCAGCCCAAAGGGCAAAAGTGGAACGAAGATTTTCGCGGGTACCCAGAAAATCGATCGCTCCGCACCTGCAGGGCACTCTTACAGGGCGCCCACACCAGCGGGCGCTCCTTCGCGTGGGATCGGCTGGCGACCGGGGGGGGGGTCTTGTTGATCAAGGATCAACAGTATCCTTTTTTTTTTCCGGTTTGGGAGTTGGTTCAAGTTGGAATTTGTCAACGGATTGAGGAAACCATTCTGCAACGGGGGATACCAAACAAAACTTCGGGACTGGTCTATCAAATACTCAAATCGGGTTCATCCATGTCTATTAACTGGAGGATGCTGCCATCCACGGTGAGACCCATCCACGGTAGGATAAGGAACCCTCCAAACAGACTTCCTTGTTGGTTTCCCTCTACCCCAGGGAGGGTAGACTCGCATTAAGGGTGGGGGAAACATCTAAAAAGCGCCCCAGTGACAGGAGGGATTCTTGGAACCTTCTTGGGCTTTGACCACATTCATGATTGAACTACACAAATCGCGTTCTTTGCAGCTACCTGGAGTCTCCTTCTGACCCTTTAAAAATAGGTCCGTCTGACCCCATGATTTGAGGTAATGACCAACCATTTTTAAAGGGTCATGGAGACTCTAGGAATTTCGTTGTGCTTTAACTCAGTTGTTCAGTGCCCTTGGAAGAAAAGGGAACCCGTTTTGGGGAAGACCATTTTTAGTGGGGCAGCCACAAAAAAAGTCAAGGGAAAAAGAATTGGTGCCAGTGCACAACTGAGTTACCCCTCACATCCCCCGCAACAATTTTCGGCCAGTCCCAAGTCCCACAACTCGACCCGGCTCGGCTCCTTGGCCTGCCAACTTTCCCGCGTGCCCCGCTGGGCTTTCCGCTCCAAGCGCCTCGCGAGCCGCTCGCTCGAGCCGCTCGCTCGAGCCGCTCGAGCCGCTCCGGTGGAGGAGGCTTCGCACGTCGCGTCGCGGGGGGGTCCGGGCTGTTAAGCAACCCTTGAAAATGCGTCGCCCCCAAAGAAATGTGGTGAATTCACTTTCTTTAGGGTACCTGCAGCCTCCATGACCCTTTAAAAATGGTTGGTCATTACCTAAAATAATGGGGTAAATAGGGTTAGAAGGAGACTCTAGGAAGTTTGAGGGTCCAGCTACAGGATTTCTCTAAAGAAACTTGGTCAAACACAACACACAAGTTGATGGCCTGTATAATTTTCCTGGTTTCGCTGATTTGTTAGAATTTGGGCTTTGCTCTAAATACAAAAAGGGATCCACCATGTTGAGAAAGCTCAGATGCACCCAATCTCCGCATGTCAAAAATGACAAATCGGAACAAGATAAGGGCCTTTATTCAAAAAAAAGAATGTGGTTCTGACCATAAGACCAAATGAAGTCATGGCCATGAAACATCATGTGCTGAGTTTCTCAGCCACTCTAAGCAAATGACAAAGCCATCCCATGGGGACGAAAGGGGGAGGCCTCGTGTCCTGGAACCTGATCTCACCTGAATCTGAGCAACCCCAAGGGAAAGACTGGGACAATAATGTTAACCCGGATTAATAAACCCCTGGTGGATCAACAGGGGGGTGTCCCCTTTTAGTGGGGATTCATCACTTTTGGAGGGAACACCCCGAATAGTGGGACGGGTTTTATTAATCCTGGGTCAACATTAACTCAAAAAGAGTTGATTGCTGATTGTGCTTTCTAGTCGTCCTTTGGGCTTTGTTTTGTGGTGATTGCTGAAGGAGTCTGCAGTGTCAGTCCAGTTGTTTGGCTAACTTGGTTTTGAGTTCCTCGTGAACGAACGCACCAGTGAGAATGTAAGGCCAACATAATGAGAGTAGGGCGCTTTTCTGCACTAACAGCACGCCTTTCAGGAGTCTCAACCCAGGTATCACAGCAAACCTGCCACTCTTCCGCAAACCCAGCCTGAAGCGACTCCGATAGCTGAATCAGCTGTTGAGCAAAATTTGCGATGCTTGAAACCCACCAGGGGAAACCAAAGACAACCCATCCAGTAAATAAGACACATCCACGGGCCCAATAGATGTGCCCGGGCCCAGCGATCGTTTCAATTCCTTGGGATTCGCGACGACTGAGTCTGCTTCTTTAACGTCCCAAACCTTTACGTTGCAAAAAGCATCGCTTTCTTTGCCCGCCGATGAGCAGACCCAACAAGCGAAAAGCCCTCAAACTACCCCTAAGACCTGGGAATGCACCCCATAATTTTGGGGCAACAACCAATCCTTAAGGGCAATTAGGGTAGTTTGCGGGTCCAGGCACGTTGAAGTGAAGCCGATTTGGGTATGGGTCAAAATTAAGCCACCAAAAAACCGCGGGGGCTTTAGTCCTTGTTTCCATAGGGCAATCCATGTTGGGTTCACCATACAACGAAATCCTGCACCACCTCAGAATCCCTGGAATGATGATTCTCCTGCAAGTACCAACAAACAATGGGTTCTCATGGTTTCAAAGTGGTGCAGGATTTCGTCCATCCACAGTATGTTTGACGACCACCGCCATTTGTGCACTTCACCCAGGGCCAAGCCACCGGCTGCGCCTGATGAGGCGCGCATCCTGTTGGGCCGCCTCCCCGAGCAACGGCTCCACCTCTGCGCGCCGGGCTCAACGAGCGGATTGGCCAAACTGGGCTGCCCGATTTCCGATCCCCTGCTAAAAGTGACTCTTCCTCTTAGTGGGCTTAATGGAAACTACCAAACACTAAAAAGCTAAAAGGCTAAGGGGATGGCTGGGAGCCACCAAGAAAAGTCTGAACGTGTTATCCACCCTGGACCCTCGGAATTCCCTGAAAAAGTGGGTTCTTGCCTCAAACTTACGGAGCGAATTGCCCCTTTTTGTGGGTAGTTTGACGGTTCAGGTGCCACTCAAATGGTCTCAAACAGCATGAAGTGCAGGGACTCAGGGAGTGAGACAGTGTCATCCATGCCAGGAAGTCCATCCCCAGAAGAGGGTGCTTTGTGGGCAGGGCTGATGAGTCACAATTCTATGCTGATCTGGTGTGGGTTGCAAAAGGGGCCAACCACGCTGAATCGCCCTGACCGCTTTCCAGGCCAGGGATCTAAACATGAGCATAGTGAGTAGGCAGGTAAACAAAAAAAACAATAGGTACATTCAGCCCACAGTTGGAGGTTTCAACCAAATGCGAAAGCTACAATTCGGGCTCCGTCTGCTAACTGACTGTTGTGTTATTCATTACAAGCTCGTTTTACCGCTCGTTTTACCGCCCCAAAGTAAGGCCAACTGTACAATAAATTTAGAATGAATGATGATGATCAAAACACTTCAGTCAACTACTTGCATCAGCTTGTGCAGATTGCTCCAACAAAAATGACATGTGCGCCTCTCGGAATTGCCCAAATGAAACAGGTTCCCCAGCTGGGCAATCAAACACATGGACTGTAGTAGTACAGCAAGCCTCTACCCTCCCACAAACATGGGCGTGCACTTGCCAAGGGTCGCTTCCTAAAGCCTCCAGAAAACGGTGAATCAAGGGATCACCCCATCCCAAAACAGGGCCCCCCGATTTACTTCCACTCTAAACATCACTCCAAAGAACCAAAGGAGACGTACCTTAACTGTCAAAGGTGATGTTTAAGTCATCCAAAAGCAACAAAAATATGGGCAGCCTTGCTGTACAACAGTAACTTGGCCATCCTCTACTAAAATAGACTAAAGAAAAAGGGTACCCTTATTCTAACCTCTCTACTGGAAGACCTAGCTTTTAGATTTCCCTTCGAACCGAGCCAAACAGGTTACTGAGCCTCAACAAAAAACACTAAAATAAAATAATCAAAACAATACTAATAATAATAATAAAAATACTAATAACAATAATAACAATCAGGTAATCCCGCCTCGAGCTCCCACCTGTCCAGAAGGTCATCCAGCACCTGTGCGCTGGAAAAATCCCGCTTCTCGCACCACGAATCGAGTCACCATGGTTGAAACCATAACGGTTGGTATTTACACGGGAATCCTCTAAAACCAGGCTTTCTTAGGTGGTGCGTTGGAGGGAGTTCGCAACCATTCGCAGTATTCAGCCACCTTGCGTTCAAGGCGTCCCCACTCCACCATTTCAGTCTTCCAATCCAAAGGACAAATGGTGTGCGCTACTCACTTGACTGAATCACCGGGTTGCATAAAACTGTGAGGATTGCTTGGGGATTCCTTATTTTGTGGTATGTAATTCTGTTTGTCTGTGTGTGTGCACTTATAGCAACTTGCAAGACAAACAATCTCTTCCCCCTATTAATGAATGACCCCAATTAATAAAAAATGGAAATCCGGGGCCCGGGACCAGATTTCCACTCCGCACAATTGATTTTTAATTGCGCCAATACTAAACCAATACTAAAGTCTTGGAATCCTTCTTAGGGGGCACTTTTAACAAGCTTCCAGCCCCACTTTTAAGCTGCGACTGTCTTTCCCCCGTACATGCTGGCTAACCTGCCTGGCTGCAAACAAACAACCAGTAAACTGAAAAACAAATAGAATGATACATAAAATGTCCTTATTAAACCGCTTACTCGCGGACCTTACAATTCAATCCATTTCCTCCAAATCCTATGTGAACCCTCACACTGCTGGAAAAGCAAAAAACCCAACCCCAAAAACCCCATGTTTAAAAAAACAAAATGGGAGGATTTATTTATAATAGGGGAGGGGGGGGGGCCGTATTTATTAATAGGGGGCAGAGATTATTGGTCTCTTTTTGGTGGGTGCAATTGCTGGGGTTGGTGCAAAGAGAAATGAAAGGATCGGCCACCATTTTGTGGGGTCCCCCGTTTTAAGACACACCCATAATGTAATATGGGCTTTGCTTCTTGGCAGCCCTGATTTTGCTGATTGGCTTGGAAACTGAGGAAAAGCAAACAGGTAGAAAGATCACCTAAGTCTGGCTACCCAAAGGCTCCCGACTCTAATTGAGCTATCTGAGGTCCGCTTGCCTTTCTGAGGGGTCGGACCCTCTCTAGGGCCTCTGAGCGTCTGGGTGGGTGGTATCCTAATTATTTCCAAGTGGGTCAAAACCAATGAAATGTCAAGAGGTCCTCTGCCAGTCGCGCATCGCACTCGGGCCGGCGACGGGGCTTGACGCTGGAGTCAGGTCCCTCACCTTGAGGAACTCCGGATTCCATTTTGGTTGGTGAATTCACCACCCATTTTAGAACCTATTTTGGTGGTTGGATTGGGATGTTCACTGGGGTACGATTTGGATTTTGACCCGTGGCCGACACCAAGTTCTGAGGCTGGCGCGAGTTGTGCGTCGGACTCCGACTCCGGAAGGACCTGCAGCACTTCAGCATCGGCATCCTTAGGGGATTCTCTGGGTATCAGTTTTCATGGCAAACCGTCACAAAGGACGTTGGACAAATTCACCAAAGGGTCCTTTTGGACCCATTCAAATTCACACCCATCGAAGTTGCGCACCCTTCATGTGGCCGGCGTAGATGGACACAATCCCACTTGGCAGTTGGGCTGGGTGTTCAACTCGGGGTTCCTCCAGGTGCAATGCTTAGAACGCTGCTTGGTCGACCGTCCGAAAACCGAACCCCCCCCCCCCCCTCGCTTCTAGGGACTTTCATGTTCTAGCTTCCTGAGGTGGGCTGGCCGCAGCAAACGCCACGAGAATCATCGCATCACCAAAAACTCCAGACCCCCCACTAAATTCTTCCAGGGGAGAACTGGGCCAGTGATTTTGGCTCGGCATGAAGTGGTCAATTTCAAAGAGAAGCTTCCCCCTCAACATTCAAAGGGCACTCACGTTGCCGACAGGTCCCAGAAATGAGAAAAGCTTATATACCCTTTTGGCACCCAAAAAACATGGGAACCCAAAACAAGGTTAAAACGAAAGGACATTCCAGGTGCCTAGAGTCTCCATGACCCTTAAAAAATGGCTGGCCATTACCCAACATATCCCAAAATAATGGGGGCATGGACCTATTTCTAGTTAGGGTCAGAAGGAGACTCCAGGTGGATTCGCTTTGCGCGGAGCTCAGAGGTTCCCGCGCGCCTTGCGGCGCATGTCCTCCGCCACTGGGCCCAGCAGCACCGCATGCCTCAGCGCTGCGCCGCTTAGCGCCGCGCCCAAAAGCGCAAAAGGGGCTCGTGGCTCGGTCGAACTGACCAAACGCCCGGGTGGTGTGCGAGGCACTGTGAACCGGGCTGCCCGATTTCAGATCCCCCGCGAAAAGTGACGAACCTTTGGCAGGTTCACTGGAAATCCAACCACTAAAAAGCTAAACAGCTAAAAAGCTAAGGAACCGGATGGCTGGGAACCACCGAGTGAACTTTCGCTTGCCCGGGTTCTGATCGCAACTCTGGTTGCGGTTTTGGAGACTGGACAGGGGAGGTGCTCTTTCGTTGGGATCCAACCCACGGAAAAGAGTCAAGAATCAACCCGGCATCGCTGGACACACTCAAAGGGCATGGATGGGCATGGGCATGCGTATGCTGAGGCTAGGGCCGACACCTGCTTTCTGTTTAACAACTAGCACCTGCTTCAGTCCTTCTTTTCTGAAACAACTACTGCTTGGACAACCTCCTTTTGCTTTCTGTGTGAATGATGTGCCTTTCGGATCCGGCTGAACACATTTCGCCCAACCAATCCCGACAGATCTCCCTTGTGCGCGATGGAATTGGGCCTCAGGGCCTCGGTCCCTGAACGGCAGCTCCCCCAAGCGAAAACTACATGTGAAACTGCTGAAACTAAAGCACTGCATCCGGAATATAGGCGTCCTTTTTGGAAAGTAGATGTCCTTTAAACATTTGTCAATGACCCCACGATTTTGGGTATTGACCAACCATTTGTTAAGGGTCATGGAGACTCCAGGTGCTCATTTTCACCCGGGTCCCAACTGCTTTTTGGGCAGGCCGTTCCAAGAGAATTGTGCACATGCTTCCAGGCAAAAGCAGCCCTTGAGTCCGAGTGCCGGGTCGAAGTTCGAAGTTCGAAGTCGCTGGGGCACCCAGCAAACGACATCTCACCTGCGAGTCGTGCGGTTTCCGGGGACTTGCGTCCAACGCGGAAGCAAATTGGGGGGAAAGGCATACGGGTGCATCATGGACACCTAGTCTGCAACCACGAACCCTAAAAAACCAATACCCTACAAGAAGGAGGTTGCAAAGCAGACCCCTAAGTGTCCGCCATACGGGGGGTCTCCCTGTGGGCTTTGTCTGAAGCACCCCCCCAACCGACGTTGAAGCTGCTGAACTTGAGGCAGAGGGCGAGGTCGATTGACAGCTGCAGCCAGTGAGTCGAAAGGAACAACAAGCGGATCATTTTGGGAGCATGACATTCCAGGAAACTGGAGAGTCGAGGTAGAGTAACACAGGACCCTGGATCTAAACAACGTAACTCAGATGCAGAGTGGCCATGGGCAAAATAGACTCGGCACCCCTTTTCTTGTTGGTTGAGTTAGGAATCGGAACCCTTAGCCAAAAAAACAAAAAGTCATGAAAGGAAGCAACCAACCCACTGGGCAACTCTGGAGGCAACCCAGCTGAGCCAACACAAAATCAAATGCCGAGTCATCTCAGGCCCCTCTACCTCCGTCGAGAAAGGCGCTCGCCTTTCCAACGAAGTCCTCCGAGACCTCTGGAACGCCTCGGGAAAACAACTGGTGGATCGGTTTGGACCAGGATATGGACCGCAGGTTTGAATGACCTTCTTTCCATTTAGGGCAAGCCATTTGCGGAACCGTTGTTTGACCCACACCCAAATTGAAGCTCGGTACCTGGAGTCGCCTTCTGACCCGAACTAAAAATAGGTCCATGACCCCATTATTTTAGGTAATGGCCGACCATTTTGAAAGGGTCATGGAGACTCTAGGGGCTATCTCCTCGGTGAACCAAGCGGAACTGGGGGTTGAACAACTCCCCAAAGCGCCAAGCTAAACCAATGCCGGGGTCCTATACCACCTTTAAACATCACCAAACAATAGGGCGAATCTAAGGAATCCAGACTGATTCACGCTCTGAGTCAAAGAGAAGATAGACATCCCTTCATCTCTCGGCGCATATTAGGGTCATTCTACGGTGGATGCCCTAAATATTTTGCCAGTAGGGGCACAAGGAACACTTCCATTATTTTTACCATACTTTGCCATGGTTAAGTAGGGGAACAAGGAAAACTTCCAGTAGCACCGGAAATTAAAATGCATGGGTCAAAATCCCGTACCCCCAGTGAACATCCCAATCCCAACTAAAATAGCTACCCCAAATGGTGCCATTGGTTTTGACCCACAGCCAAATGGTTTTGTGGTGGAGTGTGGTTGGCTTACTTGCAATATGGCAAGGGGCATCCACCGAAAAGGACGTGAATTCGCTCGCAGCCAGATCGAGGCTTGGCTAAAATCGCTCACCGTTCTAACGACCCAGGTTTGGCTAGAACACCTTAAAACCCCCTTGTGTTGGTGCAAGGCTTGGATCATGTTTATTTACCAGCTGGGTTTATTGTAGCTAAGGTTGGTGCAATTGTAGGCACATGTTTGTAGATGGTAGAGTAGAAGCTTCAGGGTCAACTTCTGTGAACATCAGCGTCCCTAGGGTTCTCCCTGTGAACATCAGCGTCCCTTGCTTATTGGAAGCTTCGAAATAAACAAACAAAACATATGCCAGCACCCAGGTCCCAACTACTGCTTTTCGGACAGTACCAAGCGGATTTTGGACATGGTCAAGCAGTGGTAGACCCAAACTAGATGATGGTAAACAATGGTGGATATATCAACCCCCATTGTTGAAATGGGTACGGGTCAAAATTAAACCACCAGGATATGAACCGCAGGTTTTAGTCCTTTCCAGTTACTAGGGCAACCCATTTGGGGTACCCATTTTTTTGACAACCACACCCAAATGGTGACATGCTTCAAAGAATGGTTGACCCAGATGATGGAAAACCATGGTGGGTATATCAACCCCATTGTTTAACTGGCGGTAGCTGAACCCCAGGGCAGGGTCCGAAGTCAACCGAGGCTGCCGCCAAATCTCTTGAGATCCTGCGGCGTGACAAGGCGATGCGCTGGACGTCGAATGCAGAGGCAGGTTCAGAAGGGGAGAACCAGTCACGCTTGGAAAGCTGTGTGCGATCTTTGGTGTATTTGGTGCCTTCTGATTCTTCGATGGTGATTGAAGCAAATCCCACTCCAAAACAAGAAACCATCAGTGCCACAGCAAACACTTGTTCCATCGTTCAAAGCAAGGTCGAGTATTATGCACTGGACAGGGAAGCGGAATCCACGAATCCGTGATACAAAGGGCGTCCCAAACTTGGTTGACGTTGGAAGGGGAGCGAAAATCTAATTTTTAGCAGTTAAGTGGGGATTTCCCACTAAACCACAATGAGCAGAAATGTAAATGTTTCCTAACGACAACCATGCAAAGGGCGTCCCAAAGACAAACCGCCCATATAAAGAGGGGACTTCCTTGCGTGATAATGTTGACCCAGGATTAATAAACCCGAAACCCATTACTAGGGGAATGTTCCCTCCAAAAGTGGTCTGAATCCAACCACTAAAAGGGGACACCCCCCTAGTAACTTAGCATTACAACCAAAAGGGCGTCCCAGAGACAAACCGCCCATAAAGAGGGGATTCCCTCGTATCACGGAACTGGGGACAAACCCCTTGATCCCCCAACCCCGATCAGAGGGGATTGTCAGAAAATGCTGTGGATGGTGGCGAAACCCAGTTCGCACCACCTAAGAAACCATGGTTGAAACCATTGTTCGTTGGTATTTACCGGGGGACTCGTCATTCCAGGGCTTTTTTTCAGGTGGTGCGAAATGGATTTCGTCCGTCAAACCCCAAAATGGCAAAGGCGTCCTCTTGCTTTCCCTCTAACCCGCCAACAACCGGGTCGCCTCGAACCAGACACACCAAACGGGTTTTTAGAAAGCCCTTCAATGCTGAGGGTATCAATATTCAAGTGAGCATGAATATTAACTAACACCAAGAGGAGAAGGACCCTTTGGGGGGATGCATTCCCAAAAAATAAAATTGGGAAGGAGGACCCCTATTAATATGTATGTTCGGTCGATACAAATTGGTAAGTGGCAAGCTGTCCACGTTTCACCAGCCAGTGGTAAAAAACTTCCATCAAACTCCAACACCTTACCAAGATCAATCAAACCGACCGGCACCTGCGAAAAGTCGTAAATCCTTTGTTACCCCAACTCCACAACTTTATCCCCCCCCCCCCGGAAACAAACAAACACCTGGCTGAGTTGCGACAGCCTTTCCGAGGGATCGAAATATGAATCGGTCCTCAGCGTATTGCTGAAGCGTCTCTTTCTGCACCTGGCACAACAAAAATAGAGTTCGTCCAATTTGCAGTGGCCCAGTATGCGAAAAAAAAGTACCAAGCGGACCCCTTGTGTAACCCAGTGTCAAGGTAATTAAGGATTTGGGATTAGCTTTGAACAACCCAGCTTAATATGTCTCTCTGAAAAGATCATGCTCCAAGCAGCCAAAACCACAGGGCAAACCACCAATTTAGGGGGACCCCTCAAAAAGACAAGCCCATATAACTCAGCTGCCCAGTGGCCATGGACAAAAAAGAATCGGCATCTTTTTTTTGTTGACTTTAACGGAATCGGAACCACTGGGCAAATTTGGATAATGACCCCTGATTTAGGGCTCACTCACCGCGCGTGCAGCTTTGCAGCTCCGACGAATGGGTTTCAATTCTTACCCAGAGGCTCCTGGCTTTGGCTTATGGAAGACCCGAGCCCATTAGATTCGGGAATTGGTGGTCTCGAAACCAGGCTGTAAGGCCCTAAATCAATCTAACTGGAGCCTCTGGGTAGTGAAGAAGTTGGACAAATCAACTCCAAGCGACTGGTAATCTTAACGAGGGCTCGCCCTGGGTATGCACGACTTTTCTTTCACCGACAGAAACAATAAATGGAGACGAACCAGGGCCTGAAATCTGAATGGATGTGGGGCACTCCTCCTTGTACGTTACTCAGCGGATGCCAGTTACCAGTCACCAGCCATTTTCCCGCACTGGCAAATGAAACACTGAGTTTGTTTCGTGATGAAGCTGCTGCTCACTCACCGCGCCTGGTCTATACGGTGCTCAAGATGTGTCCACCTCGGGTTCCGCAAGTTCGCCAGCTTCTTGAAACGGCGTGTTGTTTGAAAGTAACTTGGGGGATCACGTGTTTCCAGGGGGATCGAATGGTGAAAGGGGGATCATTTTGCATCACAGGTCATTCCTGGGCTGTCCATTCTCGAATCCCCTGCCAAAGGCCTAACGTGTGGGTGAAATGGAAGCCCAACCCCAACAACCTAAAAATGTAAGACACTGGACGGCTGGTTCCGAACTGTCAAGATTCCTGAGATCCCGCACTGTGCATCCGCCTCAGCATTTGAAAAAAAGCAACAAACCCCCTCAAAACATTACCCCGATCCCAAGAAACAATCAAGGAATAGGCGATGTGGGTCTGTCTGCTCTTGGGGGACCCCCCCCCCGAATCGGGGTTTTCCTTCTGGTGTTTGTTTGAAACCACCAACTCTAAAGAAGAAACAGAACCACCCTAGGGGGAATAAATCTGGACCGGTCGCAATGTCTCCTTTCGGGAGCGGCGATTGGAAGTCGTGGAGTGGGTGAAAACCCATCGCGAACCTCCCCTGGACATGGCTTGGCCGGAACAAGTCCCAACTTGGAATCCAGCCCTGCGGTCCGGAGCCCAAACAACTTATCTAGGGACTGAGGCAGTGAAGAAGGGACACTCAAGCTAAAGGAGCCAAACTCTTGGGGTGTCATGCATCAGGGGCAGCCCAGAGATCTGACTCCCCTAAGTACTGACCCTGGCAATGGTATGGTTTGTCCTCAGGCTGGTTTTGCATGTTGCTTTCTCTCAAGTTTACACTCACCTCAGGTTATTTTCTGTCTGCTGTATCAGTGACACATTCCTTTCAACATCTTCAGGAAGGATCTGCATGCATTTGATTCAAGCCAGTGACAAAAAGCAAAAGAGGCACGCGTACCTGTTCCCTTCTTGTCACTTCGAAGGGAAAATCAAACTTGTCCCGGAGTCAGGAGTTCTTCACCAGGTAGAACGATTGAAACTTTCAGAAGCCATTCGGGTGGCTCGTCTGTTTTAGAGTTGATACCCCCTTTCTTCGGTGGCCACAAGGAACATCGCCATTTTGTTGGGGGCCCCAACAAAAGCAAGGCCCGTTTGGAGGAAGCCCAACTCATCAGACAAAAAAACAAACACACTGGATCAACATGGGTTTCATCCCCCTCACTCCCCCCCACGGCCAAGAAACAGAAGGTACATCACACTCACGAGCCCCCAACCTGTCCCTTTCGACCTCCCCATGCCTTCCAAGCGCATGTTTGCCGTCCTGTCCCCCAGGTGTCATCCAAGTTATACGCAAAACGAAGCCCCTTGCCCAAGTTGAGGAGCAAGACAATAGCCACGGATCAGCCTATGCCCCTAAGAAACTCTGTATCTGCCCCCCGTACACGCCCCGCCCCTTTTGGGACCCCTCAGACAAACTAAAGCCAAATGCCCGTGCCAGGGGCAAATGTCCTAATATGGGTGTGGCTCAAAATTAAAGAGCTACGGTTCATTACCAGGTTTTAGTCTTCGCTCCCACTTGCCAAGGGTTCCATTTTGGTACATGTCTTTGAGCCACAGCCATATACTTCTAACATACACCCCCTGATGTGCCCTGGTGACCGACAACAAGTCGAAGCGGGCACCCTTTCGCTGCTCCAAACTTAAGACCTACCGCGCATACGCCCCTCCCTACCCTTACCCCAAAATACCCATGCGACCAGCAAACCACTCCTGGGCAAATTGCTATAGTTCACCAACCGGAAAGAAACTTCAGCGGGAGTGAAATCGCTCGCTCCCTTCGGTATGGCTAAACTCATGTGTTTTTCGACCCGCAGGCCCGTAGCCTCCCAACAAACCTGGAACAGGGGCCTGGAACATCGGTTTCATTTGAGGGATCCATCTCCCAGCCCAACGACGCCTTTTTGGACACTGGACTTTATGGGAAGGCCAGGCATCCAGGGTTCATTTAAACAAGCAACCCCACGCGCCCTACATCCCCCCGCCGGACACCAAGAGAAGGTTGCTTGAACAAAAGTGATTCGACCATGTTTGAGGGGTTGATTCGCCCAAACATGCTCAAACATGTTGAAAACGATGCGTTAAATCATGTTCGCCCAACCCTGCTAGGATGACGACCTTTTGGAAAAATAGATGGCCCAGTGCCATCTATCTCGAACCAAGCGACCCTAAACTGGGCTGTCCTCAGATCCCCTGCTAAGAGTTAAACCTTTTATAACCTTTTATGGGTTAAATGGACACCCAACCAAACCAACTAAAAGCATCCAAAACCACCTAAGGAACCGGATTTTCCGGTTAAACCCGCCATAACAAGGATAAATATGGAAATGCGGAATTTTGACTTGTAGGTGAGCCCAAAACAACGAGATGAGAAAAGAACATGAACACCTGGAACTATGTGATTTGAAAATCCATTTTGCCACCACCTTTGAGAAACCCTTGGTGACTGATTCGATTCCCCATCGTTACTAACAAAGGCTCTCACAATCCCCAGCCACTCCAGCCACTTTAGTCACTCCAGCCACTCCAGCCACGTGGCGCGAGACCTGCGGGATGTTTCCCCTTTTCGCCCCAAGCGCCCGCGCCTCTTCCAAGAGCCCTTGCAGCTCCTCGCCGAACAGCTCAGGCGCCGGCTCCATGGGCCTTGCGAGTCGGTTGGAGGTGGCCACCGGGGCTTTGGTCCATGCGTTCTTGGGTTTTTGAAGATGCGGTCTTCTTGACGGGCTTGTCATGCGCTTGCCGGGGTTTTGAATATTTTTGAATAGGGTGCTGCTTTCCTTTTTGTGGGGTTGCGGGGAACGGGTTTGCTTAAAGGATTTCTAGGGCCTACATCACCCAAATAACAGCCGAGTGAGAGGATCCCCACAGGTGCTTGTGGATGAATTCCGCTGGAGGGGTCCCTGAAAAACTCGGCACCGAGTGAATTTGGGGGATCAAGAGCAAGCGTCCTCAATTCCTCAATTGATAACTGTAAAAACTGGTTAAGGGTGAAAAAAAAGGATAAACTCCTTCAAGTTGCGCAAGGGGAATATTTGTCTGGCAAATTGGGTAAAACCTGGACGCCGTGAGTTCAGTGCCTTGGTTTTGCTCGTGGCTTTTTGGGCCAAGCAGAAGCCAACATGGAGGCTGAAAAGGGGCTGGGAAAAGCAGGGTACAGTCCAAGAATCCCAGAACCTGCCAGATTTCAGGTCCGCCTTGCTTCAACAAGCTCTTGCAGTCAATTGGGGATCTACAGCAACTTGGGCGGAAGGGACGTCACTGCGGAGCGTCGACCTCACTCCGCTTCCTCGGGCTGCGTCAATCCCAAACCCGGCCGCTTGGCGGTTCTTGTTTCTAACAGGGATCCTTACATTATACACCATATCAACTAATATCAACCATATCATTGCAACTTGTAAATGGTGGTCTCCCTGTATTTTGGTGTTGAAAAAGCAACATGTTTCAAGTGGTTGCAACATGTATCTTTTAAGGAGCCCTGTCTAAGTTACAAGGTTTACAACAAGTTCCCCATGCAACATGGGCATCCACCATGCCAAGAAAGACCCGTCCCCAACCCCCGGGGTAAAAGGTCAACAAGAAGATCTCAGCAGCGTGAGAACCCGAGGCCGCGGCGGGTTGGCCGGCCCCGGATCCGCGATTGCGCAGCTTCAGAGCGAGCCGACGAAGAGATTCGACCCCAAGTTGCAACATGCCCCCCGCAGTTCAACCATACATGGTTTCCCCAGCACATCCTGTGTCCAAAACACAAAGAATGCGGTACTTGTTGCAGCCAACACTTTTGGCATCCACGCGTCTGGGTGTGGCGGGAAACTTGGTCCTCTATGTTTCTGCCCCAACCTAGAGAAATTTAGTCACACGCATGTCCTATTCAAGGAGGAATTCTTGCAAATCCATGGGCAAGCTAGCAGAAAACGTTCTCGACACGACAAAAACCGGCCAATACCCGCCTATCATGGGCCCAAGCCCTCCCATGCAAGGTTTGAAAGGGGAGCCAATCGCAAAACAACCACCAGAACTACCCCCCGGAATTCCCGGGTTGGTCCCCCTTCTCGTCCCGAAATGAGTTGACCGTGGACAAGTCAGGATGTTCATGACCGAACCTCAGGGGTGATTCTAAGAACCTTCCCGCTGTTCCAAGTGACACCTTTTCTGACATCGAAGGGGACGCGGGTCTGCAGGGGAATATAAGGTTTATAAGGTTTGAGGCTATCCCCAAACTGGGCCGGGCACCGGATCTGGAGCCCTTTCAAAGCGCTTCTTTCGCACGCCCCACTTGGCCCGCGCCACGAGTCAATGCAGATGGAACTTCTTCGTCCAAAAAAAGAAGACGCAACCACCTGGATAGCCAAGCTGCCGCTTTTTTCAGTCACTGTTGCTGGTTATTGGGCTAAAGTGCATGGAGAAAAAAAAAAGAGATCGCAGCTGGCGATCCGCGAAGGCAGCACTTTCGCCTTCGGGCCTGAAAGGGGTAAAGTGCCCCCATTCCTCGAGTTACGGGTCCGATTGGTTACCCTTGCTCCCATTCGTCGTCCAGGTCGCTCCTCGATTTGGGATGGCTCACCGTTGAATCGCAGCTCCAACGTGTCCCATGAGCCAAACCTAGCAGTTGTTGGTTTAAGCAACCAACAGCTAACAACCAATAAACATACTAAACTCACGAAGTTGTTGACCAATCAACCATACTGGTTTAAGCTTAACCGTTTCCCAAATCAAATCCCCTTCTAAAAGTTTCACACTTAGTCGTTTCGTGGAAACCACCAAACCCTAAACACCTAAGGGGATGGCGCTAGAAACCCCGAGTAAACCAACAGTAAACCATCCACTTCCAACCGCGCTTCGGCATGCCGCCGGTCGCCATGCACCTCAAGAGGACTGCTGGAACAGCACAAAGCAAGTCGCCCAAAGCGGCACAAAAGGACTGGAGCAACAAGTTGGCCAGTCTTTTTGGCACGCATGTCCAAAGGATTTGGCCCAGAAAAAGAAGTTCTGAACAGCAGTCCCATTTTGCTTAATCATCCACCATATAAATCCGGGGTCGCTCCTACTCTGGCCTCTGTGCACTGCGCGCATATGAGCTGTGAGTGTACCTGCACCTTCAAAATACCTTTAAACATGGATTATTGCCGCACTGTGGGGTGATTCCCTTTTTTTAGTGGGTAGTTTTGAGGGTCCAGGTATACTCAAATGGTAGTGTTGGCACAACCAATGGGAAGTCCAGCAGTTGCCATACACCTCACTCAAAATCAAGCAGGGGTGCAGGAACCCCGGATTTCCATTGCACTCACTTGCCCAAAAGACCCGGGCAACAAAAAATAAGCTTTGAAGCCTGAACCCTCCATCTGCTTGAGTCCCATCGAAAACATACCAAACGTATGTTCAGCGGTGAAATCCATTCCCCAGTAAAGAATAATAATAATAAACCTTTTCCAAAACGCAATGGGAGGTCTGCAGCAACCTGTTGCTGCCGGTGCTGGGAGCTAGCTCCATTTGAACTTTTCTGGACACATCGAAATGGCACTGGCAAATGAGTGGAACCTGCGCGCGCGAACCGCGCAAACCGAAACCGCGCCAACCACGGCATCCCCCTTTTTGCCGCGAGAGCAAACGCGTGCGAAGAGCGCGCGCCACTGGGCGCAGCGTCCTACGTCGGGGGAAGGGAAACGAAGGAAGCAAAAGGACCAGGAAAAAGCAATCAAACCTTCGGCGATACTGGCAGCATGCAAATACCAAGCGGAAGCCAGCGACATTGCTTTTCCACGCGTAAAGCGTATAACAGTCAGCAGAAGAGAAACAAGTCTAATTAGGAGTTACCTGAACCCTCAAACTACCCTTAAAAACCATGTGTTTTCAACAAAACTCTGGTGTCAACCCCCTTTTTAAGGGTATTGATTGCGGGTCCAGGAAATAATGACCAATCCTATTCCCCTGCAATGACTAAATACAGTATGGTTTTAACTTACCCGACCCTGTTCCAATTGTTTGCTCTTTCCCTATTCGAAAAGGATGGGCCAGCTGGTGCAAAGGTCGGGAGCGAACTGATTGAAATGTGTAAGATGCAGATCCCAAATGGCTACGCTTTGTTTTAGGCGACCCCCAAAACAGTCGTTTTGCCTTTGGCTTCTGTTTAAAAGTCATAAAAACAAAACCACTAAAAACAATACCCTCTGAAACACACACACACACACATGCCCCTCAAAACTCAACACCTCGGCTTCCGCCAGAGGGCGCCGATCCACTTGTGATGGCTCGGGGCTTCCAAGGTACGAGGGACAACTTGATCTTTTATGATGGCCACCCAAACAGAGGCCGCACTTTTCCCCCGGGGATTTCCCTAATCGTGGCTTCCATGTTACTCAGCGTATCATGGGTATGTGTGAACAGAGGTGGACCCCCAACAGTTGTGACGCTGTCCTTTCAAGTTTCCCTTAAACCAACCTTTCCCGAGTATTCGTCCAAATGTTGAACTGAGGTTCTGGACAAGTTGTTTAAACTTATCCTGCCAAGCATCCTCCAACCCCTGCTAACAGCTTTCTTTTCGGTGGCCTCCAAGTTTCTCACTCTAAGGATCTGGAAACAAATCGGGTGACCTTGTGAAACATTGAATTCGACCAAACATGGCAAACCAAAAGGTTGAACAGTTGAAAAGGTGGACTTCGCCTTGGTCTAAGTGAGTCCAAGAATGTCCAAGCCTCCTCTCAGTTCTCCTCTTTTAAAGGCCCCTTCCCATGCCTACCCCACTGCAACATCTTCGAAATCTTTCCGCCCTCCGCCGGCCAGTCGGAAGATCTTGTTGCCCCGACTCAACGAAACCGGTCACCTCGTTGGGTTTCGCTTGGTTGGCCAACCAACCTAACCCTTTTCGACTCTGGGGGTCTTTGAAAACATAGCTGTCTTCGCGGGGGCCCTCCTTAAGGTTTTGGCATTTCTGCGCCTAAACCAGTTCGACCTTGGTGGTTCAGGGTGTTGGCCTTGACTGAAGCCTGTATCGAAGCAGGATATGTATGCCTCTTCCCTGATCCCTGCTTCGAGAAGCAAATTGACACGCAAGAGCGTTCCTTTTTCTCCACAATTCCTCTGATCAAGTTGGTGGTTTCATGCTCTTTCACAAAGGCGAGTTGGAAGAGTCATCAACGAAACGAGCGCCAAAAAGCGCAAAACGAGTGCAAATCGGGACAAGCAAGCACAAACGAATGCAAATCCCACAAATGGTAAGGGGAATGGGTTTTACGGCCATGTTTGCTGACAACTCCAGCGATGTTTGTCGAACCGTACATTTATGCTTGAACGAGTTGTCACGATACATTTTTTGCAGCACCAATTAATTTTAACCCCGGATTAATAAACCCTTGGTTGATGAATAGGGGGTGTCCCCTTTTAGTGGGATTCATCACCTTTGGAGGGAACACCCCCCCACTACTGGGACGGGTTTATTAATCCTGGGTCAACTTATTGTATCAATGGAGGCTCCGAGACACACGACTTCTAGTTTTGGGTCTGGCTTGGCCATCCCAACAGTGTCGTTTCCACCCCTAGCAAGTCCCCTACATCTCTAAGGGTGCTTTCGAGAAGCCACGTTTCAGTCTAGGTCTGAACCGGTTTGCCTAACTGCGGGGCGAAGTTCCGATCACGGAATAGTTGACTAGGTCTCACAGTTCATGTTAGGCTTTTGAAGCGTGAACTGTGTAGGTGCCACAAGATCCTGGATTCAGCATCCGTTGCAAAGATAGATCAAAGCAACTTTTTGCCACTGAAAGCTATCTCTGCCCCAATCAGCTCCGGAGCGGCTTCGGAAGGGTTCCGGGCTGTTCAGGATATCACGGCTTGATAACCAGCTCAACAGCAACATGATAATTGCCATGAGCTCCTAAACACCAAACAACATCTTTGGCAGCCTAGGGCATGGATATGTGTCAAGATGTAAAATACTTGCGGGAGCCCCGAAGTTGGTTTCCCTCGGATTTCCCGGCAGTTGGCACCCCATGCGGCAGTCCGATTCCATCCTCGCGAGCTCGGCGGTCGGCGAAATTCGCGCCATCGGCCTCCGTGCGAGGCGCGGACCGCTTGGATCGATGCAGACTGTCGGATCGAGGGTGGAGTCTTGACATGCAACGGCAGAAAGGCAACCCCTATAGGGTGCTAGACTGCAAAAGTGTTGACGGGTGGAGGCATGCAACTCCAAGGAAACGACCAACTGCTCTGCACGCGTCGCAAAGCGACGCTTGTTTCCCACTATGGTCACTGCTTCGAAGACGTTCGCAACATGTTATGTCGCCCCGACTCCAGCATGATGATCACGGACAGGGCATGCGGATCAAAGCGCGCCCGGCGCTTTGCAGATCTTGAAGGATGGCTTAGCACCAGCCCGCTGTGATGACGGTGTTGCGGATTTCCTGGCGAGATGATCATGGACGGCTGTGGCTAAAAATGTGCCCTCCAACCCCAACCGTCCGGTGTAAAAAACATCTGTGGCTTGGCTGGTTTGTTTATTTGAGCCATCTGGGTCAACACAAAACTTTCTGGGCACACAGATGTCGTCCGATCCCCATAGCTCCCAGCCTGCAAAAACCTCCAGTTCCAGGGCGACACGGGGGAGACGCCACGTGTAGGTTCGCTACTGGAGGGTCGGGAAAAATCAAGTTTGTGGAAACACTCACAAGATATGAGGCTTCTGGAGAAACTTGGCACTCGCCCAGTGATGCGCAATGACGTGTCTTTGGGCGACCCTGTGCCCTTAACGCGCATTGTGCATTTTGCACCTTTTGGAAGTACTACAGTTCAAAACCAGACAACGTCAAAACGTCTCTCTCAAAACCAGGGGCAAAGTTTACAACAGAACATGCTTCAATTTGCGTACCAGCTCCAAAGCTCATGTACTAGTTCTGGTTGAGGGTGACCCTTCATGTTGTGTTGTCTCACTTCCTGAGTGGATGGGCCGAAAAAAGTTCAAACTTTCTGTTTGCCACAGAAAGGGTCTTTCCAACAAGTGTACGGTCCAGGAACTCAGGGAGTGAGTTGTTGCAAAGGGAAGCCGCTCGGTTTGGGCGAAACCGCTCCCTTGACCTGTCCTTGTTGTCCTTCGATGCCTTAATGTGGATCTCCAAAGGCGCGCTGACGGTGGCGGCGGCCTGCAAGCGGCACGCACACCCGGAGGGGGGTTATTTTTAGTCCAGCCCCTTCGCCTCTGGGGAGAAAACAAAAACGACCTGTATATAAGGTCCACTGCGCGCCCCTCCCGGCTCCCCCACTTCCATTTTTGGAATTTTTGCGCGCCTCTGGGTTGAAGGCACTGGTGACTTCGAAGCCAGAGTAGGCCGGGAAGAGCCACTCCCGCTCGCCCCCGGACAGCCGTGTGCTGCTCGAAAAGCTACGTGGAGCGGCTGTTCGGCCACGTCGAGAAGGAACAGAACTGGGACCTGTGCCCGGAGGGCTCACGACGCCATACCCCACAAAATGAATAGTCATGGTATCGTTTCAGCAGCCCTATGTTTGACCAGGTCAAACATAGTCTGACCTTAAACAAATCTGAGGGGCGAAAGGATTTTAAAGGGTCACACTTCAATTGTAATGCAAATGAAAAAGGGCGGAAGATGACAGGCCCTGGTTGCAACCATCTCGAAGGTTTGGCCCCGTGCTCCTGCCTGCCCTAGGTTCAGAAAATCCTCCGCCGTGGCCCGCTGATCGCTGAAGGCGAGCAGTTGCTGTGCCCTGTAGGAGGCCTGGTTTGCCTGCTGAGCATACCATTGGACCTGCAGAGTCTGCAAGATTGGCACTTCAGCCAAACCTGTCTGGGAAATGAATTTGGCGAAAGTCGTCAATTCTGGTGGCGCGTGGGAAACACATGTTTTCTGCAAAGGACCCTGGCCTGGTTTCGAGGGAGCCAGCTGCCGCGGAAAAGCGGCAGGGGCTGGTGATGCGGGGGCAGTGGGCCATTGAATGGCACTAGCTCTGGCCTCGTCGCCCCGATGAACCAAGTGCGCCTTCAAGGTGCGGGCAAATCCTTGGAAGCTGCTGGACGCGCAAAAAGTACAACACTCATGGTTGGTGAGCTGCGTGGTGGAGACAACACACACCTCCCCAAGCTGAAGGATGCAAAAGGCTGAGCTCCGACTAAATAGCATTCAAGAGTCTCACTGTACAGTTCAACATGTCGCCCGCAGCATCGGCGCGAAGCGCACGGTTGACCAACCGGAAAAAGCTTACGCCGGCTGAATCCTTTGCGCTAGTCCAAAAGACCACGGCCAGCTCCTCCACGTAGGGCCCGCCCAACGCGTGACTGCGCAGCTCGTTCATCGACTTCAAGCTGCCGGATCAAGCCTTCAGGATTGAAGTTCGGCGCGGCATCAGATTGTCCGAATGCTCGCAGCAGGCTGAGAGCCAAGTCATACCTTGCATGAGACATAATTCCTGCATGGAGTTCGTTCGTTTGCCAACCATGCTTCCAAACCAAAGGCCCAGAAAAGAACAACGCAACAACTACGCCATGGGCTTCTCCAGGACCCACGCGTGCATCGCGGCGTACTTCATCGTTACCCACTCGGGCGCGCAGTGCTTTTCTGTTTGCCGGCAAGCCTGTAAAGTTGTATGCCGCGCTGGCGAGCGGCATAGCGCGGCCTTGTCTGTAGGGTTCTATAACCGTGAATGTGTGCCAGATCTTAATACCAAAGCCAACTAACACGGCCGTCATATGATGGAGGTATGTTTGCATTCGTAGAAGGATATATTTATAACAGGAACTCGCGCCGTTATGACGGCTTCCTAAGAAAGCCGCTGCGGGTGGCAACCCGCCACGCCGGCCAAGAGGCAGCTCATCCCGGCTCTGCGCACCTGACAGTTCAGGTTTATCGTAGGCGAGCTTGTATTGCGCCGGCCGCAGCTCCGGCCGGTAGAAGAGTCCCCGGCCTCGTTGCCGCAGGGCGGCCAGGTCCAGAGCCCCAGGGTCGCCGAAGGGGTTGTCCATCAGATTCAGCACTGTCAGCCCCCTGTTGGTCCGGAGCCCGGCGGCCAAAACTGTGACGTGGCTGTCGCTTAGCCCGCACCTTTCGGCAGGAGCTGTTTTCCCTGAGGCCCTCCGCCAGCTGCTCCACCTGGTCCACCGAGAGGCTGCGCCAACTGAGGTCGACCTTCAACGACGTGGTGTCGGCTCGGAGCCGTTCTCTGAGCTCCTCCAGGGACCAGCCGAAGGCCGCCTGCGCCAATCCAAGCACCAGCTCACCAGGAGCAAATACAAGTCGAAAAATGGGCATGGCTCCCGCTCTCAGCTTCACTCGAGAGCCCAAGTGCTGGGCAGGCTTGCAACTCTGACTGAAGAGATGGCCAAGGCATCAACCGTTTACGTCGACGGAAGATCCACCTAGAGTCTCCATGACCCTTGAAAAATGGGGTCATTACCTGACCCCATTTTGTAAGGGTCATGGAGACTCCAGGCACTCAAAAGACACCTGGTTGATGTTGTGACAACTGACTTTCAGTCAAATCACACGTCACGAAATCCTGAGGGCGCGAGGGACTCAAACTAGTCAATTTCAAACCCATTCGGCTGCGGGCATACCCCCATCGCGCCTGGGTGCGCTTTGAAAAGCGGCGCATCTGCTTGTCCAACCTGGCGTGCCCCCAACAATTTGGGAAACCCGGGAGGCCCATTCAATGAAACTACCCATAATCTTCTGGCCAGAAGATTGTTCGTCCACGGGGGATTTCACGGGTCATTACCAAAAATAATGGGGTCATGGACCCATGTTTCAAGGGTCATGGAGACTCCAGGTACATGATATGATGGCTAGGGGTCACAGGGAACCGGCAAGATTAGTTCCCCTGTACCGGGGAGGGCAATCGCCTTTTTGGTGGGGATAGTCTGACAGCTCCCCCCTCGTTCCTACCTTAAGAACCCATCCGAATCGACAAACAATATTCAAGGTCTGATCATCGGCGAACCATTGCCTACCTGGAAGAACGCAAGCAACTGGTCATGCAACTGAAGGCACAAAGACAGATTCGACTGCCAGCAACAAAGCGTGCCTTCTATTGCAGCACTAAAAATGGGCAACGAGTAACTTCCGGCCAGTTTAAACTCACAGCCCGACAGCCTGTCAGAAAAACTACCGAGAACCCGAGGAAACAGCTGGTTGCTGGACACGGTAGGCCCAGATCAGCGGGGCATGGATATGCTCCCTTTGATACCAGAATGGTTCATTCCCATCTATTTTCTTCGTAAGGAGAAAGGGGATGCCCAACAATTTCCTGACAACTCAGTCCATAAGCTGAACTTCTGGGATTTAAGGCTTCAAAACGTCTCTCCCCAAAGTTCAGGGGCCCGGCCGAAGCCTGGCGGCAAACAATACGATGCACGGTATGGGGGGCGGGGGCTTGAGAGAGCGGGGTTGTGGCTGTCCTTTCACAGAATCGTGGAAGAGAAGGTCAAGTGGGCGCTTTATAATTGACTGGCGGCTCCCATGCTGGGAGAGAGATTCAGTTAAACCTCACAATGGTTTCGTCAAACTGCCAATCACACATAAGGACAAGTAAAAAAGGAATCCCGATGGGGAAAATGTCCAATGTTAGTTACCTGGAGTACCTCACGAACGAAACAAGGACTGCTCGCATTCAAGCAGACATATTGCAACTTGGTGGTGTCCTTCCATCGCAAAGCAAAGCTTCCGGAACCCGCCGGATCCTTCTGATGTTCCTGGGCGATTTTTTTCCCGGAAGTGCCAACAACCCAAAGACCTGGGTGCCGTTTCACAAGCGCCCAAAACCCCCCCGCCCCAAAACCCCCCATGTGCCTCCGGATGCTCTTCACCTCACAGGCCTCGACCTTGCACAATTGGCCAAGTTCCCCGAAAACATCTTGCCAAAAGATCCGCCGAAAGCATCCCCCAGTCAAAAGACATGATATTATTTGCAGAAAAAACAAAACAAAAACAAACAAGAACAAAGAACACACTAAAATCATCTTCCCCGGCTAAAAGACATGTGCTTGTTTGCCCAAACAGAAACTCATCTTGCCTCAGGCCCGTCTCAGGAAGTTTTGGGAAGAGCAAGGCCAACCTGTCTCTCAATTTGCGCCATAGGCCCAACGTCGCAACAGTTATACGAGCTAAAAGGGACGCCAACCCACCAACATACCTCCAGGGAGATAAACGGGAGGTCTCCAAGGCTTCACTCACATGTGGTGTTTTGGCCTACTTGCCATTCGACGCGCGACTTCCCTGTGATTTTGTTTGCCCAAACACTTGCGCAATCCCCTCAAGTCTTGAGGGAGTGATAGATGATCTTTCCTTTCGCCAAGGGAGACCGTGGAACATGGAGATAGAAAGCCCACTGAAGGTAGAAAGGCCGTCCGGAGGAGCGAGACCCGCATGGGATGCGGTTCATCTGGTGGCTCCTTCAAAAAAATAAAGCTATAGCTCTGGACCTGTGCGGTCCTGCCCCTCTAAGCGTCCTTTTGCCGCCTTATGGAACAAGTTCGACATGCTTGTCCCACAACTCCTAAGGACGAACCTGCTGTCAATGCCTCGAACGAGAGCGGTCGGCCCTTTCCGAAAGACGAAAGCCATCGGGTCGGTGTCTTTGGGGACTTGTGCTCCAGTCCGTGCGCAGCCAAAACCTTTGTCGCCTCTCGGATTTGAGTTGAGGGTATGACTCAGTGCATTTGGGGGGAGGGGGTACATGTCATTGATTGAGACGTTGATAATGTCCACTTCGGATTTCACCGTGCTCATCAGGGCCCCGTAGCTCCCCCTTTGGTTCTCAACAAACGTCATTCTAATGCTACCTTCCCATTCTGAACCCGGGGATCCGAATCTTTCTAGAAATACCTCCTTTGAATCCCAGGGAAACGGATCCGGTTTTCGAAAAAAAAGAAAAAGAGGATGCTTGGAAAGAATGGTTGGAAGGAATCAACCCTAAGAATGGGCCATGGGCCATGCCGCTGCATCTGGAGTCATCCAAAGCCTTAACTTCAGGTCCTTGAGCTTGATATGGCCATGGCCACACCTGAATCACCCTGAACCAGGAGGTTCCTTTTTGCCAAGACCTGAACTCGGTTTCTTTCTGCTCCCCTGCTAAAAGTGAATAACTTTTAGTTGTTTAATGCGGACAACCACTTAGCTGGCAACCAGTTGTTCAGTGCTAACATCCCTCAAAATGCACCAAAGTGAACCAGGAGCCACGATCTGCCAAAACATCCCTCTCAAAATGCCCAAACTCAGAGCTTGCGAAGATCGGCTCCACTCACATGCGCTATGTCCAGCGCTTGCAGCAGCCCGGGTCGCGCGTCGTGAGACTGGCAACTCACAGCTCGTCCTGAGCACAGCTTCCATGGATGAAGTAAAGAAACCAAAGCTGAGAATTCTGCCGACGCATCACCATGGTCATTTCTTGTGTTCATCCTGTATCCCGGTAGGCTGGCTTAGACTTCATTTCTGGACCTCCTGCGAGTCCTCTTGCAATTCACCCAAAGCCTACACTTAGAAGCTCGCCATGCCAGCAACCAGGCCCTTTTAACTGAAGCTCCTTTTTTGGAAGGGATTCTCGCGAGGAAACCCGAGGAGAGCGCCCCATTTTGGGGGGCTCCGATTCCCCAAAACGACACACCCCAAAACCGCCGCTGCCTTCCCCGAGACTCTGATGCTCACATTTGGATACAGTGACCTCATCTTTACGTTTTTTTGTCACCAACTCCCAGTAGACGATTCTTTTGAACCTGGAGTCTCCTTCTGACCCTTAAAAAATGGTTGGTCACTACCCAAAACAATGGTTGGTCATTGACCCAGTTTTAGTTCGGGTCAGAAGGAGACTCCAGGCAGATGGGTCCTTTGAACATCTTCCAAATCTCGCGTGCCAGCGCCTTCGCGGTCAGCTTCTGCAGCAGCTTGATGCGCGACCTGAGCTCGCAGCTCGCGGGAATCTAAGGAGCGCATGAGATCAAGCGAATTTATGCGGCTGTCGTAGGCACCCAGAGTCTCCATGACCCGTTAACAATGGTTGGTCATTTCCCAAAATAATGGGGTCATGGACCCATGTTTAAAGGGTCAGAAGGAGACTCCAGGCAGACAGGTTTGAGTGCTTGGTAAAAACCTGGGTTGCGCTTGGACCCACTGTAAGTGATTTTGCAAGTGATGTTCACTTGTTTCTTGGCTGCTTCTTGTCTTCTGCCGACCGGTTCACACATTTAAGGCCACACCGAAAAACAGCTGCGAGCCTATGGCAAGCTGATTCCTCATGTTTTTTTCTGGGCCAATCGCGGAATCGATCTGGAGGCCAGGGACCCTCCGACACCCTGAAACCCTCAGCTCCCAGACGGCGAAAGAGTCCCAAATGGGTCCCAAATGGATCCCAAATGGGTCCATGGAGCTTGAGGGAAAAAACCGCCCTCTCTTCAAATGAACCGAACCCCAAGGGAAATGGGTGGTTTCTCAAGCGAAGGTTGGTAGAGTTTGCTCTCAGCATGCAACTGGACCGAGTCTTTGGTGAGGTGAAGAGGTCCAGGTAACACATGCGTCCTAAACTTGGGGATGCCCAAGTTAAGCCGTCCACAGACACCATAGGGCTTCAAGTGTTGGACAAATACCAACATACCAGCACCGGGGTCCCAACCACTGCTTTCTGGGCAGTACTTGGAATCTTGGACATGGAAAAAAGCAGCTGTTAGGCGGGGGGGGGTGCTTGTAATTAATGCATCATTCATCTAACTATACATCAATGACATCAGAGGTGTCCTGTAAGTCCATCAAATCAGAGTCGAGCCGCATAAGCCAATTCTTGTTGTCCTCCTTCATGTCGTTGCCCTGCATGCCCTGTGCGGTACGTGGAAAACTGACTAATTGATGATATTACTTCCCCAGGTTTCCTTCTGTCACCGCCCAAAAAAGAAGAAAACACCGGTGTGGGGGGGGGGGGGGTTGTTAAGTCAGCATGGCATGGGGTCATCACCTCCAGTGGAAAACTGACTAGATGCTGTGATTACTTCCCCAGGTTTCCGTTTGGCTGTGGGTCAAAACCCAGGAAATTTGTGGTGAACATCAAAATGTGTGGCAAATGGATGTTCATCCAACCCAAAATGGAGCCATAGGTTGTGCCCCATGGCCGTCTGTCACCCCTCAACAAAAAAGAAAACACGCGGGGTAAGTCGAGCCAGGCGACGTCAATTCTCAACTGGCACATGGGAGCAAACCAAATCAGGGCCTGAGGCCTGCACTGGGCAGATATCTCTAGAGGCGCACAAGCCACGAGCCTAAAACCTGTGCCTGAAATCCACTGGAAACCCCCTGCCAGGGAACATATCCAGGAAACACAAAGGAGGGTTGAGTCCGCCAAAAAGACATAAAGGTTGGGTTGGGACCATTTCCCTTAAACAAATACTTGCTAGGGGGGTTTGAAGTCTTCGGCTTCCGTTTGGATTCCATTCTAAAGTACGATACCGTCTCCGACCAACGCCTTTCCATGCTTGCAACCTCGGTTTTTTGGCCTGGCGGATTTCTGAAATGAAACCCAGAGGGTCCCTTGGTACCTAAGGTACTGAACGACCCCTTTTCTACCCCCTAAAAGCCATCCTGAGGTACCAAGGCACCCTCTGGCGAAACCCAAAAAAAAAGTGGCTTCCCTTAACCTTCCGCGACGCCAAAGACCCCCGTCGATGGAACCACATGTGCCACTGCACATGAGAGGTGCTGAACTGGGACGGTTGGTTCCTTTCAAAGGGGAGGCTGCAGTCTCCTTCTGACCCTTCAAGAATGGGTCAATGACCCCATTATTCTGGGTAGTGACCCTATGTTCAATTGGTCATGGAGACTCCAGGTACAAAGGCTCTTGGTTCCCATGGCTAGCTTATGACTTGAACTTGGTATCACTCAAGAGCTAAAACCCACTTCCCAGAACCAACGATATCGCAAAAGGGTCCAACAAATATAATATGCGAAGCCCCTGTTGTACCCTTATTCGCAAGGGACATTGCTTTCCCTTGGGTGATAGAGGAGGTTTTGAAAAAGGATTGATTCTCCACGGTTTGCTTCTGGAAAGAAAATTCATAACATATATATTCATAACATATAATATATATATATCTAATACATATTCTGGCGACTTATCAACCTGCTCAAAGCAGCGCAAGGCCCATCTGCAATTCCGATCGCTTCGATGGCTTCGACCGGTTCCCGCGCCTCCAGCCGCTTAAGCTCTGCCTGAGAGGGGCAGATCGCAGAAGCACACGGCGTAAGCCCGAAAATGGGGATGTCTTTTCTTCGGCGCCTTTTTTCTGGGCTGCCCAAGCGATGTCCGATCCCCCGCTAAAAGTGACTAACTCTTAGTGGGTGAAATTCGGAAACTGCCGCTAAACACTAAAAAGCTAAAAGGCTAAGGGGATGGCTGGGAGCCACCAAGTTTTGGTTGAGATTGGAATGGGGTGGATTCAATTGCAAGCGAGAAAACGGTTGATCTGGTCGGTTCGCATTGCTTACAGCGGCGGTGCGTATACTTTCGGTTTGCTTTTTTGAAGAAATCCGATGGGTCTTGGGAACTTGCTTGAGCCTTCTCAACTGGATATCTTAGGTTCGAAGGCTGCTTTGAGGGTTCAGCATCCTGCTTTAAGGGTTCGAAAGGACTGAATCTTGATGGGGGCCGCTGTTCTATTCGGGCGATCTTCCCATCCCGCCAGAGCATTTACCTAGAGAATCAATCCCCGAAAAACCTCAAAACAGGATATACAGAAAGCTGCTTGGAGGTCACTCTGCGTTCTTGGAATTTTAGGTTGGCTACTCCCCGATTTTGCTTGAGCGACCAGCAAAAACGATACCGTTGCAATTTGGATACTCCCTATTCTTCTAGGTCCTCCAGTAGAGAGGTTAGAATAAGGGTACCCTTTTTTCTCCGTAGTCTAATTAATTTAGGGTTCCCCTCCCAACCAAAAAATAAACCGTAAAACAGGGCACCAAAACTAGGGGGACCTCGTCTTGTTTCACAGGCGCGACCTCGAATTCACGTCGCGCCTTGCGCTTGTCCACGCTCGCGGCCTTCTGCTTCTCCACGTAGGCCTTCGCCTTGTCGCTGCAACCTCACGGCGTGCAACGAGGCCTCGAGGGTCCCAGGAAACCTCGCTGGGTGAAATGGGCCCAGACCAAGAAACCGCTCTGAGTTTTTGTTTGAAGGGGGCACCTGGAGTCTCCATGACCCGGTCCATGACCCCATTATTTTAGGTAATGACCCCACTTTTAGAGGGTCATGGAGACTCGAGGCAGAGCTAAAAGAGTTGATTTCAAGACGCGCCGCAGATTTAGGCATTCGCCTTCTCGCGACATCCACAGGTGTCAAAGCAGGAGTTGGCACCACGACCAGCTCCTTGGAACGGGCTCCTAAAGGCTTCTCAAACATGAAAAGGGGATCTCATTTCAAGCATGGCTTGCCGTAGGTTCTTGGATTTTGAAACGACCCGTTTATTTTGTCTAACAAAAGGTCTAAAAGGCACCCTCCAGACAATAGTGGCAGTAGGACATTTGAAAGTCACCAGTACCAAGACAACGGCTCCGACATAAAGGAGTAGTGTTTCATCGCTTGGATGAATGAGAGACAAAGCCTTTAATTTGTATTAATGGGTTCAACGGAGAAAGGGTTCAGGATTGCACACGTTGAGGCCTAGGGCTTTGGGTTTATATGATCAATTGCTTACAGAGTGGATTAAAAACACACATGATATATTCCACCAAGATGTGCCTCGCTCGCTCTCTCTCACTCTCTCTCTGTATGGTGGCATTCGCGCCAGTGCGTATGCCAATGCTTCCCACCCTGTTGATCATCTGCCCGTCTGCAAACCTTTCGGGATATCCCCGGATTCAGGGCTGCGCCTGAGGCAAATCGAGGGACATCTTCCAGCAGAGATTCACCACTTGGGGCAGGGGCAACACGGGCCCGGAAGCCCTCCAAAGTTATCTGTAACTTGGGGAACAACCGAGCAGAAGCAATCAATAAAACACACACCAAAACTAACAAAGAAACAGCAAAGACCACACAAAAGCGTAAAACGTCGAAGCACGTGAACTCATGGGGGGCTGGGGACGAGCAAGGGCCCTTAGTCAGGCCTTGTTCAGGGCTTAATAAGGCCTTGTTTGGGCTGCTCCCTCCCTTCTGGCCGCCATGATGATGCAAGAGGAGTGGCTCTTGGCCAGGCTTCCAGTAGAAAAGAAACATATTTCGGTGGAAGTCCCCTGAGACTAGGTCCTCCAGATTTGAGAGGCTAGAACACTTTTTGTCTGTTTTGCCTATTTTAGGGGAAGCCTCCCAACCAAGAAAGGCTTCAAAAGGGCACCGATTGCTGGGGGGACCAAGCAGAGCTTCATTTCGGCAAGGAGCCCGTCAACGTCTCCACGTTGCATTTGTCCGCAGCCTTGCTCTCCCCCTTGATCTTGATGATCCTCCCGATGTGGAGCTCTGGCTCCCAAAAAACGGCTCCCAAAAATGGCACCTTGCTACATGGAAAGTGGATAGTTATGGAGCTGTGGCTCCAAAAGAATTGTTCCAATGGTGCCTTGCTACATGGAACGTAAACGCTAAAACCCGCGTAATCCTAGTCTTGAACTTTGAGCCACACCCATATGTGTGCGTGTGCGTGCTCACTGGCTGAGTAGATGGCCCAAAAAAAGTCCAAACTTTATTTTACCACTAAAATGGTCTTCCCGAAAAGCTTACAGTTCATGAACTCAGGAAGTGAGCGTGTGTGTGTGTGTAGGGTGTGTGTGTGTGTGTGGGTGTGTGCGTGCGTGCGTGCGTGCGTGCGTGCGTGCGTGCGTGCGTGCGTGCGTGCGTGCGTGCGTGCGTGCGTGCGTGCGTGCGTGCGTGCGTGCGTGCGTGCGTGCGTGCGTGCGTGCGTGGGTGTGTGTGTGTGTGTGTGTTTTTCCGGCTGGAGAGAATCCAAGTCGACTCCAGGGGTTGCTTTGCAGATTGTTGGCAGATTGCTGCAATTCGCTCTTGCAGTTCATTGCTTTGATGGTTGCAGATGAGTTCGCATTGAGTTGTCTTGGCAGGAGGTTGGGTGTTACAGGGCCCTAATTGTTGCAAACAACCACACTTGAGTCACAATCAAAACCTGGTACAAAAATGGTGAACCCAGAACCATGTAAAGAATTAGAAAGGCGGCCGCAACTATTTCTGGCTGGGACTGCCCCTTACTATATAACCTTCATCTACCCGGGTTTTGATTGTGGCTCACTTGACCAAAAAGACATGGTACTTTGCGGTAAATCTGATGTTCCTTCTTCCAGTACCTGCAGTACTTAGAGCACCGACCATAGCTTGCACCAAGCTTGCGCATGACCTGGATGTATTCACTCATACAGCAATGCCCCTTGACTCTAGCGGTGGGTGCAGTGCCCTTGCCCTTTGAACATGGCTCTTGAAGCGGCTTCAGTTGCCCTTTAGAGACTCAGACATACAAGGTGGTAACCTTTGAGGCACAAAGGAAAAGTGAGCAATTGCCCTTTTCAGCAGGTGCATATAACTCGGGTCTGGACAACAACCATAGGTCCTCCAGTAGAGAGATTCGAATAAGGGTACCCTTTTTTCTGTAGTCTATTTTAGTACGGGAATTATCCCCCAAAAAGGGGTAAAAGGGCACTGGCCACCAAGGTGCTCCATGTTGAAGATGAGCACATCGCCGCCCTTGATCTTTGCCTCAGGAAAGAGCAGCACAGGCAAATGTGTTACCCTCCGTTTTCCCGCCGTGGAACCCGCTCAACTTGAAAGCCCAACATCCTCCATTTCTGCCTTTCCCTGCTGGCTCTTGGCCACCCCTAGGAATATCTTGAGATTCAGGCCGATTTCCCTCACTCACCCGTTCTACCTCAGTTTTGCCCCCTACCGGCTCAGTGAACCTTACAATCCAGCATCGCACATTTAAAGAACCTGACAATACGAGTACCATTCTGTCAACAGCGACATTGAAGTTGGCAACTTACCCAGAGTTGGACACAGTCCCCAGCTTGAGGTTCTCAAAACACGGCCGCGGGGCCCATAGATCGAGTCGGGTCGCAGCGTACGTCTTAAAGAGGACGTTTTGAAATCTCCCGCTTTCAAGCGGGACATTTCTCGTTGGCCCATCCGAGCCGAACAAACTTGGCCAAGATTCCAGCTTCTCACGAGTGCAAATGCTTCAAAACACCCCTTCTCTTTTGGGTGACCCCATCTTATCCTGGAGACTCCAGGGAACCTTTGGCCGAAACCTCGGCGGCACATGGCCCGTCCCGGACATCCGAGCGGCGCCCGAGCCGGAGTCTCCGTAGCCCATCTCCGAAGGGATGTACATCTGCCACTTGTCCCCTGGCGCAAAAAGCCCCGGGCTCATGAAAAAAAACGCTGGCCCGGTTTGCTCGCGGAAATAGACAAACAGCCAGTGACGTTCTTCCAGCATATGGCAGATTTTCATCCACAACTTGGCCTTTGTCAGACACTTTTTCCTAACAGACTGTCGCAAAAGTTGGTGGCTTCAATGGCTTTACTGCGAGATAAAATCAAACAGAAAATCGATGCCCTTTTGGCCTCGGATGAACTGCATTGGTTCATAGGATTTTCTTGAGGATCTGCATGTTGCTTGCAGTGACACCTGAAATCCCAGTGCCAAACCACAAATTCACAGTGAGCTCGTTTGATGCCCGGGAGCTCGTTTTGCCCATGAACATTCAGCAGAGAATTACGAAGGCTCCCAGACGACATGAGAAACTGGATGGTCTTCACCCCTGGTTGTTGGTGCCGGGAAACTCGGGCGATGTTCCGTCTGGACATGCCTAGAGAGTTGGGGAGGAAGATGGGGACATAACCTAGAAAGGCTCAGCCGGCGGATCGCCCGGCAAAGGCTGGTTAAACTCACTTGCCTATTTGGGACCTGGCTCCACAAACGGTTTCCTCAAACCAAAGAAGGGTATGTGTCAAGACAGGGGCCAAAACTTGAATTCGGGCCCTCACTTATGCCACTGCATCCTCCCGATTGGAGGTGACCAACTTAGACTTCCCCACATATACGCAGTCTCAGTTGGCGGCGCATCGCCGGCGCCTTCCACCATGAGCTGCATCGCCTCCGTCCAGCCTTTGATCACCTGGTCCAGGCGGATGGGGCCATCTTCCAGACCTTTTTTTAGGTTTGCTTGAAGGGAACTCGCAGGGAACTCGCACAATTTTGGGGTAGCCCAGGGGCCACAATGTATAGGGTGGACGCGCAACAAAAAGGGGGAAGCAAGAAAGGTGATCTACCAAGCAAAGGGTCTTGTGGCAGTCAGGTTGCTACCCCACGTTACCAAACGTCCCAGACTGCCCACAGGGCTTTGCCGCGCCCCGAACTCCAAAGTACGAGCTTCGCGCCTCTCGCCTCAGCGTGCTTTTGGAACAAACAAATAGTTGGGCTCCACTGGTACGTGACAAAGGCACAAGCTGATTGCTTCCCGTGGAACCAGCGGAATGCTTCTATGTTCAAGTCACCAGAGGTGGGACCACAAAAATAGGCGAGTGCGAAAAAAAGTTTGGGTTGAGGATCCGTGCCAAGTTTGCAACCAATTCCCCAATTTGTTGGGGAAGGGGGTGGGAGGTTCAATTCCATTTTGCAAGTCCCCACATGGGAAACCCCTGCCCCAATCAACCATAGTTAGAAGACCCGGTGGACATCAACTGAGTCTTGGTAAGAAGAGCCCAGAAATGAAGGGCCAACCCAAAAGGGGCCATAAACATGAAGCGAAAATGGAAAATCAAACGGTCAGATCCGGTCGATTGAATTTGCTGAGCCAACCCTTTCTGGGTAAAAAAATGTCTTTGTTTGAGTTGGTAATCCTGTACTTGATGCTTCAAAAGAGAACCAGAAGGAAGACTGAAACAATACGTTTTTTGGGGGGGACCCTGAAAACAGAAATGTACAGTCTGGGGGTTGGGTTTGCTGCAAAGGCTGTTTTTAGTGTTTTTCATTGCTCGTTTTCAGGTTTCTTGCTGTGTCCTGGGGTGCCACTTGACTTTGGTGAGCTGTCGTTTTTAGACTTGGTTTTAAAGGGAAACCAAAAAGAAAGCCACCATATTATTTTTTGGGGGGGAAGGAGGGGGGTACCCTAAGACGCACACACACAGACATATACCCTTCTGGGTAGGCCCCCACCTGGTTCGGGGCGAAGGTGGTAGGGCTGCCGCGCTTGTAGGAGGAGTCGAACTCCGCCCACTCGCTCTCCTCCTGCGAGCTTGAAATGTTGAAATGGAATAGATGGCACTGTTCCCTTGATGTGAGGATCATGAAACTCGGATTGGGCTGTCCTCAGATCCCCCACCGGAAGTTTCACTTTCAGTGCGTGAAATGGATCCCAATCACTAAACGCTAAAAGGCGTTTAACGCATGCACAAGCGGATAACTGAGAACCGCCATTCTCCGACCTCTACTTGGGCGTGCACAAAAGGGAGTTTCCCATTCCCTTGAAGTTTCCTACAGGGAAAGTAGTCTTGGGTGAAACTAGGTGGCACCATTCCCTTTAAGGACCATCCAATGAGCAGGCTGCTTCCCAACTGTACAGGAGAAACTAAGACTCAACTGGGCATGTCTTATTTTGGGCGACCCACTGAAACGGCGTTAAAGGTTTCCTTTTGGTTCCCTTCAAAATCACTCAAAACGAAGACACGCCCAAATCGGAGAGCTGTGTTTAGAGCTCACAAGTGGCAGGCTCTCAAATAGGTTGAGTCGTTCTATTGATGTTGTTGTTCCTATTGAATAATAAAATTAAGCCATACGGATGTCATGGCGTGTGAAATCAAGATTCTACACTCATAAACTTCCATTTGGGTAAGACCCCTGGAAACAAATATATATATATATATATATAAATACTTCCAGTAGTGAAATCGATTCCCTTTAAAACCAACAGGGAAAAACACGCATTCTGTTGAGCAGTTGGAAGTAAATGGGATCCACAAGCACAGGACCCCACTGAAATTCGTTGACCAGAAATCCTCCAGGCCGCGATTTCACTTGCCCAGACCCAGCCTCGTGGGGAACCAAGAGCTCGTTTTCCATATCCCTCCGGAATGACCATAGGCAACTCGAGTTTTCACCCAAGGCGTTCTGATGTTCAAGGCTTCCTCAGGATGTTTGAATCAGATCGTAATCCACAGTCGATCCTTCTATACCTAGCGGTTCTTTGGGGTGATCTGTAGCTCCCATGGGTGCGTCTTTGTTCAAGGACCGTCAAGTTAGACACCGGTTCTTGGTCCGACCTGGCGTCCCGATCACATGGGGTCGTTCAAGGAGACCACGAGTTTCCCCATTTAACATAGGCAACCTATGATTGATAAAGTACCCCGATTGCTTTTGGGGCCCATGGTCCGTTTGTTAGCCCCAGTGCCTGAAGGGAGATCACGAACCCGAGAAGCAGACGTAACAAAAACACATCTTTGGAAAAGCCATCATTGCCCACGCGCGCGTTTGGAGGAAAACGCGGTTCAGTGGGAAGCCCTACCACCGGACAGGCCACTGGACAGGCGTAGTTAAACAATGTTAAACATGCACTTTGTCGGCATACCCACATTAACTAAGAATGGCCCCGACAAAAACAACAACCACACAAACAAAACAACAAACACAACAAGAACAGAACTACCGACAAACAAAACAACACACAAACACAGACAAAAACAAACACAAAAAATGTGGTCGATCCGTTGACATCCGTGAGTTTTTGTTGGATCGAGCCTTCGAACCATTGAAATGGATCATTTTTCGGATCCTTCTCGATGGCATCCGGCGTCAGAGAAGGCGTGGTGCCCGCGTAGTGGCACTCGCAAGGCGTGCCCACCAACGGGCTCTTGTCGCCTAAGGGGTGGTCCAAGGGACGGGGGGAGGGAGGGGTTCCATAGTCCTTTTAATGTTGACCCAGGATTAATAAGCCCGTCCCAGTATTAAGGGGGTGTTCCCTCCAAAAGTGATGAATCCCCACTGAAAGGGGGCACCCCCCTATGAATCAACCAGGGGTTTATTGATCCGGGGTTTGGATTATTCGGAAAAGATGGGTTTCCCTGGTTGATTAAACCACCAGGTAAACCAGGAATCGCCATCTATTTTTCGAGCAACACAACCAAAAAGGACACCCGTGGAGGTTCCCTTCAGGCTCCCCAAAGAACCCAAAGGCTTTCGATCGAACCCTAACGAACCATACGACTTTTTCAGGAATCCTGAAAAAGATCAGGGCACCCTGCTTGTACCTACCCCCTCTCTGGGGGCTTCCATAATGGATGGTTTTAAACGCAAAACCAACAGGGGAACCAACGCTACGTGTTTGGATTAACATGGGTTCGGCCCCTGTAAAGGGAAAACGAAACCAACCATTTGGAAAGGACCATGTTGGAGGATGAAAGGGGAGCAAAAAGGCAACCGACCGGACAGAGTCGGGGCCAACAACACAAACATGCATATCTAGGCAATTGCCTCGGTCACGCTGAAAAAAAAGGAGAAACCGCATGGCAAGACTTACAAAAGCTGCCACAGCAAAAGAACATCAGTGACACCCTGCTTGGATGTTCGGCCAAGTTACTGACTAGCCACCTGGGCAAGAAAACAACAACGAACAACACAGGATTGGCTCCACTTAACGGGAGCTGAGCTACAACCTAGTTTGCGAACGTGCTGTACTGCGTTTTCTGTTGCTGCAAGGCTCTTGGAGGACAAAAAGTGTTGATATGAAGCGTCGGAAGACTGCAACAGCTTTGTCAGCATGTTGAACTATGTTTCATCCACGCGAATCTGGACCAAGGGCGGCTTCTTTTGGTGAAAGGCATTTCAAAAACTCGGTTTTCGAAAAGAAAAAGCCAGGAGAAGTTACCTACCCTGCAAAATTGAAAGGATCGCAATTTGGCTCATCGGATGAAATCCTGGTGTGTGTGTGTGTCTATTTTCCAGGGGACCCCCAAAATGGACTGGGTGTCCTTTCGGCTTTCCAAATTCACAAAAACTCCGAGCCTCCAAAAGTCCCCCATCCCTGGGATAAACCTTTCGAATTTGTTAACTGGATTTACAGAGGAAGGCCGGTTCTTAACTGCGGACAACATCCTGATGGACGAACACTGGGCCAAACCACCAACTCGTCCAGGATGCGGGTGTCCCTTGTCTTAGGAAGGTAAATATGGCATGTGCCCAAAACCCATTGACTCTTGCTTTTACAGAAAGGTTTTGTAGCCTTCCTACAAGCCCTACTGTGGATGGACGAAATCCATGCAACGCACCACCTAAGAAACCCTGAAAGTTATGATTCTCCTGTAAATACCCACAAACGACATGGTTTCAGCCATGGTTTTTTAGGTGGTGCGAAATGGATTGCGTCCATCCAGAGTATGAAACCAGGGGACATTCAGTGATCGAGTTCTCCCCATGTCCAGGCCCCCCAATAGGTTTGCCTTTGGTTTCGCTTTCAACCCAAGGGAGAAAGACGGGTACACATTTCTGGGCTGTTCCACTTCGATCCCCTGAAAGTTATTTTCACTTTTCGTGATTTAGTGGAAGCTACCAGTGGCTGGAAACCACCAATATCTGTTCACGCGAATCCATATGGCAGTGGCTCAAAAAAGCGGTACCAAAATGGCATCTTGGTAACTGGAGCCAAAGACGAAAACCCGCGTAACCCTAGTGCCTAGCTGTTCAATTTTCAGCCATACCCACATGGCAAACCGTGGAGTCTCGGGAAAGCTTTCCCAACTTCCGCCAAAGCGCCATGACCTTCGCGGAGCACCTTGTACTGCAGCCCGGATGGCAGCGTGATCACGCCTGAGCTTGGGCCGTTGGCTCCTGATGGTTTCATGATTAGAGTTAGGCTCAGTTATGGAATGTATATTTTATTGTTTGCTTCACTTTGAGTCACTGGTAAATGTAAAATGTATCCTAAGTCCACCCCAGGTTTGTGAAACCGGAAGGACATCATTCCACAATGTCAGCTTCGGCTGGCGTCAGGAAACTCTGCCTTAATTGCCCTCAGGTCCGGCAACAGACTACCCGTTGGCCCATGTTTTTCAACATGACTTTTAGAATATTCTGGGGGTTGATTCCTTTTCCGTTCTTTCCAACCATCCTTCTTTTCTCAAAAACTGTTTGTTTCCCCTGGTCTTTTTTTGATGGTTTACTGAAAAGATTCGGATCCCTGGAGTCAGAATGGACATGGAAGGTATCGATAGAAATATGGCTGTGGCTCCAAACCCTGGTACCTCCCCATCCCCCCTGCTTCCCGTTTAAATGGACCACACAGAAAGTACAACTCGCTTGCCCAAACAAAAGGCGATCACCTTTTGGGGCCATGACGAAAGCTGGTTGCCAAAATTGGAGAACACAAAGTCAAAATGATAATGTGTTTGTTCACAGAACCTCTGCGTGGTTCTCCCCCTATTTCATTTTTATTACTGTGTTTTGTTTTATGTTATTTTGTGTGTGTGTTTTTTTGGGGGGGGCTACCAAGGTCTGTTGTCGAAATAACCGACACTGATTGTAGATTGAAAAGGCAGGAGGGGCATGCTCAACTTGTTTGTGGGGTAACAGTGGCAAACTGTTAGTACCCTCCCACCAATTAACATGGAACCTGACCCCCTGTCAGGCTCCATGTTAATTGGTGGGAGGGTAATTTATTTAGCCCCTTGCTTCTCCCTTCAACATCAAACATATTATAGGTGTGTCTGGGTGTGTCTTTCTCAGGGACCCCCCCGCAGAAAAACAACAAAACAACCAAACACAAATGTTGGTTTTCCTGTTCGTGTCCCTTTCAAACCACAACAAAAACACGGCGTACCCCCAAACACAAGACACCCCATAGATCATTAAAAGCTTGTTCAAGGCCCACCCTGGTGGGATTGCCGACCCACCGATTAGCACCGGGAAAATAGGAACCCTTAAGGCGTCCAATGCCCAAAAAGAGATTCCTCTAAGACGGTTGGTCGGGATCCATGTTGGGCAAGATGCACATTTCACCGAGCTCGGGTCCGCAGGTGAACGCTGTTTGGTGCGCAAGGGCCGGTTCAACCAGGTCCCGATGTCAAAATGCTTGCAACCAAATGCAACAGACAATGTATCTGTTGAGTTCGTGAACCCTCTCCAGGGATGCCTAAGCAAATCACCTCAAACAAAAAGAGAAGAACATCCCTGAAATCAGAATCGGATCCCCAAGTGCAGGACCTCCATGGTTGTCGCATAGAGGGTGTCCCCTTTTAGTGCTTGGATTCCCACCCCGAATAATGGGAGAGGTTTTAGGGAATCCTGGGTCAACACTATTGGTGGGCAAAGAACAGGCAGATATCACATGGAACCAGATCACCATGTTGCAAACAGCCCGTTGAAACCTGAGAAGTGCGCCACGTTGGTCGGTATCCACAAATGCAAAGGACGTGCAACTCCTGAATTATGATGCCTCTTCCCTGTAAAAACCCAACAAACAATGGTTTTAACCATGGTTTCAACGGTGAAGGATTTCGTCCACCACAGTAGTCCTGCAACATGGCCACCAAAAGCACAATGTTGACCCCGGAGTTCTAACCCTCGCCTATCAATAGGGGGTGTTCCCTCGTTCCCTCCAAACGCGTTCTCAATCCCCACACTTAACGGAATTGGACACCCCCCGATCAAAATCAACCAAGGGGTTCTGGGGTTTCTACAAGTGGAAACATCTCTAAGGTTTTGACAAGGAGAAACCCCTTGCTAGAGATCCAACACAATCCTCTGACTTACTGATCCCCATGCCCTAGCTACTGGCAGCAGAAAAAGCCCCGGGGATGCAGTGCTGGCTTGTTGAGTCTATCTGGCTTGCCTGCAAAGCCACCTGAGGCACCAGGTGTCCCATCGGCGCTCATGCGTTCCAGCTTTTTGACTTTGCTCAACCCGCGAACGGCTCGTTGGAGATCGGCTAAAGTGTTGGCTAAAATCAGGACCAACGGACGGGAACACGTGGATCCAACCACAGTTTAACCTCGGTCAAACAAATTCTGCCCCCAAGCTTGTGTTGAAATTATTTGAGTGAGTTCCGTGTTCATAGACTGGAGAAAATTGGGAACCTAACCTCAAAATAATTCATGAAATCAGACTTTCGCGCTAGGGGCTGGTTTCAGGGGGTATGAACCGCGTTTTATTCAGAAGCTTGGGATCTGTGTAATAAACTCGCCAAGTTAACGAATCTCCTGAGGGGCCTTCATGGGAGTTCGCTCGCTTTACCCCCGAATCCCTGGAAACGACCGCTGTACTTCTGGCAGCTTGGATCTGCAAAAGTGCGTCGGGTTCTTCAACCTGAACAAAAATGATCTCCAAGTATCCCAAGTCAAGAACTAAGAGCCCTTTGCCAATTCTAGGTCCTCCTGTAGAGAGCTTAGAATAAGGGTACCCTTTTTTCTGTAGTCCATTTTAGTAGGACAAATACTTCCCAAAAAAGGGTAAAAGGGCAGTACTGGGGACCTAGCATGGGTTTGCCCCAAGTCAAGAACCCATGAGAACCCTTACCATGGCTTTGCCTCGATTAACCCCGACTGGCTCACTCGCTTGAAAACGGGTAGAACGCGGAGGCCGACTCGACGAATCGCCTGGTCTCTTGGCATTCTCCTCCAGGAACTTCTTGCCCACCTCGTAAGTGGGAAGTGGGCTGCGCGCTCGTTCGCCAAGTTAGGAATCTGCGAGTTTACAATATGTCCAAAAGCAGAAATCAGGGGTCCCCGAATAAAGGATCTTTACCATGGTGAGCTCGTTTTACGCCCAAGTGAGCTTGCTATAAATCCACTGCTGTTCAAACTTGCAGACCGACATTTGTCCTACCCTAAACGTCTGATCGGGGCTTAGTATGCCGGACCCGGTGCCCGTACCAAACCCCGAGTTGCTGAAACGGGGTGTGAAAGGCCCAAATCCATCAAAACCCTCATAGGCTCTCTCTCCCAAAAACTTCCCAAAGCTGGCGGACGACCTAAGCATCGGATTAGGGACCCTCCATACGGGCTGGGTTGTCAAAAAACCAAAATCTGGCAACACTATCTTCCTGTTTTGGGTGTTCCTTCAAGCTTAAAACAAGCAACCGTCCATTGGTTTTGGTGCTGAACCTCCTTTCAAGGGCCCTTCAAGGAGGGCCCTTGGACTAACCTGGGGCTTCCAACTAAGGAAGCACGTCGCAGGTCTCTCCGTCAGTTGACTCTGTGACCAGATCGGTAGCCTCATTAAGGAATACCCAGGATGGCACAAGAATATCGAAATCGAAACTTGGCTTCCGTTTGCTTAAGCCCCCTGGGAAAAGAAAAAACAGTATATATAGTGATAGATTCCCTTTTACACCAACAGGGGAAAATAACACATATTCTTAACAAATGGAAGTTGGTATCGGAGTTTAGACCAAAACTAAAAGATCCGCACCGATGTGTAGAGACTCCCCCCCTTCAATCACCCTTGACCAGGTTTTCAGACCCTGCTTCGGGGTCGGGTCTTCCATTGAAAGCCGAAGCCAGGAGCCTCTGGGCAAAAAAACAAATGTCACACCACCTAGCAAAAACATGTCCCTAGAGTCTCCATGACCCTTGAAAATTCTTGGTCATTTCCTCAAATAATGGGGGTCAGACGGACCAATTTATAGTTCGGGTCAGAAGGAGTCCCCCAGGATGTCACAAAAGGCCCCCCTCGCTGGCCTCATTTGTGGCTAGCGCCAGCCACGGGGCCAGGAGAAGGAGGCCTCAGACTGAAAATCGATGGCATGGACCCATGGCCCTCTCTCTGAACTTTCGGCCCCGCAAGGCCCAGGATCTTAGGAGTCAACTGGTTGATGGGCCTTTGGTGACAGTTGCCCTCTACAAGCCGAAAAAACAAAAAAGGACGGACGAATCCCCTGACGAATCCCGTGGGCATTTTTCACATTGGGCAAGACTTGCTCTCTTTGCCTAAGCCGTTGTAGTCCACCCTTTGCCAATTTGAGGTCCTCCGGTAGAGAGCTTAGAATAAGGGTCCCAATTGTCTTTCTGGTTTGTCTATTTTAGTAGGGGAACTCTCCCCAAAAAACATGTAAAAGGGCAGCTAGGTTTCCTCCCGTGTGCCATGACAGCTTTGGGGGATGGCACAGGCCGTCGGCCCAACATGGGCCCAACTTGTCCAACTCGGGGGTCACCTGTTGCGAAACCGAAGTAGGAAGCCATCTGCTTTTACCTGGCTCCATGACCCGAACTAAAAATAGGTGGGTGACCCCATGGTTTTAGGTAATGACCAACCAACTTTTAAGGGTCAGAAGGAGACTCTACATCAAACGCCCACCTCCGCACTGGCCCCATACGACGAGGAGTGTAGGTTCCATACGAGACATCCGATACAACCATGACAGGCCTGGCCAGAACTGGCAATCGACCTAAGCCCGAAAGGGTCGTTGGAGCTCGAAGGAGAACCAAACAAAAAAACGCGGCTTCGGGAGTCCAGATCTAATTTGGAAACCAACCCCCGCCCCTCCCCCCCCCCAAACGGTGGCTTTCCTGTTGGTTTTCCATGAACCCCCCCACCTAAAAACAATCCGTTTGCCTTTGGTTTCCCTCGCCAACTGCCAAATTGTGCACCAGGACCCTCAATCTACCAGCAAAAAATAGGTTACAGCCCCCAGCCTTTGTGGTTGAATTCCCCTTTTTCCAGGGCAGTTTCAGGGTGCCAACTCCAAAAAGCCAGGCGCCGAACGAACTCTGGGCTTCCTGGCTGAGAATGGCCATGGCGAGGGACGAAGTTCCAGGCTGAAGCCAAAAGCAGCGGCGGCGAGCAACTCTTCAGCTTCCCTCCGATTGGTGCTTTGGATTGGTGGATGGGTGGATGGGGTGGTTGGGGTGGTTGGGGTGGATTAGAGGATGGGTGGTTGGGTGGTGAAGGGCTTTCCCATTTACCCAAGAAACCAAGAAACCCGAAACTCGAGAATCTGAAACAAAAATACAGCCGTAGACCTGGCTGCGACTGGAGAGATCGCTGATAAAACCAGCTGGTTGTCTTTTGGTTTGACCTCGGACCGCAAGATTTGGAACTCACTGTCCGACCCGTACCAACTGGGTTGCAAATTCGAGAAGTCTGAAACCGGAAGCGCAAGGGAAGGAACCAAGAAAAACGCCAGGGAAGCCACCATTAGGTAGCTGTTTCGAAGGGAGCCATGGGGAAAACCAGCTAAATTCTTGGGGTCTCCCCCCGGGAAAAAAAACAAAAAACGACCCTTTCATCAGGAAAACAACAAAAACGGGCCCGAGTTATATACTAAAACTCGGCTGCTCAGCCAGCCCAAGGCCTCGAAAAATCACCCGTCTTGCAGCTTGATACTCGTGGATCCGTTCGGTGACTAAAGCATGGCCATACATCATGTCCCTAGCACCCCCAATGCCTGCCTGGAGTCTCCACGACCCTTAAAAATTGGTTGGTCATTACCTAAAATAAGGGGGTCATGGACCCATTTTGAAAGGGTCAGAAGGAGACTCCAGGTGGAATCAAACTTCGTTTCGCAACAAACAACCCGGGAAAAGCTTCCCTTCAGGAAACTGGACCCGAGCTCTCTCCATGTCCGGCCATGGTCTGGGCCACCGGACCGAATTTTGCCGCATTTCGCGATCCGTGCCGAACCTCCCGAGGCGCGAACTCCGCTGGGGCCCTGGCGATCCGTGGTTCTCACGCGCGGGCTGCGTGTTTGTGTCTGTGCGACTCGGTCCCCAAACCCCAAATCGATCTTCGGTGGATTTCCGTTTGGGCTATGTCTCTTGCACCTCTGCCCTCTCCCTTTCTTTGGTCTGGATTTGGAACTCAGGACAGGACAAGCCAACCAACAGCCTTTAAACGCATCCGAGTCGCATCCTTGGCGAATATCGCCATGTGCAACATGCAGGTACGTTTGATTTGGGCGTCTCAAGCTCCAACTGAGGTAATCTTCAAGCGGTAATTTTGCCGGGTTCCCTCTGAAACAAGCGTCCGACATCCGGCGGGCCGGGCCACAAGCAACGCACAACGCGAGCACTGGCCCTTTGATGGCGGATTTAAGACCCTAACAGCCCATGCCAATATAAATATGAGGGCCTTCGACACAAGGCCTCGAACAACGAATTCTTAAAAGGGCAGTCAAAGGCTTCACTCAGGTCTCAACGCTGGTCCCGTGTGTGGTGAATTGGGCCGAAGCCCGTCTCTAAGCCGACAATCACTGGCAAGTTGGCAGAGGCTCACATCTTCCAAGCGGACCTCGGCTACAGCACTTTGCACTTGATTTCGATGGAACTTTAACCAACTGTTGAACCATATCTGGCGCCATGCCCATGTCCATGCCAGACCTCCTCGAGTCGGCCGCTTGCATGGAATGAACCAAGTCGTCGATATGTGTTGTGCCAGTGTGGGGCTTCTGCAATCCTCATGTCCTGCTTGTAAATTGGTGAGTGTGACCCATGTCAGTAGACGGTATATTTTGCTAAATGTCTGGAAACACCAAAATATAGTCATCCCTGTTTTCAATGGAGCCTAGTCACCCTTATAGTAGGCAACTCTTCGCTATTTGCCTTTGGATTTTGTATCTTTTTTGGGGGTTACCACAAGTAAATGGACCCCAGTAGGCTTGGTTTCGATTTAGCACCCACTCATATTGAGCTCTAGGCTCTCACTCGAATCCACCGCTGCCTCCGCACATCGGAACGGGTTCATGGGCATGTGCCTCGATCCATTGCCCGTTGTTGACACATACCCAGTGCCGGAGCTCAAATGGCCATGGGTCAAAACCCAAATCATACCCCCAGTGAACATCCCAATCCAACCACTAAAATAGGTTGTAAAATGGGTGGTGCATTCACCTACCCCCAAAATGGTAGCATTGGTTTCGATTGGTTTTGACCCACAGCCCAATGTGTATAGGCCCAGAGGGGTACACAGAACGTCATACCTTCTGACTCTTGTTCCAAATTTAGCTCAGTTGCCCCCAACGGGGTGAGCACCTGTTGGGACCATGACCAAAACATGGAGCAAAAAGGGGAAACTCAAAGGTCAAAGGGTCGGTTCACTTTGGACAAGCGAGTTGGTCAACCGTACAATGCAACATGTTTTCTGAGGAGACAAATATGGAGCTCAAGCAAGGCATGCGCGTCTTTGAGAGGAGTCAAGTGCTCGAAATGCAGGGCCAGAGGGTCGCGAGAACCGTTTTCCGAAAACCATCTGCTTTCTGGACAGTACCAAGGGGATGCTGGTTGCATGGGATTTGTTTGGCGGTTATGGCATCGCAGGTAACCAGGGTGGGTTGCCTTGAGGATGTTGCCACATGGCCATGGGTCAAAATCCAAATCGTACCCCCAGTGAACATCTGAATCCCTAGTAAAATAGGTTCTAAAATGGGTGGTACTGGGTGCAAGGAAACACCTGCCTAGAGTCTCCATGACCTTTTCAAAATGGTTGGTCATTGCCTAAAATAATGGGGTCATGGACCTATCCATAAATCGTCATGGAGACTCCAGGTGCTCATCAACAATCAACCCGTCAAACAAAGAGGAGCGACATGAGCTGCGTCGCTTCGATACCTAATCAGGAACCCTGGGTGAAACCAAAGAACCATCCCCATTCTCCATCCAAACCTTTTGAATCATGAGCATAGCTTGCCTTTTGAACAAAATATCGATGGATTTCCCTGGTAAATGGGTTCATAAACCCCATCTAATCCAGTGCCATCCATGTCTTACCTGACTTGCCTACAGAGGTGTCCTCAGGTCCCCTGCTAAAGTGGGGATGATAATTCCTAGCGGGTGAAAGGGAAACCCAACCACCTCTCACCAACTCAAAAGCTAACAATTCTGGAACCGGCGGAGTCGCTGGGACCCACTCACCGATCAAACGGCCGGCTATCAGCCGAGAGTACAGCCTGGGGTCATGGCCCAAGGGAAGCCATGGTGCAGCTCCGAGAAGGAACGGCGCTCGAGCCGACTCCAACGAGCGGTTTTCTTCGCCGAGTGTACCTGGAGTCTCCTTCTGACCCTTTAACAATAGGTCCGTGACCCCATGATTTTAGGTAATGACCCGATTTGTAGAGGGTCATGGAGACTCCAGGTGGTGTTTTTAGTGATGGGACCCTGAAATACTTGCAATAGGGGGGCCTTATGTATGCGATTTCTTTCTGTTTTGGAGCTTTGCCTGGGCCAAAGCAGATCCTTATACTGGTGCGTTGCCTGTTTTTTGAGCTGGTACTCTCTTCGGAGCTATTTGCAAGGGAGACTAAAGCAATATTGGCCATAACCACCGTTTATGAGGGTTGCCTTTTTGAGACTAATTCATAATGTGTCTCATTATGAGGGTTTTGCTTAGGACCCCCCAAGAAGTTGTGTTCTCGACTTCCGTGAAACAAAACGTGTTCGCCTCAAAGGCTCCCATGGATCCGGATCGGAATTCCAAGGGCGAGGAATCCTTGACACCAAAAGGATGCCAAAAGGAAACCAGAAGGATGCCCTGGCCGAAGTGGCGAGACACCATTTTCTGGAGGTTTAGCCCGGAAACCGAAAGTGGAACCCCTACCTGGCGTCCCAAAATTATTCAAACTCGATCCGCTCATCGATAGGGGAACATCTCTTCAGCTTCCCTTGAGCGCATCGGTGGTTTGGAGCCGAGTCGGTGGTGGGGTTTTTTGGAGTTGTTTTTCTCGAATCCGAATCCAAACCAACCATCCGAACCAACAACTGGGAGGGAAGCTGTTTGAGAAAGCTGAACCGGCTCCACTAAAGTGACATCCCCAAACATGCTCTCTCCACTGGGTCCCGAAAGCAATTTGGAGAACGCCTCAAAAAACACCCACCTCTTGAAGGGACCCCGTTCAAAGGAGAAGCAACCTCGGCCAGTGATGGCCGCCGTTTGCGGATACGTCACATGGAAAACACACACACACACAACTGCCTGGAGTCTCCATGACCCTTTAAAAATAGGTACAAGAACCGTGGGTTCACATCCAAATCCCAAACCACCAACCCACCAATTCAGAATAACCTAAACTCTTAAGCAACTGGGAAATGAGCCACCTTCCTCCCCCCCGCCTCCCCGCCCTTCGGGCCCTTAAATCAGCCCGCAAGCATGTCCCGCAACCTTCTGCGAGAGGTCCATGGTTCCTTGTCGGCCATCCAGCGCCTTGCGTCTCCCCAACTGGGGAAATAGAGCGGCCTGTGTTGGAACAAGGTCGGCATACTTCCAACAGAAAACCTAGGCTTGTATGCAGGCCATCGTCTCTCGGTTGCGAAATCTGCTCCCGTGCTAAAAGTGAATAGCTTTTAGTGGTTTAATAAGGAAAAACCCACTAGTTGGCAAAAAGTTGAAGTCCACACATCCAAGCAAAATGCACCAAAGGTCTTGCTTCCATAAGGGTGTGGCTCGTTCTGTTTTATTTCATGTTTCTTCAGAGCCAGGGCGTGGCTCATTGGGGTTTCCGTCTTTCCATTTGCCAAGGCGCCCAAACTGGGCACCATTTGTTGAGCAGCCATGTTGAAGCAAGGTAGGCATTTCATCTTTCAGGCCATCGTCTTTTCTCAAAACAAGAATCTAGAAATGCCTTCCCTGAGCGGAAATGAGGGATTCCCGCCCGCGGTTCCCAGACTGATCTAAAGGGGTCAAGCCTTCTTTGATCCACGCCTGGTTTCGGAGCTTCTCTGAGAGGGCCGTCACCTGGCAAGGCCAAAAGGAGCTGCGCTCCAACTGCAGAAGAGCGCTTGCAAGGGAAGGTTCGGCTCGGTTCTATGGATTTTGTCAGAAAGTGTCCTCCTTTGCCTGGTCAAAGGGATCCTTGGCCTTGGAACTGGTCCTTCTTCGGGGGACGAAAACCAACGGCAAGCTACGGATGCCACTGGCATATTGCAAGCTTTGGTTAAGACCCCTGGCAAAAATAACAGCATATGTTCAGTAGTGATAAATTCCCTTTAAAACCAGCAGGGGAAATAAACAATATTCTTAAGCAAATGGAAGCAAGGGAACCAGTCGCTTCCCCCGGTTGTTGCGGCTTTTCGTGTGGTTGGTTTACTTGCAACATGGTGAGCGGGGCAGCCACCGGTGCCCATGCCCTGTTTTGTGTTGGGTCATGAAATGTGGGACCGCTAGGTGGGCGGACTTTAGTTTAATTGCAAGTGGACTCTCTGGTGGGCAAGCTAGAACTATGCAGGATGTACGCCCAGCATTGAGAGTGATCCCACCATGTACAGGTGGCAGTCGGTGCCACGGAAGAAACACTGCCACATGCCTGTTTGCGGGGTTTTGGGCTATATGTTCAAAATCCAAGTGTTTCATGGCATTTTCCACACCCTTTTCTGGGCAGGGGTTGACAAATCTGACCAAAACCCTTGCTGGGCTTTCCTTGGCCCGATTCGAATCGCCCAGGGACCCGGAAAATGTTGACCCAGGGCCGAAAACCACCTGCTACTGCGGATGCAAAAGCGAAAGCCATTTCGCATTTCACCTAGGAAACATCATGGTTGAAACCGTTGGTTGGTGTTTAGGGACCGAATCCTTCACGGGTTTCTTAGGTGCTGCGAAATGGATGTCTAGGTCCTCCAGTAGAGAGGTTTAAAAAAGGGTACCCACTTTTTTCTGCAGTCTATTGAGTTGGGGCCTTGAACCCTCCCAACCAAAAAAGGGGTGAGAAAGGGCACCAATTGCTGGGGACCTAGATGTTGCCCATTCACGGTATCAACAACGAGTACATCCGTCCTCCTCGAGGATGAGCTCCTTCTCCAGCAGTGACTCCTTCTTGTCATTCAGCCGCTCCTGCGATCCGACGAAGGAAGCCCAGGAACTTGAGGTCCAGTGGAGAGCTTAGAATAAGGGTACCCGACTTTTTCTTCTCTAGTCTGTTTTACAAGGGGAACTCTCCCAACCAAAAAAGAAAGGGTAAAAGGGCACTACTGGGGAACCTTGTTGTCCCATCCATCGAGCCCTTTGGGGGAAATAGATCCGTTGCTCGTCCTGCTGGTGCGGCTGCTTGGTTGTCACTGCCACCACTCCTTTTGTACATCTCTTTTTGGTTGCCATCTTTGAGGGGATCCGTTCCCTAGAAGAATGGAACCACTTCCTACTGGGTCGACTCCGAAAAGATCCGCGGGACCCGCGACCTGGGACAGAGATCAGGTTTAGCCGAGAAATTTTAATCCAAGAAAAAGTGTGCAAAGATCCAGCAGCGAAATCAATTGGGGCCTAAGCAGAAGTGCACCCCAAACTCACCCCTGCCTGTTGGCAGAAACTCCTAACACGCCTGGTGTCCATCCTTAGTGAGAGCCCAGCGGACAAAAAGGGAAGCACGTTGCCTCAACTGAATTTTCGCCCCACCCGCTGAGAACATTGGGTCTCTCAAAACCCCCCTACCCCCCACACCCACACACACACACACACAAATTTCTCACAGGGGGGTTCCCGGAATCCGGGATGTCGAGACCTTTCGGAATGGCCACAGTAAAACAAGAACTGCTCTTAGTCATCTTCAGGGCATCTGCGGAAAGAACAACCCCCCGCATGGGGTGTTGGGGGTCTGGCTTCAAACAAGTGACCCCGAAAATGGATTTCGGCGTTCCTTGGAGGTTTCCCCTTGAAAACCACCAAGCAAGGGGCTTCCAACCTCCAAAACACTTTCCCACGCTCGCAAGCCACGAGTCTCAGAGCGTCCTGCAGATCCTGGATCTTGACCCGGAGGGTTTCCTGGTCCAAGTCCTGGTGAAAGACGCGCCCAGTCTTCAGCCCGTTCATCCAGAGTCCGATCGGCTTGACTTTGGATGTTCAGTCGGGTGGATCTATCTAAGTGCTTGGACCTTTGGTGGACATCAGCATTCGGCGGAGATTTATGTCCACAGCTTGTGAGATGGTGTCCGATTAAAATGTCATAGCCAAATGGGTGTTCGGCCGAGCTAGTCCTCCACTTCTACCTCACTAAGTGAGTTATAATCACAACGCTCTAAAGAGCTCGACCCAACACCAAATAGTCATATGAAGACTCAATAGGGTGGCCGCACCTATTTCTGCCCGCTCACAGAGCCCCACAAACAAGGGCTGGTAGAAACACTACTTTCAGATGTTTGTTTCATACTTCGTGTAGCATGTCTATCCTATAAGACATAACCTGGCTTTGGATTGGATCGAGACCCCAGAAACTATATCTAACCCATGCGTGCTTGGTCTTTGGGCATGTCTTCTTTCAAGGATACGGGTCCCCGGCTTTTCCTGTGGATAAAACGGACAGGGGAACAAGGTGTGGCTTGTAGGTAATTAAGGGAAAACGAAAGGTTTTGAGAGCCTCAAACTCCTCTGGGGAGTCCAAACTCTTGGGATCTGGGTCTGGAAACTCGGCCCCATTCAACGCATCCAAGGATCCACCCCCAATCCACGCGATCCATGCGAGCCACGCCTCCCCTCCCAGCTGCCGCCACTTCCGGAGGGAGCTCTTGGGGTTCTCGAGCTGCGGAGGGCGGCGGATTCGCGGACGCGGAGGCGGCGGATTCGCGGACGCGGAGGCGGCGGATTTGTGAGTTGCACCCGGTGAGAGGCGCCGCTCCGGCGTCGATACAAAGGGATCCTCTCAAGTCCACTAGCCAAGCAAGCGGAGAAAAAAAAAGGGTTCCTTTGAAGCGGTTGCCCCAGCCCAAGACAGGGGAGTTCACAACTAATGGTTGCACCCGAGTCCACGGCAACCACTGCTTCTTGGTCAGTTGCGACTTGGGACATCGAGAAGAAAAAAAACAGTTGGGACCCGGGTGCTGGTAACCGGGCACTTGAAGGTCTCTCCATACCGCTCGCCTCCCGCGAGAGGTCGTCGGAGTGCTTGCGCACGTTGTTGACCTCTCGCGCGGGCATGTGGGAGCGCTCGGCGGTTTGAAGGAATCTGACCCTCAAACCTACCCTCAAAAAAATGGCTGGGACGCTGGAACACTGCAATTCATGTGTAAACCAATTTTGGGCATGGGGTGCAGGCAACCAATTTTGCCACATTGTTGGGTTGCAACCAATTCTAAGTTGGCAGTTTGAAGGGCCAGGTACCTGTTCTTTTTCGGGATCTGGAAATCATAAGGAAACTGCCACCATCTCGCAGGTTTCCCTTGGAGCCAAGCTCGTTGATCCCGGGGGCAAGTCACATAGTTCAGCGGGATACGGTCGTCATAAGGCTGTGTATTCGGAAACATCTCAAAGTCTGAGCAAAAAGGGATGTAACTTCCAGAGATCTAGGGAAAACATCGGACACATCTCACTGCAATCTTGGCAAAATTTCCACAAGCCGAAAGTCAGGAATGCTCAAGGAAGCCACCTTCATCTAATTTGGCATCGCTCAGGCCAACCCCCCACCCCCACCATTGGACCATGGCCACACAACCTCGCACTGCTAATCAAACACCCTCAGCCCCAAACACATCCCCTTGGGCAAGACTAAAATAGACCCATTTTGGGAGGTGGCTTTGTGATTGAGTGGCGAGTTTGGGGGGAGCAAACGGAAAAGTTCTATAGTAACCCAGAGGGTCCAAGTTCCTTCTAAGGAGGTACTTGGACCCCTTTTTACCCCCTAAAAGCCATTTTCATGAAGTACTTGGACTCTCTGGGTAAGCTAACGGAGAGAAAATCACGCGCGCCGCGCCTGCTCGCGAAGCCTTACCACCTCCTCCGCTAGCTTTGGCACCTCATCCGGCGGATTTGAGACGGATTCAACAGAAGCACCAAGCACAACCTGGCCCACAAAAAAAAGGGGGTACACTGAAAATCAGGTCTTGAATGATGTTTCACGTGGCCATGGGTCAAAACCCTGGTTAGCCCCCAGTGAACATCCCAATCCAACCTCTCAAATAGGTTCTAAAATGGGTAGTGCAACCTGTACCAAACTGGTACCATTGGTTTGAACCATGGCCATGTGTGGCCTACCCCACAATAAACCAAAACAGCTGGAGAAAAAATATCCGGTCCGCACCTCCGGGATCTTGCCTCGCACCACCGACAGCTGCCGATGAACCTGGCACGCAACAGCCGCCAGCTCGGCCCAAAACGTTGGGACCGGGCGACCGCCACCTCCCTGCTCCATGGCTCCCCTCCCAGCAGCTTGCCCTCAGATCCCCCGCTAACAGTGACCAACTTTTAGTGGGTGAAATAGAAATCCAACCACTAAACACTAAAAAGCTAAAAGGCTAAGGGGATGGCTGGGAACCACCAAGTCTATAATGCCTAAGGGTCCAATTAACCAACCTCCCATGTCGGGGGAGTACTTGGCAGACTCACTTGGTTTGACAAAAGGTGATCACCTTTGGGAACCAGAAATAGACACGGGAAAGACCAAAGGTCAGATACCGTCGATTCGCTGGAGAGGTGAGTCATATTCCAGGGCCCTTCCCCGCCTTTGAGCCCAATTCAGAGCCCCACGTTTGGGGCCCACTTCAAATCCTCACCCAGGCAACTCACGATGTACAGTACCTGACACATGGTGCTTATCCAAGTAATTAGAGCAACCCCGCCAAACCTGAGGGTGAGTCCAACAAACAGCAGGCAAGTAGGTCTTGAACAAATGCAATTGCCCATCACCTGTTTGTTTTTAATGGAGGGAATTCGGAAAGCATGAAACAAGCGCCACGACAAAAGAAAACTGATAACATGCTCCGTTCTCTTTTGGTTTCCTTGACAACATTGGAAACACACAAAGCAAGCAGGATCGTTTTTAGATTAAGCAAAACACCTATACCTATAACAATCACACGCTACGTGTGGAGCCCCAAACACCAGCTGGTGACAAGTGTTTGTGTTTGTTAAGCAACATAAACTAGGTGCTCCAGTAGAGAGGTTAGAATAAGGCTACCAACTTTTTCTGTAGTCGATTTTAGTAGGGGAAGCCTCCCAACCAAAAAAGAAACGGTAAAAGTTGGCACCTGGCTGGGGGACCTAGTGCTTTCTCCCTGAAGGAACGATCGCCTCCGCGAGGTCGATCTTGAGGCTCCGGATCTCCTCCTCTTTCCGCTGCATGGCGTCCTGGACGCAGGGCTCAAGAACGGACAGCCACATCTTGGGTGCTGTAGATCCCCCAGCAAAAAAGTTAAACCTGGTTAAAAGGAAATATGAAGGGAATCCAAAAAGTTAAGGCTAAAGATCCAACACAATAACGTTAGAGACATGGGTGGGTCAAAACCGAGAGGGCCCTTTTTTGGGTGCTACCCCGCAACAAACGAATCTGGTAGGGGGGGTACCAGGGTTTTGACCCTCTTTTTTCCTTCGGAATGCTATCCCGGAAGGTCAGGTGCCACCCTGCAAAAACAAGGGGGTGCATATCATGATGTAAGGATTGTCATCCAAATTGTGTCAACCATTCTTTTCATGGGGGTTGAACCCTAGGGATATGGGTGTGGGTTAAAACCAAAAGGGCCCCTTTTTTGGGTAGCCCACAACAAACAAATCTGGGGGGAGGGGGGCACCAGTCAACCATATATAGGGGCCGATTGTGGAGGACACTAACTTGGGGTCGCTGCTAAATTATATTTCGGGATATTAGACACAGAAGGAACTGTGAATGGACTCCTGCACCAGTTGGTATGCAAGAACCCTATGGCATGTCATACACCGCCAATCAAATGTCCCCTCCATGCACAGTATCGCTAGGGTCATTCATCATCAAGCCCACCTTGACAGCCCCCAGAAACACAGCAAAAAGACATGACCCTACCTGGAGTCTCCTTCTGACCCGAACTAAGAATATGACCCCATGATTTTAGGTAAGGACCAACCATTTGTAAAGGGTCATGGAGACTCTAGGTAGACCTAGTCAGCAATGTTCCCTGCTTGTAAAGGGTGGTGCCTTGGCTACCTATCAAGGGCCCAAAGGCCAGCTTAGCTTTGTCACTCTGCCACCCGAATCCACGGCTAAAGTCTCGAGCCTTTCTGGGAACATGGCTGTGGCTCAAAAACATGTACCAAAATGGCACCTTGGTAAATGAAACCAAAGACTAACACCTGCGTAACCCTAGCTCTTTAATTTTGAGCCACACCCACCATGGCAAACCTGCGAAGCCAAAGGTCTGGTCATCCCAGAGGAGAGCAACCCCTGTCTCAGCTTTCTCAGGGCTCCGATTTGACTCTTTCAAGAGTATACTCTGCCCTCTGACTTTGGATGTTTCGGAGGTTGGGGGTGGTTTGCCCTGTACCCTCTACAGGAACCAGGGGTTCAAATCTCCAAACCATCAATCCAGAGCAATTAAAGTTAGACCTGATATTTTGGAGGGGTGGCCGTCCTTTTGTTTAGAATCTAGAATGGGAAATAGTCTATTTCTTCGGTTTGAGACACTCCCATACTTCGAAGATGGTTCCAGAAATACAGATTGACATCAAACACAAGCAGAGCGGCATGGATGGGTAAGTACATGAACCAAGAGGAAGCAACTTGCGCCGCAGACATGGACAATTTTAGGGAACGTAACTCTTTGACTGGAAAACCACCAATTCGGAAAAAGCACAACCATTTGCTATGACTTCAAGGGAAACAACAGGAGATCCATCATTTTGGGGGGTCCCCCTTAAAAAACACAACCATCTGTAACGGCGTTTGGAATTGGTCGAATCGGTCCCTTCCGGCCTCGCCCTTCTTCAGAAGCTTCTCCTGGGCACACGTAACAGCCACAACGAGTAACACCCACCGCCAGACCAACCAAGCCCAACCCCAACCACCCACCCAAAAACCCACCCACCCACCCATCCTTACCTATCTACCTACATACTACATACCTACATACTACATACCTATCTACATACTACATACCTGCCTACTTATCTACCTGCCTTCCTACCTACAGGGGCATCACCTGCAGCAACTGAGCATCCAGGCTTCAATCATGTTGCGGCCTGCGCAATGAGGCAACAGGCCCGGACCCCGACAACTCCAAGGCTTCCACTCAATGGACGCTCTGGGTGCACATCCCACAAAGGGCCGGGGCCAACATGAAGCCAGAACCAACAGCGGCATGGACTCCGACGATGTTCAAACCTACCTAGAGTCTCCATGACCCTTAAAAAATGGTTGGTCATTCCCTAAAAATAATGGGGTCATGGACCTATTTTTAAACGGTCATGGAGACTCCAGGTTCAAACCTAAACACGGCTACCATTTTGAGTAACGGACAGCGTCTCAAATGCTGCCAAACGTTGACTGTCCCTTTCGCAATCTCAAACCAGAACTAAACCGAAGCTGATTCCTCCATTTCTCAGGCGACGTCACAGCCCCAGACTGTCCGGGCGCTTTTTGTTTGCCCTGTTTGGTTTTTCATGTGGCCGTGTTGGTTGCATGTGTCCTGGTTTGGGCTTCAGCCCAAACTGCGGGGTCCAAAATGGCGGCCTAATTTGGGGTGCTTCCTTTCGCCTTTTTTTTCCGCTCGGACGGAACGCGAAGGGCGGGCCTGAATGTTCGCCTTCTCCCAAAGGATGCACAGCTCATCGTTCCTGCCGCCAGTGTTCGACACGAGTCACCCCAGTTGGATTGTCGCCCTTGCACAGCAGAAAGTTGGGCCCGGGAAAAAAAACAGAGAGGACGCAACGCTAATGTTCGAGCCTTCTGGTTTGGTCATCGCTTTGAGGTGTTTGAAAAGTACTTGGAGCTAGGGTTCTGAACAAGGGGAGACTCAATGGAGCCAGATTGACTTCTTCCCATCACAGCAACCACCACGACCCAATGGCTCACTAAAAGGAGGGGCATCATAGGGTTCACGTCTTTCTTTCTTTTTTTTTTTTTTTGTTTTGTTTTTTTCGGGAACCCTCTTTTGGTTGCCTTGGAAGGCTTAGACCCACAGGACCCCAAAAAAGGACGAGCCACCCGCGGGACCCCGATTCGTCGGATTCGTGTCGCCCGATTTGTGTCGCTCCACCCCTCGATCGTCCTGTCGATGAGCTGAGTCCCGGTGAAGTTCCGGGTCTCAACCGCCTGCTCGTATTTCAGTCTCAGCTCCACCTGGCGTCCGTTGGTCGCTTTCCGGACCGCAAATCGGCACGGCTGTACCGGTGCTACCCCCCCGGCCCCCCCGCCCCCGTTGTTTTGGGGGAGGCTTTAAACGAAGATTTAAGGGAAACCGGGAGTTTTTTTTGAGGGGGGGCCCTATTTTGACACATGCCCAAGTAAATCTCAAGTTAACTTGGTACCCTGCACAAAGGGTTAGGGGTTCATAAGCCATTCTAAGAAGGCCTCCCGGCGAGGCTTCACAGCACCAAGTCCCACTTCGATTTACGAACTGATAGGACAACTTCCACTTGGCCCTGGGGTTCCTTGCCCCCAGTAAAAGAATGGCCTTGGGACCCATTTCGGATAACAATTTCGGATAACAATCCTTAGGTGAACAATGGTGGTTACATGAACCCCCGTATTGCTTGAATAATGGCTTGAACCCCTCCCTTGGTGGTCACCCAAGGGTTCCAACGAGTAGATCCCACGTGTCCATCGTGGGTTCCATTTGCTAGCTGAGAGCCCAAGTTAACACCCCTGGCTTCCAGACCATGGGCGAATCATCAAACAGGCGAATCAGCAGCGTTCTGACCCTGCAAGGGCCTTTCAATAGTTTCAACTAGGTCCTCCAGTAGAGAGGTTAGAATAAGGGTACCCTTTTTCTGTTGTCTATTTTAGTAGGGGAGGGTGGAACCCTCCCCCAAAAAAGGGTGAAAGGGCACTACTGGGGGACCAGGGCTTTTCAATAGTTACAATGTGGTTGTAGGATACTTCAACACCAAAATATATAAGTCATGATCATGAGACACTACCTGGGTTGCTCTTCCAGGGCAAAAGCTCTAAAAAAAACCTTTCGTAGGTTGAATGCAAAAGCCAGTTGCTTCCAAGGACGAATTGCTTGTGGCTCAACATGGCTCAAATGCAAAACAGGAAATCTACACTTGGTTGACGTTGGATGTATATAGAATGTTTCCCAACAACAACCATGTACCCCGCATGAACAATCTTGAGAGCCCAGCCCCAAAAGATCTGAGGAAACCCGTGGGCCTGCAAAAAAAACACTGATCAGATCGCGGGAATACCTTCCAGGTATGTCCCAATATCACCCTATATAACGGGAGGACAAGTCAAGCGTAGGATGTGATTGTGGCTTCCTATTTCTCTCAAACCAGCTGCAGGAACACTACAGGAAATCACGATTTTTGTGGGTATATTGGCAAATGTCCAGTGCTTCTAGCACTATTGCAGTCCCCCTAAAACTGAGGATGCCCCTACGCTCTCCCTACAATGAGCACAGAACCAACAAGCCAACACAACACAACAAACCATATGCCAAGAACAGCGAATTGCCACGACAACAGGCCGCAAACGCCATTTCTTTCTCGATGGCGGTGATGATGGAGTTGAGCTTGTCAATTTCAATGACAAACTGCTCCACCTGCATCGAACCGCATACGGTGCGATGCTTTCTCAAAGCGGCACTTGTTTGTGAGATATGATATGTGATAGAACCTTCTCAAGGTGAAACAGTCTCAAGACAAAATGCATCCCTTCTAAAAGTCTGAAGTCCAAGGTGCGCAAATATCCAAAGTCTCGACCAAAGGGTCCCCAACTCAAAATCGGTTACCCCAATAACAGACTCCTTGTTACATGGGCGCGCATTGTCCACCTGGCATGTCCTTTTGCGAGCGGACAAGCTTGCTTTCCCCAAGAAGGATCTGTGATACCCCCTTGTGAGGGGAACCTGGGTGTTTCTCAACAGAGGACTCGATGGTTGGTTTGCATTTGGTTTCCCTAACATACCAACCCAACAGGGGGTCTACTAATTATTTTGAACACCCCCTCCATATGGTTGTGCAATCAGGTAGTCATACCTCCTCATATTTTAATGGGTCGTGTTCCTTTTGGTTTGCCTTTAAACCAAGGTGAACAGGGTATCTTTCGCCTCAACAACATCGAGGCACACGCCCAGCTGCGATTGATGAAACCCCATCGATACTGGCATAAGCCACCAATCCCAGCTGGTGAGAAGCAGATCTTGCCCAAAACAGGGGAACCCCCCAAAGTGGTGACTGTCCTTTTGGCTTCCCTTGAAACCAACCTGACAATGGCACCCATCAAAAACAAGACGAGCCACCCACATCTTCCCCGTACCCCATCAACCCCTTAAGGGGCACAGGCCCCCCCCCCCCAAAGTGGGTCTGGCGTTTCCGGGCTGTCCGTTGTCTGTTCCGCTAAACGTGACTAACTTTTCGCGGGCTAAATACGGAAACCCCACCACCTTTCACCAACTTAAAGGCTAAAAAGCTAAGGAACCAGATGGCTGGGAGCCACCAAGGTTTTGTTTGCCTTTGCAACCACCCAAAGGGCATCCTCAAAGCAACACCTGCCCATATAGGCCGCAAGCGGCACAAAATGTGAAAGCATTCAACATGACCTGGGGAAGCGTCGGACAAAAGCAATGCTCCCAAGAGTCCGCAAGAGGGTATTCTGTGGGTGGCAAGCGAAAAGCCATTGCCCGCATTCGGACCTGGCATGGTGAAAACTTCCCCCAAGTGTCAAGAGACTTTGGATGTTTCGACCATGGACCATGGCGCATGTGGCCACAGGCGTCCTTTTGGTAGAACAAACGGCCATGGTAAATGGAATGAACAACAGAACCCATCTATTTCAAACCAAAATCACCGATCGAAAAGACACGTATGCGCATGTGGCACTTTCAAAACCGTTTGCCATTGGGGTTCCAAGATTGGAAAGCCACTCGTGAGTTCTCTGGGGCAAAAAGCCACTTGGGCAAAACTTCTTCGAACCAATTCCCTTGACATGAACAACCGCAAGGAGTTTGCTGAACAAACGGTGGCTGAACCATGGTTAATCGCACGCAAAGGGAGGCCACCCATTCGCGCAGTTTCATCTTTTTGACACCCACTTCTTTCAACGATATGGTCGCTCGTTTTGCACAAATAGTTTCTCTCTTTGTTGCTTTCCTCTACTCTTCCGTATAATTGCCCTAATTTTGGTCTAACGAGTGCGTCTAACAAAACTAGAGACCCGAAAACATGCATGGCCCTCCTTGCTTTCTCTCCAAACCAACCAGGATGAGTCTACCCGGAGTCTCCATGACCCGAACTAAAAATAGGTCCATGACCCCATTATTTTGGGAAATGACCAACCATTTTTGAAGGGTCAGAGGAGACTCTAAGAGACTCTAGGGACATGTTTTTGTTTGGTGGGAGAGGGACACTCCCGAACAATCAGCAGCCAAAACAAGCGGTCGTGCGTTTTTTCCCATGGCCAACTGGAGTCTAGGGCAAGGACCTAGCCACGGACCTAGTTCCTTCCTTTCAGACTTTCACCCTTCGTCTTCGGAGGGGGCCCGCAGCCGCAGCCTCAGACCCGCGACCTCTGCAGCAACTCCGAGCCGTGTCTTCCCGCCTGCTCGTTGAGCCCAGTGCCTTGGGCGCTGATACGAGTCTTGTCGTTCTGCAACTGGTCCTCAGAGGACAAAGCCACAGCTCTGTCAGACCAAACCGAACTGGGCCTCAGATCCCCCGCGAGAAGCATCAAAGCGATGAACTGTGAGTGGGTTAAATACGGAAACCCAACCACTAAGCCAACTAAAAGGCTGAAAAGCTAAGGAACCGGATGGCTGGGAGCCACCAAGCGAAGAGGACTCGGCGGGATACCGAAACCCGTGGCAGTTTGATAAGTGTGCCATCCATTTTCGGCCCCTCAGCTCATCACAGCTCTGACAGACCAAACCACCGAAGAGGACTCGGCGGAAAACGAAGATGACGACCCCCTGTGGCAGTTTGGTGAGTGTGCCCATGTCATCCATTTTCGGCCCCTTAGGTGGCGAGTACATATTGGCCGCTGCTCAAACATGACTCCGTGAGGCTTCGCCACGGGCCGAATGGGGGATTTCTCAAGACCGTTGATCCCTCGTTTTCCGCATCTGTCCCATGTCATCCTCTGGGAATTCACCTCCGAGAAGATTTCACCACTCTCCCGGAGAAGGAGACGGAAGCATCGACTTCGCGGACGTCGGGTTCAACGGGGAAATCGGGTGGACCAGAAACCGTGACTCGTCCCCTTTGGTCTGATTGAAACCAAAACGTTCAAATGCGGGCCGTTAAAAAGACCGGAGACCAGCCATGTTACAAACATTCTACAGAAATTCCTCACATCTGCCCAAGCGTCTCTTCGTTGCCTTAAGAGGAAAAAAAGAACAGAGTATCATTCTAGGGCTTGATTGCCCATTCTGTTCCACCGCTGTTTTTTTTTTTGGGGGGGGGGGATTCTGGAGGTGTTCTAGAAAGGTGCGGAAATGGAAGGTAAAGGGTCTCTTTGTTGCCTTAAGGGGGAGAAAAAAAAAAATCACACACAAAAACGAGTCGATTTCTTTTGGGTCAGACGAGGACCAGAGGTGAACGCCAGCCTCGAAACCCCCAGTTTCTCACCGGGGCGCATGGGCAGCCTCCAGCTTCAGCGCCTGAGCGAAAACGCCGCGGCCAAATGGAAGGATCTCAAAAACATAATACACCCAGATTCGATTCCCTTAAACACCCAACAGGGGCAAATTACAAACCAAACATAATGTTGATTTCTGCACATGCAACCCCAAAGCATTTGGGGACTAGGTCCTCCAGTAGAGAGGTTCGAAGAAGGCTACCGTCTCTTTTTTCTGTGGTCTATTTTACTGGGCTGCCCTCAGATCCCCCGCTAAGAGTGACGAAGTTTTAGTGGGTTACATGGAAATCCAACCACTAAGGAACCGGATGGCTGGGAACCACCAAGTTTAGTAGGGGAACCCTCCCAACCAACAAAGGGGTGAGAAATGGCACCAATTGCTGGACCGAAGGATCTCACTTTCCCGGGCTTGGAAGCAAAAGATTCACCTCTCAGATGCCCAGTGGATTTCCATGGCAACAAAAACAAAAAGGCACCTTATTCTTTTTGGTGGATTGACTTAGGGGAACCCTTCCCCGAAAAAAGTTTGAGAAAGGGCCACTGGGCAACTGGGTACTAAAAGTGGGAGCCCAAAAAGGGAAAACAAAAAAGTCAAAGGGTCAATTCCCTTTGGGCAGCTGAGGGATTGTTCTGGTTATTTGCTCACGAGTCAAGAGCAGGGAAAGGCCAAGACAGGTCTGAACTTTGAACTTTCTGCTGGCCACTGACTGACAATTCAAAAAAGTACAACATCCAGGAATTCAGGGAGTGAACTTGTAACTCAGAATTTGTGTCAATCGCTACCTCAAATTTGGCCGCCAAAAGTAACACGTCCATGCACAAGAGCTGTTCACAAATTGAGCTGGGTCATGTGACGCACAAATATGCCCCATGTTCTTTCTGTGGATGGTTGCAAAATCCGCGAGTCTCGAATTGAAACCATGGTAGAAACCAGGACGTTTGTTGTTGTTGTTTTTTTTACCGAGAGATTCGAACCATTCCATGGTTTCTTAGGTGGTTCGAAGTGGATTCCGTCAATCCACAATAGGCCAGTGACCTGGTGTCTTGACAACCTAGGTGTCAAACGCAGCAAACAAGGAGCCAAGAGTGCCACTGATCAACTGAGCGACTCTTCGGCTTGGTTGCTCCTCGAAGGCCTTTGCGAGGTCGCTATGTTTGATCTTACTCAACATACAGCTGCTAGGCGGGTGAGTGTCTTTTGAGGGTACCACGTTTTAGTGGGTTCAAAGGGACACTAAGAGGAAACAAACAACAAATGCCCGGAGGGTCCAACCAAGCGTCTCCTGATGGCTTTTGGGGGGTAAACATGGGTCGTTCAGTACCTTAGAAGGTACCAAAAAGCCCTCTGGGATGGGATGGGGTCCACCAAGCAACAAGAAACAAGAGGGGCCATAAGGCCCGAGCCTAAAGTCTTTGTTTCATCCGTCCACATTGGGCCCCCTGGTACCTTGTGACTCCCAAATCACCCCAAGGCGTCCTCATCCTTGGGTCATAAGTTGGATTCTGTTTGCTCCCAGAGGCTCCTGTGTGTTTTGGTTTTCAAAGGAAGACCCTCCATTAGACACCCCGCTTCGGTGGTTGGTCTCAAACCAGGTTGTTTCCGGCCCTACATCGAATTGGAGCCTCTGGGTTGTTTAAACATGCCCTTTACACTACTCATCCTCGCCACAAGGGCTTTTCGCCACGGGTCAAGCCTCCTATAGACACCTCTCCCACTGGTGCATTCAGCTGAAAGGCGAGCACCCAGTCGAAACGGAGCCATATCTCAATTCTGGAGCCCGGAGTTGCTCGCTGCACTTGGTGAAATTTCAACTTCCGGTCTAAAATATTGGCTTAAAACGCCTTCTCGTTTGAACAACCAACCACAACAACTAAAAGAAGCCATGGCTACTTACCTCGTTGCTGCAACAACCCTTTTTGCAAAAAGTGAACAACTGTTAGTAGATTCAATATGGAAAATCCAAGCTGTTTCCAGCAAAAAGTTTTAAAGTCCCAGGATCCAAGCGAATAGCCATAAAGAAAAGCTAGACTTTGAACCACCTCTTCTTGGATTGCTTTTGAAGCCGCCAAGGTCTGGTTGAGACACAAACTGCCCAATACCCTTCCCACGGCAAATCGCACCACCGGAAGTGCGTGGCCCGAAAGTTCGTGGCCCCCACTCGGAGTACCCTCCAACAAAAAAACAAACAACCACACATACCTGGGCTGTCCTCAGATCCCCCTCTAAAAGTGACTAACTTTTAGTGGGTTAAATGGAAGTCCCCACTAAACACTAAAAGGCCAACAAAGGCTAAGGAACCGGATGGCTGGGAGCCACCAACACTCAGATGACCAGTGGCCACGGGAAAAAGAGGTACCCTTTTGTGGTTGGTTGAGTTTAAAGGGGAACCCTTACCCAAAACAATTAATAACAATAAATACAAGGGCACCACTGGGCAACAGAGTGGAAGCACACGCACATCCGACCCCGCGGATCACTGGCTGGCCTCTTGCTTAATCTTCGCCAGCTGCTTGTCCTGCGGAGAAGATGTGTTTTTTTAGGGGAGCCCACAATTCCACAACGACCTTTGTCTTGGGTTTCCGTTGAAAAACAAAATACACACAACCAAAAAAAAAGAGGCACCCTCAAAAAAGACACGCCCATATGTCCCAAACCTTACTTGCATAGCGTGGACCCAGAAATAAAAGGTGATTGCCTTTGGGGGCTATGACACAACATGGACCCACAACAAAAAACAAAAGTCAGATCCGGTCGATTCGCGCTCAAGTGAGGATACGGGGGGAGTACCCTTTTGGGGCATGGTTTCTGTGCCCGCCTTTGTGTCAGCCCAAAAAGGGGTCCGACGAGTTTTGACCCACCATGCATATATGGTGTTCTGGTTGTTTCAAGAAGAATTGGCGGTTCTGGGCCCCAGGCCCTTTTTTGGAGATTGCATGGGCTTGACCCTCTGGGCATCAAGAATTCCGCCGACCCAGCTGTACAAAATGGCCGAACGGGTCCCTTGAAAGGTCCAGAATGATACAGTCTCAGAAACCATCTTTGAGGGCTGTTCCAATCATGAAATAGAAAACCGAGACATCCAAACTTGTTCTGATCCTCGAAAACGGGCACTTTCCGTGCCTCTGCGGGCGATTTTCAGCCACTGCAACCAAAGATAACGTGAAAAGCACTCGGAAGCTCACTCACATCTTGATAACCAGGTCATTTGCTGTCACAATGTGGGTTCGGACCCCACAAATGGAAGACACGCCATTCATCGCCATTCACCAGATCCCTGCCTGAATTCTTGCACCAGCCCCGCATGATCATGCACCAGCCCCGCATGATCATGCACCAACTTGTTTCGTTTCGATTCTTGTGCCAGACCAACGGCGAGACCAAAAACGCTCACAAAAAATACACCGTGGTCTTGCTGCATGTGGGACGAGAAGCTCCCCGCTGACGCTTACGGTCACCTTCTCCTGATCCTCCCGCCGATTCAGGCGCTCGAGGTGCACCATGACAGGGATCCTTACATTGAGCACCTGAACGTTGCAACTTGTAAATGGTGGTTTCCCTTTATTGTGGTGTTGAACAAGCCACACGTTTCAAATGCTTGCAAAACGGAGATCCTTTAGGAGCCCTGCACGAGTTGCCGAGTTCCCGATTTGCGCATGGCGCTCGGAAGCGGACGCCTCTCTTCGCAGGCCAGGGAGATGGATCTCTCCGGGAGCTCGCTCGTAGCGAAGTGAGACGTCCACGCGACTTCGAAAGGCGCCGCAGGCGCATCGATCGTACTCATTAAATGGCACAGCAACAACCTAGAGTCTCCATGACTTTTAAAAAGTGGTTGGGCATTGCCTAAAATATTGGGGGTCATGCACCTATTTTGAGTTCGGGTCAGAAGGAGACTCCAGGGAGAAACACAAAAAACACTCGAACCATCTTGAGCTTCCCTCTGGTCGGTTTGGATTGGTGCAGGCTTTTCTGGGTTTTCCCCAACCTTCTAGAACCCAAAGGTGCAAATGCGAAGGTTTAAACCAACGGGCTCCCGAACGGACCCCCCGAAAGGACCTGGTTCCATTGAGGCCAATATTGGGGAAGAGCTTCTGTTCGGCTCGTCTGAGGTACCGGACTTCTGGCTCGCGGATTTCTATATTTTGACCCGCGTTCCTACAACCCAAACCCGTTGACAGGAATTGTTTGGGGGCAAACATGACACCAGGAAAATCCGCTACTGATTTGTCTCCTTGAAGGCGCTCTCCATGCGGAGGATTTCCACCTCGTTGGACAAGATCTTGAACTTCTCCTGCCAGATGGGTGAAGCTTTTTCAAAATGGAAAAAAAACCTGCACCAGTTGGAAAGGTTAGAATAAGTGTACCAACTTCTTTCCGTAGTTTATTTTAGTAAGGGAACCCTCCCAACCAAAAAAGGGAGAAAGGGCACCTAGCTGGGGGACTGGTGGTTTATCCTGATACATCTCTAACTTCATCCATCCATCCAGCCCAACCAAGTAGTGCGTGGCGCGGACTGTGCCAATCCACCGCAGTGTCCGAGCCCTAAAGATGGGTGGTGTCCTGAAAAATCGTGGAAAGGGGGGCCCTCTCGCAGGAGAAGCCTGGATGGTTTAAATCCTGGGGTTTCAACAGCCACTTTGCTTTTGGTTCCAGCTGCTGCTTAAAGAAGACAACAAGGGGTTTGGTGGTTGCTGGAACAAGTGGTTTGGTGGTAGCTCCACCCCACTTAACTTAATAAAAGTGCAAACAGCTTGCAAAATTGGCTCGGGACAAGTCCGTTGACATCGATTGAGTGATTCGAATGAGGTTGTCTCCAGATGAAGCCGAGCAGGGGGTGGGGGCACAAACCATCCAGTCCGCGGTCCATTGGGGAGGACACGGGTGACTCACTCAAGTTTCTACACACAACCTGTAAAAATACTCGACTCATGTTCCAGGTGCTTACCCTAGGGTTTTTGGGGTTCAACAGCCAATAAAAGAATGGTTGACCCAATCTAACAATGCTCGTTGTTCAAATGGTGGTTTGAGCCCCCGGGTTACGGTAAACGCGCGTCTGACCAAGGTTCAACTGGGTGAATCCCCCAAACTGGAGGGAGAGTTCCCTTCAAACGGGACCCAAGAGGGATACCCTCAGCAAACTCTGTTCACGACTTTTGTTCAGTAGCCGATGTTCTAAAGGTCCGAAACTGGAAATCGAGGTGCCCCTTCGATGATCACTTGTCACAGGGGATTGTTTTTTTAGTGGTTTCCCCCGAACCTGGCCCAAGGCAATTTGGCCATGGGTCAAAAGCCAAATCGTCCCCCAGTGAACATCCCAATCCAACACACTGAAATAGGTTCCAAAATGGGTGGTGAATTCACCTACCAACCAACATGGGAACCCAAAATCGTTTTGACCACCACCGCCAGTTTGTTCCCTGGGACATCCCGGGCGTTCCTCTGACCGCTGACCGGCACGAGTCCTTCATCTCGGATAGGTGCTGATCCGACTTCTGGATGTGGGTCCTGGCAGCACAGAGATATGCAGAGAGAGAGAGAGAGGACGTGGAGTCGCCAAATTCGTTGGTCTCACACCCCGAAACAAGAGAGCGAGAGCGAGAGCGAGAGAGAGCGAGATAGGGGGAGAGGGAGAGAGAGAGGTGTCGAAGGTGGCGTGGTAATCTCACATCCCCAAACAGGTGTCCCTTCCCGTTTTCCTTCCGGAAAATCATCCTCTGTACGCGCCAAAGTGGCAACCCTCCTGAAGCTTGAAAACCACAAACTGCCCTTCTGCCCCAAAACGCGAAGGGGTTCTCCGCAAAGACGGCCTGCAGTCGTTGGCAGGCTTGGTTATGTCCTCCAGTAGAGAGCTTAGAATAAGGGTACCCTTCTTTCTGTAGTCTATTTTAGTAGGGGAACCCTCCCCCCAAAAAAGGGCAAAAGGGCACTACTGGGGGACCTAGATGGGAACCTTCAAGCTTGCCCCATGGGGGCTTTGTGGGATGTCTTTGTGGCTGTTCCCCGTTTGTCGTTCCCACATTCTGCCTGAGGCGAAACATGGAGCCAAGGACGGTGACCAGCTTCACTTCCGTTTGCTTCACCCCCCTGGAAAAAAATAGTAGTGCTAGATTCCCTTTGAGGGGAAATCAAACAACATCTTAAGCAAATATCAGTTGGAAGTTGATGGCCGTTACTGGGACCTAACATGCCTGCTGTTGACCCCTCTGCAACAGGTGAGTCCAAGGATCCAACCAAGTAGTCATGAAGTAACATGCGCCAACTGATACCATCATATCTTCGCTAGGCTAACATGGAAGTTCCCAAGACTCGTTTCGGAAGAACCACTTCAAGGTGGCTGGTACAGTCGAAGTATGAGGGCCCCAAAAGGGTAAGAAGCCTCCAAACAAACACAGCCCTCCATTTGATCCTTGGAGCGAACCCCCAGAACAATGCTGACCAACTTCCGCATTACTCGCCAGCAAACAGATTCAGGCTTTGTTCGCATCTCGTTCAGCTTCGAATCAACTAGATGGATGGGACGGCGACATCTCTCAGAATCTGATCTTCCAAAACCCTGGCAGCTCCCCCCTCTGAACAATGAACAACAAGCAAGCAAATCAAAGCAGGACCCTCCAATATGGTTGGTGTCCACGTGGTTCCCGTTCACCACCAACGCACACCAAACACATGCTCTCCCCCTCGAAAGTCCACAGCACCAAAGCAGCAACGAAACCAAAACACTGGGTTCTCGATCTTGCCGCCTCAACTACGAACCAACACAAGAATGGTACCCTCAAAGAACATGGGTGTGTCTTTTCTAAGGGTTTCTGTTGGTTTTCTTTTAAGACACATCCAACTCATGGGATAGCCCCAAAAGGGAAACAAACCAAAACACATGTCAACCGACGAATGCCCTGTGAGATCTGGGATCCGGGCATGTACTTGTTGCGCTCGTTCTTCACAACCTGCCACGCCACGGTTGTAAAGGCGAAGCAAACATATCGAAGCTTTCTCAAGGAACCGGGCATCAAATAATGTCACATAGGAATTCTGGAAGACTTCAACTTCGGGTTTCGTTCTGGGAGACTTGATCGGTATGGGAGAAACACATGATTGCCAAAACGCCCAAAAAATTCACGTTTGAGCGTGCTTAAACATAGAAACACGCAAGAACACATGGGCGTCCTTTTGGCTCAACTCCGACGAAGCGACTCAACCCTTATAGGCGCCCATGTTTCGGGTTCAGAACTGGTGGAGCGCCTCCGCTGCCAGGCTTCAGCCTAGAGTCTCCATGACCCTTAAAAACTTGGGTCATTACCTAAAATACTGGGGTGAGGGACCTATTTTAAAGGGTCATGGAGACTCCAGGAGGATAAAACCTTGAAAGGGCCTGGAACACACATGGTGTTGGTCAAGGAAAACGGACACGAGCGCCACCCGCCGGCCAGTCTGAGGGCACACCGGAAAATTCATCTGACGCAGCTGTTTCCGATCGGCTCGAGACTGCCCCGAACTTTCGGCGGGGCCTGGGAAAGGGGGGGCATTTCGTCTCTCCGTGCCGCTTGTCTGGAGTTTCCTGCTGCCCGAAAAAATGGGTCAACCCCCTTATGTTGGGCCAAAAGAAACTCCAGGCACAGCGGCCCAAACGCATCCCTCAAAGCGCCCCTTTGGCTACGGGGCTCCCGAAACCGGTTTCGCCTCGTACATGGTGCAGAACTCCTTCTGCTTTTGGCTGATCTCCTGATCCGGCAGATTTCGATTCAACGGATCTCCAACCCTGCGGCACATCCCGCAAGTTGCAAAATACAAATCCTGGGCCACAGGGGGATTCTATATTACTATGACTCCGAGGCAGCGCCAAGTCCCCCCACTGGTTATAACTCGCAGGATTTGGTGCCCAGAGGTATATAACTCGAGACTCGGCTCCTAATTTGGGGGAGCTAATGGCCTGGCTTCGGATCCAATCTCGTGCAAACCGAGGCCGCTTGTGGCATGCGCTACGGAGAGGGGTTGCTTCTCCTTGATTCGCTGGGTGTCAACAACCGACCCCTGGATTCCATGGGGAAAAACCTAAGCATGGGCACCCCGTTTCAATTGAGTTTAAAGGTCGCGGAAGGGCTGGGAACTTCAGAAAAGCCCAACCAGTATACAAAACATCTCACCAATTTGGAGGGAAGTGGGTAAATGTTGCGTACACAGACTGTCTCGGAATGATCATTGGAAGTTCGATTGTTTATACCGCCTTCTTTGGGTGTCCCTCAAAATGACCTAGGGACAGGTTGTCGATTCTGGATGTTTGCTCCGCTCCTACAGTGAAAAACATATTGCTTGGCATTTACAGCAACAGCAGAAGGAAACCGTTGTCATGCTGAGGGCCCAGAATTTCATCATCGACTCTAGATCTCTGGATTCTGGGTACCTACCACATTAGCTGCCAAAGCCTTATTGCTATCAACTGGCTTCCAATTTTTTCACGCAGAACAGTCGGAATATGGACGAACGCCCCACAACAAAGATCGCCACAGGGCCAGCCCCAGAAGCAAATAATTACAAAGACACAAGCAATCAAGAACACAATCAAGCAAAGAAACCAACCAACAAACGAAAAGCGAGTGGATCACGTGATCTCCTGGTGCTTCTTCTTGAGATCTTGCTCCTCTAGCTCTTTCATGGCGACCTGTCGCTGACTTCGTCGCGGCGAGAGAGTTTTCAACTCCGAAGGTCATGTCATGTTTTTTTCTCGCCTTGGGCCTTTCCAGGTGGAAGTCCGGCACAGGGCGAACGATTCCCAGCGCTTGCAGAAAAGCCCATTGAGGGGCAACAATCGTGCGGGTGGACAAGATCCGTTCGCTCCACTTTGAATGCATGGGAAACCATTGTTTGTTGGTATTTACAGGGGAATCATCATTTCAGGGAGTCTGAGGTGGTGCGAAATGGATTTCGTCAATCCACAGTATCACTGCAAGTTACAGCTGCAAACATCCAACTTCCTCCTTCACGGATGTAGATTTCCCTCCATTTTACGGGAGCTCACTCATGTGTAAGGAACCCAAGACTAGTTTCAAGAGGGGCGCAGAACACACATCACGACGTGCCGCAGTTTGCAGATGCCTTAAAAACACGCTTGCTGGCAAACCCTTAGCAATGTAATCAGCACGCCTAACGCAACAAAGCGAGCCTCGAAGCCTGCGATATGACAGCAACCCCAAACAATGAAGGTTGAACCGCTCACTCCCGCCCCCAAATGACAGCATCACCTGCAGCCTTGCTAGCTAGCATGGTTTCTACCACAAGGAGAAACCAATATATCAACCTTTTATGTACCTGGAGTCTCCATGACCCTTTAAAAATAGGTCCGTGACCCCATTATTTTAGGTATACTGACCCACCATTTTTAAAGGGTCAGAAGGATACTCTAGGTATTTTTCAACCCAACCAACCAAAAAGGTGGGGGACCTAGATTCTGCAGGGGCCAGTACTGCGGGTGAATTCAAACTCCGCTTCGCAGCTGGTCCTCCAGAGCTTCCGGCCAGCCTCGTCAGCAGTCTCCCGGTAGAGCCGATGAGCCTGCAAGGCGGCTGAGAGAAATGGCTGTGGGTCAAAACCAATGGGATCCCATTTTGGGGTAGGTGCACCACGCATTTTAGTCCATTTTAGTGGGGAGTGGGATGTTCACTGGGGGTGCGGGCTTTTGACCCATGGCCAAATGGCGAGATTCAGCATACTGGGGTCAGTCCAAGGCAAAGTGCCTAGTACAAACCCTGAATGGTATCAGTGCCCGAGGCAAAGTGGCCAGTGTCGAGCCCTGATTGGTGCCGATGCCCATTCTGATTGGTGCCAATGTCCACATAATCCATGTCGACTTGGGATAGATGCAAACCCTATGATTGGGATAGACCTCCTGCCAACTGGTGCAGGATTTCGTCCCACAGTAAGATGGGACTTGCGATCGCTTCGATAGGGAAAATGAGTTTGAATGAGCTTCCCCGTGGATCCCTACCGGTTCATTCGCACGCCCCGAAACGATTCCCTGCCGAGCACGGGTCGTCCCTGGTTCTTGGAATCTTTCCCTGAATGGTGCTTAATGCACCCTCTTTCCTTTGAGGAATCTACACACAAACAAAGGCCACTGCTCATCGGACAAAGGGAAACCGAAGCCTCACGGAGTTTGCCCGTGAGACTTTCATCAAGCGGGCACCCTGCAAGTTGCAACTCGCAGAACAGGGATCTGCGTGTTGAAGGAGTCTACCGATGTTGCTCACCTCTCTCTCTCTCTCTGTCTCTCTCCCTCTCTCCGTTCCTTGCGATCATGGTCGCTCCCTCCTCAGGTTGATACACCCAGTCCGAACAACTAAAACGACCATCAAGGTCAACTCTTTCCAATCCTTAGTATGCGGGCAACCCGGTTCTTTGCGGGTGAGTCCGAATTTCAAACTCCCACCAACTTCTGCCTGGGACTGGCCTCATTGTTTTACCATGATCAAAGTCACACCCTAAGTGGTGGGTTAAAGGTAAACAACCACAATTTCTGACTTGCTTTGATAACCCCCAGAAA